CCTCGCCGCGGTGTACTACAAGGATCTATTCTTAGTCCTCTTCTGTATGCCGCGTTCATTGACAGCTTGCCAAAGCAGCTCCGTATCGCCCACCCTGGCATCACTCACCCGTTGATTTTGCGTGCACCACCGATGGCAAACTTGACAGAGGCATCTGCTCAAGAAATACGATACACACCACCGAACCATGGCCGTCCAGGAGCAAATCAACCAGGTACTGAGCTCATCGTTGTGTCCTCGCTATTGTATGCTGACGATGTTGCTATTATTGCCGCACCTGACGATATGGTTCGCTATCTTCGAGTTGCTGAGCAACATTCACAAGATCTGGGGTATCGATGGCATCCTGCCAAATGCGCGGTAATCGGCCCACCACCACCACGAACAACATACGACGACATTGCTGACGAGCTTGCTGTGCTAGAACACCGAGAACCGCCAGCCTTAGCATACAAGCTCTACAACACCCCCATTCCATTTGTGGCCAACTTTAAATATCTAGGCGTACCTTTCAACCAGGGGGCCTGGATAGAACATTCCTGGTGTCACAAAGGACGCAATTAGCCACAGGTGCTATGGCTACCCTGCAAAGTCTCGGTGTTCACCAATATGCGCTTGGTATCTGGGCAGCTCTACGCTCGTACCGCACTTTGCAAGACCAGTGCTCGAATATGGCCTGGCCATAGCCGGTGTCAACGCTGCGGAAATCGAGAAAATCGAGACAGCACAAAAAAGCTGTATCAAGATGGCGCTTAACCGCAAAGCAACGCGACAAATACCAACGATCGTGCCTATGGTGTTGGCTGACCTGCCGTCGATGCGTATTCGTATTCGTACGTTGCAGCTCAAGTTTGCAGCCCGTCTCCAAGAACTGCCAACCACAGCAATGTTACGGTGTGTTGAGCTGACACATTTGCGACACACACACCCTGACAAGCAATGGTTATCGCTGACATCGTGGAACCCGCTGTACCAATTGTACAAAAGGTTGAAAAACGAAAGAAACGAGGAAAATCCAGTAGGCCGCGCAATCCGAGAAAAAAGAGACGAGGAATTGGTTGTCCGCCGGGAAACCAAGAAAACGGTCCGGGTGCTCCGGTCATCTCCGATTCTCTATTTGCCAGCACATAGCCAAGATCGACATCGACTGGTAAAGCGGCGCATGTTCTGGCTGCCTCCCTTTCCTGAGCCATCCTGTAGGTGTGGAGAGACACAGGTTAAGCGCGACCATTTTGCTTCCTGTCCGTTTATTTAAGAGCAACTCACTGCGCTCAAAGATGCTTTTGGTCCGATCCCTGCTCTTCCTCTGGATCAGCATATCGTCGACCACATCTTGAATTCACTACCACGTTCCGAAGCTGGCCTTCATATAGGCAAATGGCGATCAGCTTGGCCCGCGCTGATCTATTTTCTACGTGAAGTTGACTGTCTTTGTCACCCTGATGGCGACTTTGCATTAGAACCGCCACCAGAAGAAGCCCTCAGCTTGCCATCACGGCCTGAGGCAGCAACAACAACACAACAACAATAGCGTAGCACATCTTGCCGCTCACCCACACACTTTTTTCACCACGATATACACACACATCCTCTATTTTCTTTCTATCCCGTCTTTATTGTATCTTATAACACCCTTAGCTAGATAGAAACCCCTCCTGTATTTTCAACATCACCGCTCTCTCATATTCTTATATCTTATCTCCTACGTTCCTGCACAGACCATATACTCTATATGTATATCCTCTCCTATTCCACGCTCTCTTTTGTCTCATTCAGGCCAAGCTTTTTCCCCACGTTGGGTTTTTTCAGCTTGTGTCACCAACTCTATTTTTCTATATATTTAATCTGTCAAAAATCATTCACGCACCGCAAGGGAGCGATCAAAATGCCCAATGGCGAGGATCACTTAGTCTTCCACATAATAAAACATATACTTTTTCACCTGAGCCAAGAAGGCCGAGATGTCTTGACACGAAGTGTGTGGGGCTTTCCGGCCTCCACGTATGAACACTACGGCATTCCGGCTAAGCACTATTGAATCTTACTCGGATGATTCACCTTACGTGAACAGGACAATGAACCTATCAACAAGTACCTCGGCCATTACATCAGCTAACGCCGGTTTCAAAGATGTGCCCGATTAACATAGCGACTTCAAGAGAAGTTCTGATACGTCCTTGATCCATCCTCTATCACATGTTTATCCATCAGTCGGATGAATAGATATCGCCGTCTTAATAGCTAGAATATAAAAGAGCTTTATCTTTTGTTGGAATAAAACATCATCTCAAAGATACTTAATCTTGTCCCTTATTATTTTTATTAAAGCTCTATCATCACATTTTTATCTTTGAAAACCTTGATTTTTCCTTATATCTTACATCATGTCCTCCGATAACAATCAAGCTACAAACGTTAACGAAACGGTTGATCAAGCCAACGTGGTAACTCCAGGAACGGTCGAGGTCTCAAGCAACGATGTCGAAATGGTGGACTCAGATTCGGCGTCCAAAAATGGCGCTGAAACTAGCAATGAAAGTAGTACTGAAACCACGGCCAGGAACTAATTACACCGAGTACCTACCTGGAACAAAGAAAGCTGACACGTCTAACACGGGAGCTATCCTCAAGGCACGCTTAGCAAAAGCCATCGAAGAATATTTGCAGGCGCAAGATGCTTCACCAGATGACCTACTAAAGCTAAAACAGGCACACAAAGAAGCACTTGATGCATTCAACATCTACCAAGCTACTCAGCAAGCACTCAGCATGTCTGAACAGTTCGAAGATCGAAAGGCAAGCTGCGTGGTCCCAAAAAAACCTACCGATACTACAAGTACAAGGAGGTCCTGTCCGAGATTCGTCAAAGCCAGTGCACAATTCCGTCTCTGCTTTCATTTCCGCCTTCGAAATCCAATTGCGCAGCCATAGCATTGACCTTGATGGCAATTGGGAACGTCTTTTCTGGTTATGCCTGGATGATAACCAAATGACTTGGTTTCGCCGCGACGTTGCTGACCGCCAGTTAAAATGGAGACAAGCTTGCGCCGAAATCAAGAAGGAATACGGCAATCCGTGTCAAACGTATCTCAAGCGCCATGAGCTTTTTGTCGCTCGTCCCCAAGCCAATGAAGCGATTCGTGTCTATGCCGAACGATGGATGTCACTAGCGCACGAGGCAGGAAGAGCCAGCGGTCGTGACTTGACGTTCGATTTCATTTCGTCTTTGCCACCTTCGATCCGCGAAAAGATCTACCCAGTACTAGCAAGACAGTATGGTGTAGATTGGCCATCTGAAGTCACCGAAGTCGTACAACTTATAATCTCAAAGATACTTAATCTTGTCCCTTATTATCTTTATTAAAGCTCTATCATCACAAATATAATCCCACAATAAAAAGAATATAAGTACATTTATGTTATAGTTCTATAGCAGACATATTGATAACTACATCCTATAATGATGCTTCCCAACAAGAAGATTGACTACTTGAATACAAATACCTTATACATATTATATGTATACACGGGTCACAACAGGTAAACGGGTCAGGTCAAGGGTTAGATGGGTTGACCCATAGGTCAAAAAAGCATCAACCTGACACGTTGACCCGTCCTCAACCTGCAGGCCTACCTGCGGGTCAGATTGCGACCCCTAGCCATGTAGACAAACTACCAGCCATGTAGACAAACTACCAAGTGATGTAGACAAACTACTATGTAATGTAGACAAACCACCACGTCATGTAGACAAACTACCAAGCCATGTAGACAAACCATCAGCCATGCAGACAAACTACCAAGTGATGTAGACAAACTACCAACCATGTAGACAAACTATCAGCCATGCAGACAAATTGCCAGCCATGTAGACAAATCGCCAACCATTTAGACAAACTATCAGCCATGGTGACAAACCACCAGCCATGCAGACAAATACCAGCCATGTTGTAGACAAACTACCAAGCCATGTTTAAAAAGTAAGATGTATATAGCCTCAAAGTAACTATCTATAAGATTATAAAAAAGAATTAATTATATCTATGTACACAACTTTTACAGATACGTTTATAACGTAAAGAATGAAACTGCATCATCAAGGCGCTATGCGTCTACCAAGTGAGCCATTGTGGCATAAGAGCTGTACTACATTATAAATGTATGCTCCCTCTGCCATTTTTCTCTGCTGCCTAGCTAGGGTTGTTATAGACCGATAAACCCTCCAAGATCTGAAGAAGCAAGCAAGCATGTCCCTTTGGACGCAGTGTTTATTCCGTCGTTATTATTCAAATTAAACTTTTTTGTCTACAACATATCTACTAGGATTCCACTTCTAAAGCACCTCCGGTTACGATTTGAAGGCTTATTATCGTCTAGTTGCATGGTTTTCCTTCTGCCTTCCATATGCTGTTTGTGACTTACACCATTTTTGTAAGCCCCTGATGTGTAACCTTACTAGTAGTGCGTTGCTGTCGTCGAGTCATACTACTAGAATGGTTTCGTCGTTGAAGAGCCTGTTGTGTTCTTATTAAATCATCATTGGTAAGTATGTGTATGCTACTCAATTCCATACACTTTTTGCTCGATATTGTAGCAAGTAAGTAAATAATTTGGAGTATATAGCTCGACAGGAGATCCTAGATATTGCGGAAAAATACTGCAGAACAACATAGGCAGAATATTGTTGGACCAACCTAATCTAATGAGATATTCAAAACCCAAGTTTTCGCTCATCACTTACTGTACTTAAATTGATGTGACATCACCGACAGCTGGTGATTAGTAGGATGAGAAAAGAACAACGCGAAGCATACCAGCAGTGGAATATATCTCTGTTGACGAAAATTTTCTTGGTGGTAATTCAAAAAGTTTACTGCGATAGCTCCAGATGCTATTCATCCCACAATTACTGGGCACTTGCCCTTGTGTATACAAAACCTAGTTGTCAAAATAAAAAAAGGAAAGTATATATTTACAGCAAAAAGGTTCTTTGATATTAATTACATAGGCCCGTGTTGATGGTGGCGATGATAATTATTATTATCTTTAAATAAAGGTGAATCTAGTAGAGCATCCGATAGCCATGCAGAATCATCATCATCATCCTCAGCTTCAGCAAACGACTCTGCCAGGCTCGATTTCCCCCGGCTGCTCCTACTTTGTCGACGTTGAGTTTCTTCCTCTGATTCAGTATCTCGATCTAGGTGTGGTTCGATCGTGATGTTGAGATCTGAAAGGCGACGAATGTCCACTCCAGCTGGCAAATGATGGTTGCGCCGCCGCTGTTCCAACTGTATACAAATTATCATCAGTAATCCGTCATTCAATAAACAGCAAATAGTTTCAAGAAAGGAGCTTACTGTAGACACTTGCTCCTCCAGCCGATCCTTCATATCGCCAAAACCATACATGCATTCATGGATATAGTCTGTTATATCTATACATAGAAAAATCATTAGCCAGAGGGCCTACGAAAACACGCGTGTAAAAATGCCATACCTAGATGCTCTTCGGATGAACAAGTGTCATGTCCATCTCCACTATCCTGATCCAGTGTAATCTTACTTTCTGCTATGCCTTTCCAGCCGTCACCAAGATCAATTAAGGGTCCTTCTTCTGGGTCCTCATTTTTAAGCGAGTTATTTTTTAAAGTTTTGATACTGTTTTCAATATCGACGACACGCTCAAGAGCTTCTTCAATGTCATCGTCGATTGCGTCAATAAAGCCAGTAACAGGTCCAGGGGAGACATGTACATCATAGTAAACATATATCTGATCCTCAAAGTCAACGTAAAACAGGCACGGTACATTACGGCCAGGGGCAACAGCATATAGACCTGTAAATTATGATGTCTTTAGTGGTGTTACAATTTTGCCGTAGATATGATCAAGTTACCTGCAGTAAATGCACACACGCGTCCTTCAAATGCAAATTTGACCAGCTGGAATTTGACCTTGGATTGCCCTTCTTCATCCTCTGTTCGTTGGCTCCAGTCTATTAGATAAGTTACACCGTTCCATGCGCAGGCTACAAAGAGTTCAGCACCAGGCATCTGCTCCTCGTTCTCGTCTTCGTCTTCGGCTTCGCTCCAATCACCATTTTCCTTGTAATAGGAACTCGTGTTAGTGCTAGCTCTACTCCCTCGTCGTGATGGCGAGTCGGCCGCTGTCGAATCGCTGACAGCGTCCGCGACAGCTTTAGTGATGGCGGATTCGACGTCGTGCGCTTCAATTGCACCGCTGTTGACTGGCTGTTGCTCATCCGTCGACGACCTACCCGTAGCGCTGGAGGAAGTCCTTGCCAAATCATGATCTTTGTTGTTATTGTTGCTATTGCTCGAATTTTGTCGTTCATTAGTGGGTATACGAGATAGTCTGGAAGATGAGCTGAACGCTGGCGAGGCTGCATTTGATACGTTTTCAGCTTTGGTGCTGCCATTGTTGGATGAATATGATTCGCCTGGGACAGAGGGCGAAGGGAATCGCAGTTGTGGAGAGCTGGCTGAACTTTGAAATGAAGGGTATTGTCTCAAAAACGAAGGCGGAGGTGTGTGATCCAAATTCGACGATGATGATATATCCAATGTGGCCAGACTGAAAAGTTTGTGCGTAACGAATAGGTCATGCGGTGAAACTTCTTTTGTTCGAAGGTTGTAGATCGTAAACTTGCCTAAACATATTTACCATCATCAGTAATCGCAATTACCTGGCTTCCTTTATCCCAAAATCAGAAATTATCTACCGTCCATGCTAAGCATGCCAATTTGGTTTCCATCATCTGGATCGTCCTCGCCGTCGTCATCATCTACTTCCCCTCCTTTATGATTATCTAGTGCGTGCATTATATCGTGCAGCCGTTTTCCCACAACAATTTCTGTAGCAACGGCACCACTCTCTTCTTCACCCATGATATCGTCACCGTCAATATCCGGCCAATTTTGGACAATGTAGCTGGATCGCTTAATCTCGTCACCTGCCACGTCCTGGATTTTGCCTTCACAGTTCATAATGATGTTCTCCGTCTCTATTCCTGCAGGGATATGTGTATCTTTCGTACTACTGCCTCGTTGTAAAAGCGTGCGAATTGTACGCGTCGCTCTGGATAATGGTCCTTCGCTCGCTTTTGGTGTTGTTGCTAAACTTTCCTCGCTTCCTTTGCTCTTTACTCGTGCACTATCGTCTGCTTTTTGCTGATCGGATTGCTGAGATGATGCATACGATGTGCGTTTTTGGAGGCCATGATATCGTCCGTAAAACGTGCGAGGAGAGTATTGTGGGGTGAAATCGCGGTTGTATCGGTTGCCATGACAATCGATAATGGTAAACGTGTTGCCAGGCTGCGCAACAAGTAGAATAGGCTCATTGGGCCTTTCTGGGTGGACTGTTGTTGCCAGTGAAGTAATCTAGTCCGCAATAAAATATACGCTTCAACAAGAGAAGAAGGTAAGTTTTGTTATAAATGCTTTTCTTACCTGACCGTCGAAAACCCAAACATCTTTGATCAACAGTTCAACTTTTCCATCTGGATTTGGCAGAGTCGTGTAGTGCTTAGGTTGAGCTAGATCCGCGTCTTTGGCTGACCTCGATGTTTTGCTCCATCCCATTCCTTTTCGTAGTACGCTCGCAGAAGGTCGTTCTTTAGGATCCGACATGACGCTTCGATTTGCCAGCAGTTTCCCTCGCTCTTTACTGGACGATAGCACGGAAAGCGATGACTGAATAGACGTAGGAATATAATGGGATGATAGGTTGCTTGTTGATGCTGGTGCTTCAATATTTTTCGGTAGTGGCTGGTCGGCGGTCGATTGAAGCTGGAACGCGTGAAGTATTCGGTCCGTGCGTGCGAGTACAAGTTCATTCAACGAATCGCCATCTGTTTTTTTGATTCATGCTTAGTTTTTATACATATCAAATCGTGGAATAACAAAAGGAAAAAGAGTACGCATAGTGAATTTACCAACATCGGCAATAAGGATGCGGTTGACATTGACAGGTACGTTTAGCGACAAATTTGGTTTTTGTAGGTTGTGGATGTGCGGTTTGTCGGATGTGCCCTTGTAGTGTTGTCCGTCTTCTGCACTTTGCTCCATCATGCGTCGAAAAGCTTGAATACTGGACGTATCCGAAGCACGTCGCCCGTGTTTTAAGTATTCATCAACTGACATGAGCGGATGATCGGCGGCAAGGCGAGGTATGTCGAAAATATGAGCTTGTCCTTCAGCATTTATGCACACAACCGAGTTCTTTTTTAAAAAACAAAAAGATCTGCAACATTGAGATATATATTGCATCGTCAACATGCATGTAGTATTTCTCTGTACGTACCTTTCCACAGTTGCGTACGTCGCCAATAGCGATACAGGTAATCTGTACGTTTACGCGCATGTTTTAAGTCAGATAATAGATATAACAAGTCTTGGTCCTTTATTTTTTTGTAAACGTCGAATGGTAAAGAACTTACAGTGCCTAGACCGTGACAAACAAATGTCGGCAGGCCATGAGCACATTCTCCTTTGAATACTGCTAGATCGCCACTAAGGTTGCCAGTGACAAATTCATTTTCCTAGAGAGGAAAGGGCAGAGTCATGTCAGTGAAACGTAAATGAGCGCGTTTTTTAATGAAAGAATCAATCAGTTTTTACACCGTCATTGTCAACGTCGCCAAGTACAAGAGCATGTGGATTCATATTGCCCGAGAACGACCATTTTAGCCGATTGACTAAAGAAATCGTTCTCATGCCTTTTTTTTGTTCCTTGTGTGCTTGGTTGTAAAAGTCGTAGAGTAAAAGACCGTAAAAAAGCGTGTACGGATTCGGGAACTTTAGTTAATCCGACTATTGTACTACCACCTTGCCTGGTGTTTGTTATCATTAAATAATATATAGATATATGCAAGTATGTATGTAACAATGGATCATGATGCCGAGCGCTCTAAATCCGTGGAAGCCCGTCGCTGTGGACGAGATCTTGCATAACTATCCTCGTCTTCTTCTTCTTCCTCATCGTCGTGCCATTCCGTCCAATCCACTAAAGAACCATTGTCTGTATCATTGCGGTTCAAGAATGCCATGGATTCGACGTCATTCTCTTCATTGTTGGCTTGTGCTACAGCACGTTTTGTGACGGCATAAATATACGCCATCACGCCAAACGAGAGAAAAGATCCAATTACCGTTGCAGCAATGCGTATGTTATCTGCAGTGCGCTCGTCGTCAGTCATGTCATCATCGTCACCCAGTATTCGCTTAGAAAATGATGTAAAACTGCTGCCAATGTATATATGGATGCCAATTTTGGTTAAGGATATTGCAGTGCCAAGGGTAAAGTCCCTGAGCGAAATATCGGTTGCCGAGAACAAGACATTCTACAACATATCATCAGTAACAGAGGATGTACATATTCTGCAGTCAGGATGAGGAATTGCATACCAGGATGTTAAAAGGGTACGGAGAGAGTCGTATCAAAAGAAACATCTATTTATAGGTGTTAATATACTTATCAACCAAAACTTCCACATCATCATCGTCTCGCATTACCTTAAACCCGGATTTTTCGACTGCACGGACCACAGCATGGAGGTTTGGGTGTCTCAACATGAACCTCTGAACCCGATCTTTTAACCATAGCCGGGAAACAACAAAACAGGCAACGGCACCAGCCAATGCGCTGAAATAGGACAATGGAAATCCAGCGGCAAATCCAAATGTGAAGCCAGATAGCGTGAGGTACAGTCCATACCCCACCATGGGAGGAAATCCACTTAGAAAGATTAGAAACCCCAGCAAAATGTATCCACTTGCGCCCATTCCCTTGACAGTCTGGCTAAGCTGCTCCAATGCGGTGACCAATTCGCGCCGATAGATGTATGCGATGAGCATGGCAAAGTTGATAGCTACTAACGCCGCCAAGAACAACTTCCATCGCTTGGCGAATTCCCATATCCGTTCACGCGTTAATGCTTGGCGTATCCGGGCAATGCGCTCCCCTCTTTGACTCCCTCCAGCTGGAAACCAGTATATCCGCTCGCCTACGTTGGTGACGTTGGTGGCGTTTGTGGATACCGGTTCATTGCGAACGTCATGGTCTTGTTCTGTGCTCATTTCATATATGCTGCCGTTTTCTGTTAAGACCCACCCCAAATCGTCCCGCAATCGATCAACAACTTTTTTTTTCAACCTTTTCCTTCTTCTATACGATTATATAGAGACGATCCGAAGCACCAAGAAAAATCCATTTACCATTGGGCGTTGCTAAGAGATGCGAATCCCCTGCCAAAGCGATCGCTCCGACTCGTTGCTGAGCGTCTGGCGGCAGTTTGCTTCAAACATACAGAATGAGCTCAGTTGTTCGTCGTCCCAAAAAATATACAGCGTGGTCCTATTTGTCAAAACTCTTACCTTCGGTCCATAATAAACGGTAAAAAGTTAAAAGGAGGTGCTGCTTTTTAGAGGATAAAAAAAAGAGAATCACGGATTTGCCCCCTTTTAGTCTGTTTCCTGCAGTATTTTTACCCGCCCTATCTCTAAAACGCACGTTTCGGTTAGACTGAACACCTTACAACAACAACACACACACGTACAGCAGGATTCGGACGATGCTTTGACCGTAAACCAGATGATTATATGTTATTCTCGCCTAATCAGGCAATGAACCTTTGATTTTGTATTGTTTAGTAGTATAGGTTTCTGAAGCTGTCAAGTTTTATACTCAACAGCATACAAAGATCGCAGAAGCAGGAGTTATATACTGTATTGATAAGCTATCTCATGTTGATCATGCGAAAGACGCCTTTCGCAATAAGGAATTAAGCACCAAGTAGGACTAATATCAGAAACGGGCAGCTGGGTTTACAATCTTCATCACTTCGGATGAAGATTGTATGACTAGCTAAGTGATGGAGTAGTTGCAGCAAATCTTCCTCTACTGACGTGGGTGAGTGAGCTACATCATGTCTGTTGTGAATAAGTTGGAGGCCGATGGCTACCATTACCTTGAGCCATCTTTTTGTCTGTGTATTATTCTATCTATCTATTTGAAACTGATTATGTCAAAGTCAGAAACTCGAGCACGTTCCCCAACTTTGATTACAATGTATCAAGCCTATTAATGGGATAATTCATTTATCCAGCTGTTTATAGAAATGAGCTGTCATGAGCGAGTAACCGAAATAACCGCCCTACCAATACCAACAAGAAGCTTAAGTAGGTAGTATAATAGACATAAAAGATGTACTTTGAGTTTTATAAACGCGCCATTAGGAGAGCAAAATGAAAGGCCCCGTTTGGTCGGCAAGTGTTTGACCCAGTTCCAGGTGAGGTGCTCACATTTCCCTTGCTCAATTCGAGCACTCGGCGGCGCTAATTAATACAAAGCCAAATACAAACTTTAAAAATGATTAAATGTCAAAGGATTTAGTTTCGGACGTTGATAAATGCCGACAACGTATCATTCACATATTGTTGAAAAATCAGGGGCTGTTTGAATCGTGGGGATGATACTTGATGTAATCTCTACCATCTCGGACGCGCGTGTACATGACGCTATTCGAGAAGAGAAAGAGAAGATCCACGACGTTGTAGCTTGTCAAAGATTAGTCCTTTTGGTAGTAGAACATATGGCGTTGTTCCTGCTAAGACAAAGAGAAATCTGTGTTTATTAACCGAAAAGATGCCACAAAAGTAATTAGATTCACGGCAGCAAAGTAAAACAGTATATGATGTTTGACAAGTAGCGGTATTAATTGTTACTACTTTGTACTATACGCATTGCTTAGCAGTACATACACCAGCTCAATAGTAGGTCATTTTGAGCAATGAGTGCCTTTGCTAGCTATACCTGTAACGCTCGCTTACTCTACTCAAGTGGATCCTGCTAAGCCCTTACCAACGGCCTGGATCTAGGTTTAAGACTTCTCTATTTATACATGAACTGGAATTCGGATGCAGTTTACCCGGTCGATCCTTTTATAGGTAACGTCGTCATTAACCGATTTACTCCATATCATCTAGAACACACAAATCCAAGGGCCTCAATAGCAGTAGTAGCTCAGATGGTCTGAGTAAGCATAGAAAAATTACCATTACACAAAATCGTCTTGAATGTAATTATCTTGTGTGTAAGACATAGATACCAAAGCTCATAAATATATGGTGTTCCCTTTTGCCTTTACCAAATTCTAGGAGTAATTCAACTGCAGTAGTCGAATTTACGGTATAATGTAAAATAGAGATAGCAAGTATTGTCAAGATTAAACGGTAGCAATTGTAGTTAGAGATGTCCCGGGAAAGCATAAAGCAGGTTAATGATCTCGTGTGTACAATAAATAAGGGCCATTTTGATTTTATATTTGCGGATCAACAAACGGTTGATTTTAAGCTAGCATATTGGTTGGTAGTGCAAGGGCGAGACACTCGCTTTGAAGTCTTGTCTGTTTGCTTCATGTGATCATCTCCCTCCTTCCCTCTCCACAATAGTTAAGGTGCTGGTTAGAAGCAAAAAGGGAGAAGAGACTGCACTTTGGAAAAAAAAAGTTTTTTTTATTAGGCCACCCGGATATCGCTTTTTCAAATGAGAATATAGAGAGAGAGATGTTATATTACTTTTGAATGTAACACAAGTTCGTTTTCAATTTTTATTGCAACTCTGTGTAGGAAACCTTTCTTGCCTCTCTTTCTGTTCCAATTCCTTCATTTTAGCTGCCACCACCACCACACATATACACACCCCTTCTCGTTCCCTTCTTTTCTCTCCCCGCCCTCCCCTTCCCTTTCCTTTCAAACAGTACAGCGAGAAACACAACCCAATCCTTCCAATGATCAGGCGTTCTCTTGACTCTGCGCACGCACCTAGCAGTGCCGCTGCCGCCGTCCTGATGTACAAACGTGCGGACGAAGAAGAGCAGTCGGCAGCAGGGTCTGTCGCTGCACCTGCTAAGACTGAGGCAGAAAGTAAGGAGAGAGGGATCATTACGAGATATGTTATTTCTAAGGCCAGTAGAACTAACAAATTAATTCACATATCAACGCACATAATCAATATCTTACGACTGTATCTTCATCACATATACGAACAAAACAAAATAAAAAGAGTCGCCCGCTCCAGCAAAGTCAAGCGACACTCCTTTTGCCAATGGCAACTCGCAATCGGTTGAATTCCCTAAAGAAACGAGCAAAGCAGAGGACAAACCGGCCACCACCTCCAAAGCCGAAGAATCATCAGCTAAAGCAACCCCTACTTCTTCATCAGAAAAGAAACCAAACGACCATGCGGCTACCTCGATTCCCACCATTTCGCATCCCGGTGCTGAAACGTCCGGTGTTGAAACATCGACACCGACTGTAGCAAGCGACACGCAAAACAGCAATTCGGAAACCTTGTCGAGCAGTGCCATTGGCGCCATTGTTGCAATCGTGTGCATTATCATCCTGGGTGTGATTGCTTTCTTCTTTATGAAACGACGACAAAAGAAAAAGGCAGCGATGAATAACCGCTTGACCCGGTTCTCGATGGGCCCTACGTATAACGCGACAACGGGCGACAACACATCCTACGGTTACAGCACGGCCATGTCGAATAATACAGCTAATAACAACTATGCGGATCCGTTTGCTTCATACAATGCTGCCACTACAGCAGCCACAGCAGGAGCAGCCTATGGTGGAGCAGCAGCAGCAGCCACAGCAGCAGCAGTAGCAGCTCCTCCTATGAGCAGTTTTAACAATGCCCCACCACCACATACTGCTACTGCTGGCTACAATAACCCAATGGCACCGCCTGTGATGGATTACAATAACACCGCCCCTGCCATGGATTACTACAATAACCCACAGCCAGTCCATCAACAATACTCGCCCCAATTGGCTCAACCGCCACTACAACAACAATCGATGATGTCGCCACAAGCTGGTACTATGGCCTCTCCTCCCTTGCCCATGCAAGAGTCAATGGCTGCTTCGGTTCTTGCGGCGGGTGCAGCTGTTGGCGGAGCAGCTGTTGCAACTCAACAACAACAACAACAACCGCAGCAGCAACCTATCCAGCAGCAGCAACCTATTCAGCAGCAGCAGCAACCTATTCAGCAGCAGCAGCAGCAGCCTATTCAGCAGGATCAGCCAATGATACAGGAACTGCAACAACAACAACAACAGCAGCAGCAAGAGCAAGCAGCAGCGGCAGCAGGCGGAGCGGGTGATTACCAAGCGATTGGTATATTCACGGTGGTAGCAGGCTACATGCCGGCTTTGAGCGATGAAATACAAGTTCGGCCGGGCGATCAAGTGCAGATGTTTGTGGAGTACGACGATGGATGGTGTCTGGGCGCCAACTTGACAACAGGTCAACAACGTGGTGTGTTCCCTAAGCATTGTATTTCGCCGCCGCCTACTCCGACCGCGACCGATCCACTCGCAGTACAGCAGCAGCAGCAACAACAACTACAGCAACAGCCCGTTGGAGCAGCTGGCAATCAGCTTTCGGTAATGGAACTAAAACACCAGAGCAAGCGGGTCAGCTCTTTGTACAGTAACCCTCCTCAGTAGAGTAAAAAAACCACACACAACTTCCTCTCGTTCTCCCTAGCCATTCCCACTCTTTCTTTGTGTGCGTCTCTTCTATCCGTGCGTGCATCCTTGCTGTTCGTGTTGTTGTGTTTCTCACCGTTTTCATTCTCTCTCTCTCTCTCTTCATTCCGTCTCTCCACACCCCCACCTACTGCCCCCCAAGTAAGTAGAGACACAAGAGCACGAACCAATCCCCCCTTGCTTCTAGATTAATATATCCATTATATATCGTTTGTTCGTTCGTATGTAGCGCGTGTTTTCTTTTCCAGAAGATGAGATATGCATGGCTTTTCATTGTTCATGCCAAGCGGTCTCCCCAAGTGTCTACTTGGAACGAGAGAAAGAAAGCAAGTACACTACTGGGAATGGTGATAATGAAAGGGTGTGTGCGTGTGGACTGTTATAATGAGGTGGATGGCAGAAAGAGAATAAAGAGTCCCGGCAAAATGTGGAGTTTCAGGGAGCACGTTCTTGAGGGACCTTCGCACCAATCTTCATTCTCCTAAAAGGCTACCCGCGCGGCCTTGTAAAAAAGCTAAGAGAAGCGTCATGTAATATTATTGTGCTGTTAATCGATACGATATCACTGGTTGGTGACATGCGCCACCCGACTAACTCGTATTTGGCAACGCAAGTATATTGTTCAAGGAGCAAAACCCGAGGGAGTGTGTGTCGGTCATCCAGACCTTAGCAGCAGTATAGCGTATAAAAGGACCCGGCTTTCTTTCTTTCTTTCTTTCTTTCTTCTTCCCCTATCTTTTCTGTGTATTTCTTCTCTCTCTCTCTTTCTTTGCTCATATAGCAGCAACACCAACCCACTCACTTACTCTCCCCTTCCTTTCTTTCCTGTATCAACCAACCCCTATCACCCAACTTTCTCTCTCTGACGCCGGCCGTTCCCCTCACATTCATCTCTATTACTACTACTACTACCTCTACTGCCACCAACTCAACCACCAAATACAGCACAGCAATGACAGCATCTCACAAGCTTTTCTGCATCGCATTGCTCTTGACTTCGTTTTTCCTTAGTGCACTGGCTGCACCTATCAAGCGAGGCGAATCCTACAAAGGTGATGGCACGTTTTATACCGTCGGCCTTGGATCATGCGGCACCGACGACAGCAACAGCGATCTCGTAGCTGCTTTGAACGCGCCTCAAATGGGCTATAGCGCAAACCCAAACAACAACAAAAACTGTGGACGTAAGGCGCGGGTGAAGGGCCCCAAAGGCTCGGTTACTGTGAAAATCGTCGAGTAAGTAGGAACATTACTTACCAGTAGTAGTAATAGTAGCATTATTACTCCTTCATCAGGCAGATCTCACTAAATTGCTTTGTTACCATCTTTAGCACTTGCCCTCCGTGCAAGAAAGGTGATCTCGATCTGAGCCCAGCAGCATTCGGCAAGATTGCTGACTTTGACGACGGAAGAGTCGATATTTCCTGGTCTTGGGCATAAAGAAGCTCTTTTCTTTTTCTCTTTGAATCAGAGTGCACACATAAAGGAGAAAGAGATGTTCCCAGTCCACATGTGGAATCGCATCCACTACATATTAAAAAGACTTCTTGTTACTGTATCCTAGCAACGTTACGTTGCTTTCTTTTCCCCCATATACCTCCCATCACCGTCATCATCATTATCATCATCATTTAAAAACCCATCTTGTACTTTGTCGTAGCTTCACTCACACACCCACTCTTTAACAGAGCCCTCACCTATATACTCCACGTCAACCCCACATAAAGAGAAAAAACCAGATACTATAAATCTTCTTGTTATACTAGTAGATGCAGTAATGTTTCCTGTCATTATTGATGTTGTGTAAACATTGGAGTGGCTACTATATACAACGGCAAAATCAACATTGGGGGTGGGCGTTTAGCGTCATCGTGTCTTTGGAAAAGACGGGTTGGGGGAGGCACCGGAACACAAAATAATATTAGATCTAGACTCTCGCTTCTCTTTTGACAACAGCATGGAATCAACAGTATGTAATGACATGATAATAACAGTAACAGCCAAATAACATCACTATTGCTGCCACTGCTTAACATTGCCATCCGACGATGGCCGAGTCTTTAGTAGGTACAAAAAAAGTAAAAAAAGAAAATGACGTGAGAAATGGGATAAATCTAATTATACTAGCCCGAGTAGGCCACTTTGGGAAGCTTGTCTTCGAGCCGGTCCGCGTGCTGTTTGCCAACCTTGAGAGCATCGAACCCGAGCTTGGCCTTTTGAAAATCCTGTCCAAATCCCGAGTTTGGTTCTGGAACATGGGAGAGCGGCTCGGCAAATGAAGACAACGACGATGAAGAAACCGCGGAAGGTTCTGAGCTCGTCGAGGTCGTCGCCCCGTCATTATCGTCTGGCTGCAGTTGTTGTGCAAACGTGGCAGTTACTAATAGCAGCATAAACAGCCACGCGATCTTGATCAGCACCAGATTGCTATTATTCTCGGTTATCATAATTAACAATCGGGGTTTCGGAAGGCAATACGGGTGTTGGGGTATTCTTAGGATGGCAGGAGACGGGGCGGAGGACGGGACAGTATGGCTGTTGGCTTGGATGAAGGGAGAATACTTCAGCACATCTATCATGAGCGCTTATATATACTTTCTGAACAATCACTTTTGAGCCATCAGTAATCACCTGGCAGCATCATAATTTACCTATTGAAATATACACGCGTCACACACATTCATACAGGTAAAGAGAGAGACAAAGAGAGAGAGAGGACCATGACAAATCCCCGCGAGGACCCCGTCTCCTTATTTTACATTTTTATGCGTTGCGAAAGAAAAGAGAGAACAAAGTATTATGTCCGCCCACAACCACTACTACGAAGAGCAACAAGAAGGCGCACCTGTTCAATGTGCCGACTCGAGTAATGCGTCATCGTCCTCGTTGTCCTACCAGGACTCATTCCTTCGCCTTTTTCGCGATATATCCCAACTGCAATGGGTACGCGAATCGTTCTCGTCACATTCGAAGCACCATGAAGGCTTGCAGAAACGACAAAAAAAGGAGGAGAATATCAAAGCAGGTCTAGAAAAACAGTTGTACGTACGTTGTCGTCATTTACAGTTCAAGCTCACCATTCTATATATATGCAACTGGAGTGAAAAAAAAGGAGATCAATAACTCAATCTTTGATATTGTCATTTCTTCTTTCCTGTAGACATACGCTGCTTAGCAACAGCAGCTATGGTGAACGTGACCATGGAAACGACTACGACAGTCATGACCACGCGCTAGTAGAAAGCTTGAGAAGCCGGGTACAAGAGTCCCAAACAAAACTAGGTAGTATTGAAGAGCAACTGAGGGATGCCGAGAAAATGGTAATAGTAAGAAATAATCACATCATGGAAAATGGAACCTTTTCTGATCACTGATGATGCTACGTGGGATGACTTATTAGTTGACGGATCTGTTGATGAATAAACGGCGGCTCGATAGGTTATGTGATGAACTACACATGTTATATGACGAGGTTCGTTTTTTAAAGCTCGTATTAGCAATACCGCAATCACCGCCATTAATTCATTTTAAACTTAAAACAACCGGTTTTATGATATCATCCCCTTCTTCTGTGCTTGCGCATCCATTGTATCTATCTTACAATTACTGCAGGTGGTCCCGGCAATATCCGACAATCCCGGGTTTGATGATGAACAGACCCTGAAACGTGAAGTGTATCATCTTCAGCAAAGTATACCACAGGTAAATAGCTGTTCTTTTCTTTTCACCATAAATGTCATTTTCATAAAATTAGCTGGAAAGGCAGGAGGGGTGCACAGTCCTCCATTTCACCAGATGACTAAAAAAGGCACATCTAGATTGAAGCAGATATCGACAGATACCTTATTGCACAAAAAGAATTGCACGATGCTCGAGAATCCATAGCGAAAGCCATGATGTTGTTACCGGGTGCTTCCGCATTTGTCAATAGACAGACTATGGTCAGTTACGGCATGAACAGCAGTAGCAGCAGCGAAACTTTGGATGGACTTTACCCCTCCAAAATGGCCCTAGACCCCTCAGTTGCCGCCACCCAAGGTACAAAGTAACAGCATGTGCACTTTGTATAGGGCGATGAAGATGATTAAAAGCTTTGAACAAAGAACACTGAAATCACATTACACGTAGATGCAACAAAACTTGCCCAAGACGCCAATGAACATTTAATCCATGCATCTGACTCTTGTGATCAGGTACCACTTTTGACGATTCCATCTTTTGGCAAAGGTACTTGTATAAAAGCAACCCTAGTTTCCAATGTTTTCTCTTTTAACTCTTTCATATGTGTTTTTGAATCTATCACTGATATTAGATGACAATGTGGCCAGTGCTTTAAGCGCTTACCGCGACTGCAAGATGCAAATTGAAACATTGTTACGAACGAAAATCAACCCTCGCTACAGCCAACTCCAAAGCCAGATTGCCATGTCGCGTATACACTTTGAGCAAAAGACAATCGAATGGGTCGACAAACAAATCACCATGCTAGAACGCGTTTTGCGAGAGAACGGCGCATTAAAGAATGTCAGCCTAGATCGTGAAATGGGTGTTTTACGTATGGGATCAAATGCGGCCATGATAGCCGTCGCAGCAGAAGCAAGTGGTCGTGTCACAGTAGATGATGTTCTTGAAGTCGATTCATCAACAGCTGAAGTAGAACGGAATGGACCTTTGCCTGTATATTCGGAGGATGGAGGAGAAGGGAATATTGACGACGGAATAACAACAGATCAACGATACCGTGACGCTATGATGGCAGACCAACATGGCGAATCATCGTCCTCGCAACAACGACAACAACAGCCGCATACAAACCATCTCGACAACAACAGTAGTGGCAGTAATAGCGCATCGCAACTACCAGCTTATTCGTCTCATAATCATCATCAGAATGATGGATCATCTTTTATGACAGCAGCAGCATATGATGAACACGACCAACCTCCTGCATACTCCACAAATTAGATCCATAAATAAATTTCCATAAAAAATATTTTTGCCATACACGTATTATTTCCTCCTATTCTCTTCATCATCTTTTATGGAAAAAAAATCTTGCTGTTGTAGGGAAAGTGCTACATAATCCGTCATGTGGCAGGCGGCTGACGAACGGACAGAACATTCCGCTGTGATGATCCTATATGAGGAAACTATTAATCAGCTGTTTACCATTTACTATAATATTCCTTAAACTTTTCGTCGTGCAGCAGCATGCTATACGATCGTCATTGAATTTTGACGGCTGAAGCATAGTAAGCTAGATATTCGTCGTAAGAGAGAGCATTCGCGTATCTGACACTGTTAAATGCTTATACAGATAGAATGGGATGTAGATAGGGAGCACATACGTAATTGTGGAGTATACATAGAAGGGGTAGTTGACTATATAGAAGAAATTGGGGGTGTACCTACTCTGCTATACGAGCAGAAGCGAGCCATTTGATCAATGCTTTTCCTGGTATTGTATCTTGTGTGGTTTGTGGGTTGGTGCCAGAATATGCGACTGATAGGTAGGTCTTGATTCCCATCTCGGAATCCATGAGATCGGGGTTTCTGTTGTTGCGCTGATATGCTCGAGAAACGGTAAGCACACAAACAAGGTATTGTATTATTGCATGCTGCTTTTAAAGTCTGAGTATCAACAGACTTTCGTAGGCTTGATCGGCATCGGTTACGGTTGATACCTTTATGAGCAGCCTGATGCAGAGCGATGACATACTGGATTGATGAAGAAACATCTGTGGGGAAAAAGAGACGTGGGAATGACCACTTTCTCTCGGTTATCTTCATTGATCTATCTATTTATTTTTCTTTGTCGTTCTGGTCGATAGGTCGAGTATACGATTAGCAATAACAGATAAGCCGTATAGAAAAACATGTCAGGAGATTTTTGCTCAAGCTAGCTCTAGCTATGGTCAAAGAATTTACATGCAGCACCATTATGTTTGACATATTTCAATACGTCAATACTATTCGTTAGCTACGACTTGCAATAAGATGCGGCCCAGTTACTCTACTCTGTGACAACATCACCTTTTCTTTGATAATCGTGCCCTTAGATAATTACAAGAATTATCTGATTTTCATGCAAGATAGACATTTACCCGGTCGCGAATGAAGGTGCTTAACTGCAAAGAGTGATCCATGAAACTTTGTGTATTTAGGGCACCCTCAGGGGCCGCCGATTCGATATATTTTCTTTTCCACTTTGTACTGCCTGCCATTTGTGTTGCCGTAGATAAAGACTTGGCTACCGAGAAAAGATTGATTATTTGATAAATAACAGACGCAAAACAGAGTTTGTTATCATGTTCAAGTTGAGAATAGCGCTGGAAAGATTAGATGATATGAAATGCAATGATTTGTATAGGTGAGCCATATGGTATCTGCGACAGCTGATTCTTAGATGATTGCACACATTAGCTTTATCTGGTTTCACGCGGCATTTGATGAGCTTGTACTGTTTAGAGAGTGTCTACAAAAATGGGCAGAAATAAAGTGAGTTCGGACCGATACTAGCGCGTGTACAAGTTCAGAAATCATATGCTCCCAGGAATTGGATTGAACACACAGCAGGTGCCTTTAATTGATATTTTGTGGGTTCCATCTCTTAAGGATTTATAAAGGATGTCTGTTTCTTTGTTATGTGAGTAGAAATGGTCGCCTGGCGGACCGTTAAGCGTTGGATAGCGTCTGAAAAAAGTTGTAAGATAAGATTTTCCGTTTCGTCTAATTGAGCATGTAGCTATCGTCATGCTCACTGGATGTATTAGCTGTATATTAATAGCTGTAGTTGTAGTGGGCTAACAACGGAGGACCCCGGTTTACCATGGCTCTGTTTGCAGGCACGCATTGCCTACCATCAGTTTTACATTATAGAGAAGAAGCAAGCAACAAAGTGGGCATAGGTTACTAACTGATACAAAGCATTTTTGCCAGTCGTCCTTCCTCCTCTCTTGTAGTCTACGTGCACCAGACTGCCGTCGTCGTCGATCTCCATCCGGTCACCGTTTGCAGCATCTACCATTTCTTCACATTCTTCCGGAACTTGCTAATCATCGACTTCAGCCTCTTGGTCATCCGCTACGGGTATATCGGTTGGATGATCGATAGCCCTTTGAATCATAACATGTCTGTGTGCAATACCTTCTTCTCGCAGGCGTGAAATGCTAATGGTGTATGAGATCACCTTTTTGGGAAGCATCGTGCTAATTCCACCGTCAGTCTCGTTTACAGTGTCAATACGTTACATTCCGAACTCGCGTCAAAGCGTTTCCAAGGAGATCCCTCCACGTTTTCAATTTCACTCCGAGTTGCCCTGAGCATGTGCTTGGTTTCGTGAAAGGAAGAGAACGTACTGGTCACAATCCTGAATGTGCTTTTTTGGCGCTTTACGTCGATGCTAGATATTTACAAGTTTAAGCAATATATCAGTGTATCGTGAGAAGAGGGTTTCACGCAAGAAAAAAGTTGTAAGCGGTTAGTTATCTTTGTCGTATTAACAAGTAATGCCCTCGAGGTTAATCGTGATATGCCATGAAGACGCCTTCTGCGTAGCAGGTGGTGATTGGCTCCCTCAGTGTAAAGACTCGCAGCGGTTACAATTGCAGAAATTGTCGGATTGGCGAATAAGCGCGATCTGATTATGTGTACTTCTTGAACACTTTATGTAAAAAAGATTCAATAATAGCATATATTAATTTCTGTCCATGACTATTTGCTTGACGTATTTCTTGTTGTAGTCAATTTTCTACATTTTTGCCATGTTGTATACCAAACTTTCTCGTATTATAGTTGTCTATAACCTATAACAAGAACTTTGGGCGAACCGGAATGCATGTGGCGATTAGTCTTTCTAGCCTTCGACTGTTGTATGATATGCTATCTCGCCATCTGCCCTTTGAGAAAAAAATGATGTATGTGGAGCCACAAATTGTCGTTCAAAGGAGCTTCTCGTAAGCTAGTGCGTTGCACTTGATGTACATTTCGTTTATCACAAATATTGTCGTCAAAGTATGTACATGGTGATTTCTGTATTGTCAGATCTTCTGTTTTTGTGCAGAAGAGGGCGCAGCTTTGATATGTGTTGGTTGCAATTATATTCTGTACCTTGTAGTGCTCCGTGACTACGGTATGTCTTTGCGATATTCGTTGTGGCACTCCATTTTTAACCAGCTGCAATGAGCGGGCTTCTTGTCACGATTTTTTATTGTCATAGCAAGCTTTTATCGAAGGATGTCACAATATATGCGCTATTCCCTTTGCACACAACAATGTTTATAATCAGGGCACACAATGTTACATCGCCAAACGAGGAAAGTCGACCTTATTGTCCTTCTTACCAACTTCGTCAACAAGGCTACGACGTCCAAACAAGTTATATCTCTTGTTACTCGTCTATTTGCTAGGTCGCACATATCCTAAAGGAGTACGCCATGTGCAGAGTGTCTGTTCTTCTTCTTCTTAAAGAAAACAGCGTCAATATGTGAATAAGAGATTATATTAACAAGACAAATGCTCACCCTAGACGATGAAGGAAAGCTTCGCAAACGATCTTATTTATAGCGAGCCCACGACAATAACACATCTTCAAATATAATAGGTATCTTTTCGAGTACGTATATAAAAGCGCCGTATATGATAAAATGAAATGGTAAGTGATAATAGTGCGCTGCTGTTCGTAGTAGCTTTTTCTGTATCTCACGAATAAAAGGTTTTCAATACCTTGATGACGGGGAAGGACGAAATGTTGCTGCACTGCTTGCTGCTTCGTGCATGCTCTGCGCTACCATGCCATATTGGCTGATATATTCTCAGGGGCAAATCATATAAATATATATACAGACAGCCAAGTCTGCAATGCCTTGGAAAAAGAGAGTGCAAAAAGATAAAATATATGTACGAATGTGCATCGTGATTTATTTTTAAGATACAGCAGCAGATTGTAATGCGGAAGATCCAGGATGTCGTCATTGAGTGACAGAAACTGCTATAGGCAGGCAAAATAGAAAGAAGAATATTGGGACGTCTATCACAATCTTGATGCCTGTTTTTAGCAAGTAAGTCGTCCAGGCCAGCCATTTGGCACCTCATACTAGTAATAAGCTTCTCATCTTGTTCTTGCAATATATATATATACATATATATATATATGGGCAGTAGATACTTCAAATGAGAAAAATAATACGGCTGATATAAGCAAGTTGATACCAAATTTACGTGCTACAGTATAACATACATCAGTCACTACTGTCAATTTGCAGCATATATACACAAGGAAAAATATCGAGAGGGAATCCAACCCTTCGCAATCAGAGAAATTGTGCTGCTATCGCATTTAACTAGCAAAAATCATACCTAGTAATGGTGGCGCAATATAAAATTCGACTCGTGTATATGATACCGTACTGCTTGATGAGCTCTCGACCATTCTTTGTTTGTTCGATGGAAACAGTAGCTTTTCATGTTCTGCTTTACTGCCGTCGTATGTCTAATACTTATTCATCGACCGGTAAAAATAAAAATTATGCAACTTCTTTTCCTGCTCATATTGTAATTGCCCAAGACAGATGATGTAGGCGGGTTCAAAAGATACATAAATAAGTGCATAAAGATACTTTTGGCGTTGATGTATAATAGGCCGCCACCATACACACAATGGAGGTTTGACGAAATAAAAAAAAAACCATGCGGAAAACATACAGCTCCCAGATAGAAAGTTTGTTTGCGTTGCCACTCCATCTTTTTGACGGTTTGAGCTTCGTTGGTTACGGTACTATGGCCTCGTGAAAAAACGAAGTGCATCGAGTATACAGAAAAGACGCATCTGTTTGTTGTTTCCAGGTGTGCACATCATCCAAACAAATGGCAAGAGAAAAAAGGAAAAACAAAGGTGACCCCATTTGTGGCACTGTGAGCCAATTTCTACGCTTTCGGCAATTGAAAGAGCAAGCGTTCAGTGGGTACACCGAAGTCTCTCAGAGAACGGAGTTGATGGAGGTGGGTTCCAGAGAGTGGTGGTGTGTGGTCGTGTGTGTGTGTGTATGTGCCGTGGTGCACTGATACTCCTTTCCTCTCTTCTCTCTCTTTTTCACTTTTTTCTTTTTTCTGCTGCTTTTTTTTCTCTCTGACCCTTTGTGTATAGAAAGAGCAGCCCCTCCCCTCTCCTCAGAAAGAAAAGAACGGCTTTCCTCTACACACTTTTCTTTCGTACACATAAGAATATAACAAAAAAAAAAGAAAGAAAAAAAAAACGATATCATACCATATATATAAGTATCAACAACAACAACACCACCAACACAAGCAACGATGCGTGAACCCAATTTTAGCCATCCGGCACAAAACAGAGCAGCAATCGTCATCACATCTGCTTTATACGATCGAAGAGCTCTCGATTGTACCGCTACATTACCGCTCGTCAATTCGCTTACTCACCTTGCGTACATGACATCCACATCACCCCGTATACGAGAAATCTTGGCTGCTGATGGCGGCCTGGAGCGACTTGTTAAGATTCTCGCCACCTGTCAGCACACAGACCGCCATTCGTTGTGGAAATGGTCCCTCGCATTCCAGTGCATGGTTAATGTGGGAGTGCGTGGTACCGAAGAGATACGGAGCCGTGTGGTCGAAACGGGAGCAGTCCATGTTGTACTGGCAATCCTCGAAAACTTTACTAGGGCACTGGACCAGGCCAGAGCCGATAGCAAAGACCATGAACGCAAGCAACAACAACAACAACAACAGCAGCAGCAGCAGCAGCAGCAACAACAGCAGCAAAACCAGCAACAGCATCATCAGCAGCAACAAACTCAACTTCAACATCATCACCATCAACAACAGCAACAGCAACAATTACCCCCAACAGCACTATCTTTGCCGACGGTACCTTTGCAGCCGACACAATCTCGGTCGACACCTACACCTATCACTCCTTCACGGAGATTTTTCGGTCCTTTATCATCGACAACGAACACTACCACAGCAACCACCACCACGACTACACCTACACCTACAAATGCTACTAATACTGCTTCTACGCTTGAACACCATCATCACCAGCAACTACAGCAACAGCAATCCATGTCGTCAAGCGACAGCAGTCTGTTCTCAGCGCCCAAGAGACGCACGTTTCTCACGCGCACTCCTAAAGCCAAAGCAAAACCTGTCGATCCATCACTATCCTCAATACCACTGCTGAACAGCCTATCATCCGAGGCGATTCTCCATCGCGAAGAGGACGTGCTGCTGTCGTTGCAGCTACTCGCTTACCTGTCCAAATACCCACACATCCGTGAATCTTTCCACAAGAACCACCGCCGCAATGTTTTCTCTGTCGTCGAGAAATTCACGCACCGGCTCCATCCTGCCACCATCATCTATTGGGCAGGAGTCATCATGCGTAATGCGTGCAGGAAGGACGAGCAGCGAGGTGGGATACGGCAATGTGCATACATGCATTGCGGCAAATGGGAACGATATCCGCGCGAGTTCGCTAAATGTCGTCGATGGTAAGTAACGATCATTTAAACAATGGGGAGACTTCGTGGATATGAAAGAGGATAGAAAGAGTCAAAGAAGATGGCAGACTAGGCCGAGTTCATGTTTACTCACAAACAACAACTTTTTTTAACCCCTTTTCAATCTCTCTCTACTACTCCACTACCAATGCTGCCACTACTGTGATCATCATCATCACCCGTCTGTGGACGTCGTCATCATCACCCTACCTGATTCTTTCTTGACCCCGTTCTTTTTTCTTACCTGTTTCCCCTTGTTTTAGCCGCAAAGCAAAGTATTGTTCCAAAACATGCCAATCCAAGGCATGGGCTGAAGGCCATCGATGGTGGTGCGTTGAACGCCATCACGCCACACACCCGCCCGCCACAACGACATCCAGTACCACTGCCGCTGCCGCTGCTGCCGTGGTGGCCGGTGCACCGCAACCCACTCCTCAAACAGATCAGGTCATGCCGCTTGCTGCCCATGGCACGACACCGGAGGTCATGCCGATTCCCATTGACGAGCGTCAGAGCGACATTTCACAAACTGATGAAGGAGGGGGAGGTACCAACAACACCACTGCCACCACCGCCGACGGTACAGTCGCCGCTACTACCACTACTACGACTACTGCAGCTACTACTGCAGTAGATGTCAACAGGACTACGGCAAACAACACTCATAGCAACAGCCTCAGCAGTAGTAACCAAGGAACAGGACCTCGCCTGTCCCTGAATGACCATGGCGCTTCGGACATTGACAATGCAGAAAATGACAATAACAACAACAATACCCATAGCAGTAGCAGCAGCAGTACAACGCCAACGCCCACTATCTTGGGCGACCAGCAATCCAGACGAGAACATATGCATACTCGACGACGAAACTCGCGTTCTACGCACAGTGTGCCATCAGGCTCGTCTACGGAGGTAGAGGCTGATGTAGCAGATAGCAACGGCATTAATATGCGTGATTTGATGGAGATTGATTAGTAGAGGGGCCTGAGCAAGAGCAAAAACCGTTTATCCTATATTATCATCATCATCATCACCCCAACCCCTTCCCCTTTATTCTTTTTCCCAACAAGAACAAGCATCCACAATTATTACACGCTCACAATCAGCGCATCGGCTGCAAAGAACAGCAACTTTTCAACAACACGGCACCCCTCCTGTTTCTTACTGTTTCTTTTCCTTTCCATTTTCCTATTTTTCTCTCTATATCCTTCTTCTTCTGTACATGTACCTTTCTTTTGTCCTTGCCTATTTCCAGATTTATTCTCTTATTTTCCATGAGTTGCGTCGTGTGAACTGTGAAATGTGACTATGGTGTGTGTGTGTGTGTGGGTTCTCGCAGTAATGCAACGCTAGTAGTAGCGTTTTTTTTTTTCGTTTAGTTTCTAAATGATGCTGACTTCCATCATCAATAATGCCTGGTTGGGTTTTCTGAGCCCAAACCGAAACGACACTAAATAATTTAAGCATTACATCACACCGATCCATTCTAACATGTAAAAGGATATATAAAAGAGGCACCTGGTGCGTGTTATGTCTGCATTTTTTTCCCCGATTCTTACTTTAATTGCACAATGCCTCCCAAAATGTTGCAAAATATTATGAAAACCCAAGTGCGTAGCTATCATAACAAGGTAAACACAAAAAACTGCATATATTTATTACATTAAAGATTCACACACCCGATTGATATGCTTGTGTATACGAGTATGATAATGCTTATCCAAAACCGGCTATAATAACTTTTTTATACTGAACCAGGTGATCGAGCACTTTACACGTCGCGAGAATGTTGGTTCTCTGGATAAAAAGAGCCGTCAAGTCGGCAGTGGTCTAGTAGGTGCTCCTGCTTGCGGTGACGTTCTAAAACTCGATATCGCTGTCGACGAAACAACGGGCAAGATCACTGATGCAAAGTTTAAAACTTTCGGTTGTGGCTCTGCAATTGCTAGTAGCAGTTATGTCGCTGAAAAGGTGCGCGGATTGTCGCTTGACGAGGCTGGCCAGGTGACGAATCGAGAGATTGCTCAAGAATTATCGCTTCCACCGGTAAAACTTCACTGCTCAAGTAAGTGTAGCACACAATATCATTTGGTAAAAATGTCTATGTACTCATTCAAAATCTATGCGAAAAACTGGATGCTACTATAGTGCTAGCAGAAGATGCCATCCAAGCAGCTATTAAGGACTATGGTTCCAAACGTCGTCAATAAAGCATGAAAAGGGGGGAACATTACTATTATTACTTTTTTACTGTTATTTATAAAATTTTACAAGGAAGTTTGCCTGTACTTGGAGAGGATGATGATGAAGATGATAATGCTGCGGTTGTATTATTTTTGTGAGTATGAATGTCAGTGCTTGATGCCGTTGCTCGGGTATCTGATGTCTTGTCATCTTCGGGAGATGGTATAGTTTCATCGAAATCAACGTCCTGTGGCTGCTTATTGATGATGTGTGGAGTGTCAACGTCGTGGTTACATAGCTTGACAAGTTCGTAAAATAAAACATATGCGTCTCTCGAAAGTTCTGCTTGCACAGTGCTATGTCGTCCGGCAATGGTACGCACACGTTTTGACGTATCCAAGTCATCTGTTCGATGAATTGTCTATCAGATTATCTTGAACAAGATGCGAAGGGGTTTCCACTCAGTTATTTACCTAGTTTGAGCCATATCTCGTCGTCTTGGTCATTTGCAGCGCCAACACAATTACTCGCTCTTGCATAAGCAACATAGTGACCCGCATGGACTGAGCTTCCTTTATGACAGACTGCACTCTGTAGCCGCATAACGCATTCCACTTTCTGGCCACATGTCCTACAGATTGGGTAATCCGTGTTACGATTCACAAAACGGTTGAACTCAATTTGTGGCGGGATATCGATGATGGTCTTGATCTTGTGAGAATTCCCCCGCTGATCATAGCGGTACCGGTTTAAAACAATGGGTAAAATCAAATGCCAGTCCGGAAAGTTTTGTGGTGCCTGGGTCTCGATCGAGTTCCCTTGTTCGTTCATGCCGCTGTAAAACGGAAGTAGTTCCAGCACTTGCCATGCTGTCACCTCGACCTGACCCTCGGAATGCTCGGCCCCTTTGGTGATGGATAACTCGTCGTCGCTCATCCCATTGTCGTCGTCGGATGGTGACCTGTTTTCACCACCAGCACCACCAGCACCACCATTACCATTACCACTATCGCCCACTTGACGCTTAATCCCAGTAATGATGTTGTCATAAAAGTGATCCAGCAATAAATTCTCGAGCTTTGCAGAACGGTCATGCGGTACGGCGATCGAGAGGATACGGTCGGTCATGACACGATCATCGTCCATGTCCCGGTCAGCTCCATGAAATAGTCGTATTTGAAACTATCATAATACCCGGTGTTAGAACGCAAGTGTCGATATCCCATTCCACAGTAAGACATTTACCGGTAGATAAGGCAGATCGAACGTTTCTGTTAAAAACATGAACAGTTCACTCGCATCTTCTTGCATCCAGTTGCCATCCTCGTCACACCCTCGCCATTGGGCTCCCTGAAGTGTCTTTCGCAAGCCTCGAACCGTTTCGGATTTGATCAAATGACCTTTACGCATTTTGTTGACAAAAAACCGGAGTAGTGTTTGCAGCCGTTGCTTTGATTCGAATTCATCCGAAATATCATATGTCAGAAGCGGATCAAACGACTACAAATATCAAATCAATGATGTCTTCTTCCCTTTCAATTCCTTACGACCTTTTGCCACACACATGTAGGAGAATTCGGATACTTTACACTTAGCCCAATAAACATGGCAAAGAGGAGTGCGTCGATATAACAGCTCGTATATGCGTCGTTTTCGCTACCGAACAGCACAGTATTCGTCTCGATCCGAGGTGGTGGCCACAACAATCCACTGTCTGCCTCATAAAAATCGTCAAGTTCATTGAAAGCTGCTTGCCTGTCCCATGCACTTGCTTCAAGAATGTCGTAAAGTGCAGAATGATTAAGCGAACTGATGGACGAGTGGCGTTCGGCATAGTGGGTCAGTGATGCCAGCGCAGCTGTTTGCTCTTCGGTCAATTTAACTTCATCGTGGGATGAGCGACGGTGATGTGAGAAAAGAAAGCTTTTGATAAGTGAACGCTTTTTTCCCATATGCCCTACTACTGAGCGCCGGCGCCCTTATTGTTATCTTAATACGAGGTGAGTGTGGGGTGGTGTAGATACGGTATGTGTTGTCGGCGTTGATTTATAGCGCAAAAGGTAAATAGAGAAAAGCTTAAAGATGGCACAGCGATCATTTTCTTCTGTTTTTCCATTTTTCCACTGTTACCACATTTATATCTTTACGCCACTACTTATTCGCTGCTTATGTAGCTCAGTACATTTTCTAGTAAACACATACGCAAGAGTGCCTGTATATACCATACAGATAATTGTAGCGAAGTTAAAAATTGCAGGTCTTATAATGATCTTCTCAAGTTTGAGTCTGGTAAAAATCACCTTTCAATTAGATGACCAGTGAAACCAAGAGTTGCTGATGCTGGCAACGTAGTGTTATACTTCCGTTATTATTCTGTACAAGCGCATACCTTAGAAAAGCTGATTTTTATCTAAATATAATGCAATTAAGTCTTGGCTACCCTCTCATTCGTAAAACTGATAGCATATACCAAGTTGAAAATGTGCACATGGGCAAGACTGTCATGTTTTTGTCTTTTATGATCTTTCATAGCAACATATCAGAGTGAGTGGAATCAAAGCTTATTAGATTCCTGAAACTCTACGCTTAACCAAAACCTTATAGCTATTCTTTTTGACAGTTAACGTAAGGAATGCACATCTATCCTTTGATGCAGCAACTTCTTCAGGAATAGCCTGGAAATCGTACAACTTGATCAGATTGGCAATCGATAGTCGCATCTCTTGTTCCGCAAACGTCTTTCCAACACAGTTTCTTGGGCTAAGTAAAGAAGTTGATGTGTTTTACGACATTAACAAATATACGATTCAGTGAACGATGTTAAACATAATGGAAAGGTAGAGCAGCCAGAAACATTACTTACCCAGTGCTGAAGGGAAGGAACGCTTCAGTATCTGCTGGAGGTGCACCAGAACCAGGAACCCAACGCTCAGGAATCCATTTTTCTGGCTCGGGCCAGTATGCTGGATCCATCTGTGAATGATACATAGTACAATTGAGAGTAGTCTATATAGTATGCGTTTGTTAATTAACATTGAATAAATAATAAATTCTGGAACCGTCGCAACGACTTACGCCTTTGGGAACGAACAAGCGACCGTCTATCACAACATCACGTGTTGGCACACGCTCTAGGGCTCCTACGACGACAGCATCCAATCTCAAAGTCTCGTTGATAACGGCGTTCAAGTACGGCAGATGTTTCACTTGTTCATGTAGCAACAGCTTATGGCCCGGTTTAAAGTCGATAGCATCAACTTCTTGACGCAATTTGACGAGTGCTTGTGGGTTCGTCATCAGCTCAACAACCACAAAGCCCATGCTGTTGCTCGTTGTTTCCGATCCAGCAGTCAGGAACAGTACCGTTTCTTGAGCAATCGCGGAAGCTGTCAGTCGATCTTCGCTGTTGCTGGCATGTTGAGTATCAATAAGGATTTGAAGGATATCGTTGCGACGGGCCTTTTCGCCTCCTACCAATCGTTCCATAATAACTTCTTTCATAAACTAGAGAGTAAGGATAAATGTTAGACAGTCATTTTATAGACCCGATGATGTCAGAGCATACAGTGCTACTATATGTACAGACCTCCTTTAGTTCACTGTTAGCTTTTAAAATACCACGACTGCTTGCGGGAAGCATCAATTTTAGAGGGCCTGAAATGGGATGAGTGACAAGCTGCAGAAAGTGATAAAAGATGAGCCACAAGTGTTATCAAATCGGGTAAACACATTATCAAACATTTCCTCGACATTACATAATGCAGCATTTTCATATTTTTGGTTATGGTACGGGGAACAAGATGATCGTTGCCTTCCAACATGTTGAAGGTTTTTCCGAATGCAGCTTCACCAATGATATCCAATGCTAAATAGTGAACGAGGATCCAAATATCAACCTGACCGTAACCTTGTTCGTTGCTGGTCTTTGCAATATCTCTGTCAATCCGATCGAAGAATGCTTGGGTTGTTTTTAGCATATACGTTTCGAGCGAGTTTAGGTACTTGACCGCAAACGCTGGTGAAAGAACGCGTCTCTGAAATTCAACCGTTTAATTCTCTCTCATCTACTTTTGCTAGACAGGCTTATCCTAAAATATTAAGTTCTTGAACTTACACGTTGCTTGTGCTTGGCCCTGTCAATGGTACTTAACAGATCTGGAGGGGAGCGTTCTATAAGATAGGATAAGACGTATGCCAAGTAAAATACATTTCTTCTCTTAAGTCAGTAACAAAGTAACAAATCATGCAGTAATACTTACTCTGAAGTCGAATATACATCGGCCCTTTCAGATACACTTCGTCATTGCGAAAGATCTCTTGAAGCATGCGCTTATCCGCAATGTTAATGCAGTTGGGTCCTAGACGCACAATGGAACCATACTTGGCGTGCCATGCTTTAAGCTTCTTATAACTATTTTACGTCAGTCAAACAAGAAAATCAAAGAGGAGAAAAAGAAACAGAGTGTGTTAATACAGAATATAAATTTAGGAATGCATTGATAATTTTATTGTACACAATCATCTCGTCTTCCCAGCCCTACCTCTCTAAGCTCCTCATGATGTCATGCCAACTTACGATGTTCCAGGTGGATCTTCGATACCGGGTGTGAAGCGCACACCATAAAATTTGAGGCCCAGTGGACCAGGAATACTACTCAAAGGTCCCAAAAATGCGCTATACAATTTCTATACCATTCAATATATTGTGTGTAAGCAGATATGACTAATATATATAAAGAAGACAACTATAAGAAACTATCACGTACCGAAGCAACGATATACATAGCCCAAGTGATTGCAGCAGCCCTTCCAAAATTTGCGACAGTTTTCTGATCCGTTGATGAAGAGATTTTTTTGAATATGGCGCTAGCTGAAGCCTCCAGATGTTGAGTGAAGGATGTCGTATCCATGATTAACGAAAATAAAACCGTAGACTAAAAGGATGCTGCCTTCTAGGCAAGGTCTGTTCAACTTTTATATGAATTTGAAATCCAATGCCCCCCAAAATTAGCAGTAGTCCTCCTACATATAGTACTACATAATACACTTGCATATACTATACTCGACCCAAAAAGTCTTTGAGAATTCCCCAAAATTGGATTTAATAAAAAAGCAAAGCAGTGATATACATTAAATTTGGATGCTTTTTACCTCTTCCTCTTTCTAACACATTACAATTGAACAACATAACCAATAACGCCAATTCCTCTCACAAATGACGTGAAGAATAGCCAGAAAACAACAATCATGAAATTATCGGGCTCTATAAGGGGAATAATAAATTTCTCCAGATCGATGCTGAAGGAGTACAACTCGGCACGTAACACTGCTTACAACGTTATCAACAAATGGAAAGAAAGGGGCTCTGTGGCAAACAAAGAAGTGAACGACCACTTGAGGTCTCGAAGAGGGACCTAAGCACTCTCTACCATTGTGTATGCCGTGACCCCCATTTGCCTTACCGGTTTCACCAGCTAGTATTGTAAATGCAGGCCTGCGATCTCTCGAAACACAGTGATTAAGTACTGTCACGTAAGCCAGCACTTAAGGCACAAATAGCCAAGCGACTGTTATTGACAAGTAAATACAAGGATTGGACACTAGATCAGTGGAGCAATGTGATTCGGTCTGGCGAGGCACGATTTCATGTGGTTAAAAACGACGGACGTGCAAGAGTGATACGCCATGATGGGGAACGCCTCCTGAGTAGGCGTATACTTAAAATGCACTGATTTGGAAAGGAATTTTGCATGGTCTTGGGCTGCTTTTGGGCAGAAGACTTGGGATCACTAGTTGTTATGGATGGCAATGTCGACCAAAACGCGTATTTCAACTGTTTGTCGCGCCACTTCCTTCTAGATCACGAATCAATTAACGAAGAAATAGGGCACGAGTTCATTTTTGCAGAAGATGGGGCTAGCTGCCAACGGTATCAGATCAAGAATTTTAGTTTTTGGCCACCTCAAAGCCCTAATCTAAATCCGATGAGCATTTTTAGGGTAAGTTTAGAAAGGCCATAAAAAATATCGCAAAACGCCCATCAAAATTTACAGGAGAGTTAAAAGTCGCTCTACAAGAAGAATGGAGCAAGCTTTGGGTTGATGTAGCAAAACACCTTGTAGAAATATGCTGAACCAATTAAAAGCTGAGATAAAAGCTCGATGAAATGATAGGAAGTATTAGAGTATAAGCTCTTTTCTTACTGTACTTTTTATGAGTTACATACCGTAGACAGCTATCATTTTTCTGTCTTTATAGCGAACGCGCAGAAAAATGCTTCTTCTTCATTATTATTTCGGAAAGATCCCAAGACTTCCTGGGTGAAAGTGTATTATATACTCCAAACCATCTTCAGCGACCACCAGAAGCACACTAAGCAAAGAGCAATGCTTGCTTTATCTTAGCAAAGCGTTAGCGATATATGGAGATGACACTGTGCCTTTTCCCAACAGCCGAGGTTGTAATCTCTGGAGAAGGTATAAAACTGACCGTTTTCTTAAAATGGTTCGACTGCTGATCATTCGCTCGATTAAATTATCCTTAATTGGACTAATTCCAATCCCTTTTTCCGCACGGCAAAAGATTGTGCAACGACTATCGTAATTTTCACACTTTGCATTTTCTATGTTATTATATGATTGCGTAAACTTATAAGCGACAACTACTGATGTTCTCTACAGAAGCTACTGGGGCGAGCTAGATGCAAAAACAATGATGTTGGTGAGACACCTTTGATAGCAGAACAGATATAGTCGTCTGCTGCGTCTACGGCAGTGGAACAAAGAATACCACAACCCTACAGGTGCAACGTCAACCAAGATCATAAAAGATATAGCAGTTTCTTATTTATTATTACTATCGCATATAGTTAATTTAGACTGGCTTTTACAAGGCCACGCTTCTTCATGTACGTTTTGGACTTTAAAATTAGAGGATAATACTCTATTTCAACGCATCCTGAGTCAATGCATTGCAAAATCTGAGATGCTGTTTCCGCTCCACTGTACCAAGCTCCCTGGAGGAATCCATAAAAAGACTTAGACATTGCCTCTCCCGCAAAGAACAGTCTGTTCTGCACTGGTGCCTTCATGTTGACGTGATGCTGATCCAATTCACCAATGGGCCAGTTAGAATAGCTGCCACGGTACAACGGGTTGCTGTGCCAGCGAGGTACGAGGATATCCGTTGCTTCAGGAATATCTGATCCATACATGGAACGCAACACCTTCATAGCCTCGGCTTTAACTTCTTCATCTGCCATGGAATCCACCTGGTACGAATAATCTTGGGTGACAGTTACGAAAAAGACGTTGGTCGATGTGTTCTTGGGAAAGAAGCCGGGAGCATTCAGGTTCTGCCATGCTGCGAAATAGCCGCGACGGTCAGGATCGACGTACATGGTGTACTGGTTGTCATCCCAGAACTGATAAGGAAAATTGAGAAAGATCTTGGTGTACGTCGCCATATTAAAACCGTAAATGCCTTCCATTTTCCAATCAGGGAGACGTGGACTAAATTCGACATCGCGGTGCTGCAATACACCAACACTTTGAAAAATATGCGTACACGATGACTTTTTAGTACTAAGAATCTATGCACACGCGCGCTTATTACTCTCAAGGATATGGATTTTTCCCAAACTTACGAGAATGTGCTGATAGCATAAGCAGCTTTTATTGTAACATCCGAGTCTGTGTAAATTGTAACACCATTTACATCATAAGCGACCTTGGTAATCTTGGTACTTAGAAGAACACGCGAATCATTTTTCTCCAAGAACTCGTTGGCTGCTTCTAAAAAGATGTGTTTGAAACCTCTAGAAACATTGATAACCTTGGTGTAAGTATATATTACTACGGTATGAAGAGGGTAGTAGAAACCAAAAAAAAAACAGCAGAAAGCGGAGACCATATCATACCGTTGATCAACAACAAACAAGTCGCCGTCGCTATCTTCACCAAAAGCAGTGTTGCCATAGCTGTTTTCATCGTTTTCAATGCCATGCAACAAGCTGCTGACTTCAGGGTTTTCGCCGTATTCCCAGTCAAAGTTATAGTATTCAACCGCCCGCTCCAATGGCGTAAGCGGATACCATCCGGCTAAATCGAGTCCAACACGGGCTGAAATGTCGACCTGACCATTCTCCACGCGTTTATCTACAGTAATATGAGTATAAAATAGCGATGTGGCTGGATAAGGGAAATGGATGATATGCTTTTCCAAGATAGTGGTTGTTGTTGTAGTAGTACAAAAACATACCAGCAAGTTCCGACATGCGATCATATGCATCTCCATAGCTAATAATGAACCCGTAATAGCAGAATAATCGACGACCATGTGCGTTAGTAAAGCGAGTTGAGGAAGGAGCTTGTTTTCAGGTACGTTTTCTTACGTGTTGAAAGCTTCGGTATAGTTTACTGGGCCAGTGTCGTCATAAAAGACAACATTGGCACCATCGTTGGCGGCAGTTTCCAGTCCATACTTCTTGCGCAGTATATTGATCGGATTAGTGCCCAACCCTTGCACCCAGTTGCACCCTACCTCGACCTTGATATTTGCAAAGTCGGTGTTTTGTGCTCGACCTGATTTTATTAAGACAGAGAAGGGTGCCATTTGAGTATTCACTGGGCCGACAGCAACAGGCAAAAGTTTCTGTAAAATACTTACCACCGAGTTCGTCTCGCGCCTCAATGATCAGGAAATCGTCCACACCACCAGCTGTCAGATTACGTGCAGCGCTAATGCCGCTGACTCCACCACCCATAATGGCTACTTTGGTGTGGATTGTTCTGGCAATGGCCAAAGGAAGTAGAGCAGCAGCTGCTGCTACTGTATAACAAATTCGCATTTAAGTGTATCAAAGTAACAAGTACAAAAGATCAGAAGCAGTGCGCCAATCAAGAGAATACGACTCCTTTTTATATATTCTGCTCGGACTCGGTGTATATAAAATCGCTTTTGTGTAATGCGAAAAATTCCTATTCTCTCAATTGCTGTTAAAAATGCATAAATTGGTTACTTTTGATACACTGTGAATTATGAAGCTTATAACTTCGTATGCACCATCACTGGGCTTGCAGGAGAATATTGAGGGGTAGAAAAGACCTTGATATTATTATATGCATGTAGTCCGCCAAGCACACTATTCAGTTACATCATGCATGTAGATGCCTATAAAACGGTCTTACTATACATTGCATATGAACTGGGTTCCTTATGCAGGAGGTTCGTAAAAAGAAGGATTGTGCATTGCATGTTTTCGTTACACATGTAGAAAACGGACAAAGCATGCTTTTGGTTATATACTCATGCTCATGTGTAACTTATATATTGTCATGGGTGTCCACAACCGTTTTTATTATATAGTGTATATAAGCTCAATCACAAGATTATGCTTTATAATATATTAGAAATGTCATCAAATGCAAGTCTATGTTATGTGATGATTCTAAGAAAAGGACTGTAGTTAAAAAGATACTACTGATTGAGATAAATGGTAACTGAAAGCAAAAGCAGCGCGGAAGGAGATGTGCGTAGACGATTGCGGAGATGACATATTTAGAAGACACATTGAAGATTGTTAGTAAAGATATTCAGAATGCATAATTCACAGGATGAAGGAGTAAAAGACCGGCCACGAAAGGAGCAGTTTGATCATGCCCAAGAAACCAGCATGTACCGCTTGCGCACTGTTTTTTCGCTGCTAGTATCTGTTGAATGCACAAGGAACATCCGAAAAACGCCATGATGCCCCTGATGTCACTTCTCTATTTATTGGGCTATCTAAGGTTATGATGCCCCATTGTAAGCTTCATTCTGTTCATTGATAATCATTTAAAATGATTGGGAAAGTTTTAGAAAAGGGACAGTCTTTAATAAAGCTATTCAACTCTTGTTTCATCGAAAACGCTGAGCTAAGAATGTCATTTATTTCATTGTGACACCTAAATGCGAGATTAAATATATAGGCGTCGAAACGCATCAATCATGATGTTTGTAATAGATATCGCATACTCAATTGTCAAAGAACATTGATGTCATATAAAAACGCGATTTCAGCATTTTGTGCATGCTAGTGATGCAGACATCTATATACACATCCGCAAATTGGACCATGATTACCCACATCCTTAAAAATTTAAACACATAAATGCTCGATTTAGGCACTCTCCGGATTATATTTGCGAGTTTTTAGCTCCCTTAGTAGAGTTTGGCGCGTTTTGCTTTGTCATGATAAGATTACACGTATACATTATAGCTCTCCTATCTTTCTTTGTAATCTTTATCCTACCGTACAAGTAAGCACATGCATGACCGTATAAGTACATAATAGGTTAGAGGAAGTTAGAGAATAAAGAAAGAAGCGGTATAAGTCAGTTATCTCACACACTACAGCTCACTTTAGTATTTTCAGTTGTACAGCCGGGTGTTTCTGACAGATCAAAACACCCCATACAGAATAATGTCAGCGATCACTTTACTTTTTTGGACTGATAGTGTGTTATCTTTCCCAGGGCTGACAAACAAGCTCAATGATGCGATTTCGTATAACTCTGCACTTACAAGCTAGTTTCTCATTAAAGAGCAAGAATGGGCCTAAGCCCTACGGGTTGTAGGCTATCTACATATTTAAGAAGTGCGGCGCTGCTACCATCCTTTACTGCTGTTGCTCCTTAGCAGTTACACATTTGTGACGAATGATGGCAAACAACACCACTATTTTCTGCTTGCCAATTCCTGTTGGATCTTAATATGAGCGATATGGGACTCCTTATATTACGAGAAAATAAGAAAAAGACATCCAGTGTTGGCTATTTCTGCTTTCAAACGAGTCTAACATCTCGTTACTTACTAGCTATGTAAGCCGCAACAATCAAATGGGTTTCAGACAGTATATGTATAATACAAATGAGACTCACTATGCCACGATCATCGTATTACCATGTGCGCATTTTCTATACTCTTGCTGGCTTGGTGTTGTGTTGTGTAACATGTGCATGCTTCTACCCTCTGTATCATACAGTAAGATCGTGTTTAAATACTGCAGCGATGTTAGTATACTACAACACATGCTGCAGAAAAGAAACATGGTTTTATTTACAATTTCAATTTGCTGTATGTACATAGTCAGAACAACCTTCCACGTTCCCACGCTGGTCTGACCCGTGGGAAAAGGAACAAGACATGACCAGTACTGCTGCATGTTCTTCGGAAGATCGACCAGCTGCGCCATAAAGATGAAGTCTACTGCGATGTTGACGAACCAGCTCCGAAGATACCCCACACGGCAGCGCACCACCCTTATGGCATAATCACTACATGGGGTTCTTTGCTTTTTGTATATCCATTGCTATTATACAGGCCTGTCTTTTCTCCAATAGGGGTTTCGGACATGGCTCCAGACCACGCTTATGTGTCTAAACATACGTGCCGCTAGGAAGTGACCAATAATCCCTATATGAGGACAAAGGTCTATGAGTTTTTTTACAATAAATTACATACTTTTCTGCTATACATAATCAGAAACTGCGACAAACAGAATCAGAAGAGTCGTGATTTAGTTAGAGCGTGAAGTATATACACATTTCATATTATCGCCAAGTTTATTTAGACATGATAGTGGGTAAAGAGAATTCTAGTTTATAAAGCAGAAGTGTAATTCATAGATCTTGTATCAGTACACTTCTCGCTATACCGAAAACCATCTAAACCATGCCGACGTCCGTGCACTATCGGAGTTCATTATACCGCTTTTGTGCAACTCTTCCCTTTTCGTTAACTTTTTAAAAAAAAACATACAGCGGTTATATCTCAAATTTTAATGATGGCAAATTTATTAAATGACTTTCAGCAAGATCAAGTCTTCATGCCAGCTAATTGCAATACGATATGATGTGATTCACTATTATGCGCGCAAAGAAATAACAGACTTTGATCGCTGTCTTGAATTCTTGTTGAGTGTAACCGCATAAGCATTTTCTTATATCCATTATATAGTGCTTGTTATTCAAGATACAATAAGAGCTAATACTACCAAATCAAAGCGAAGCTACCAGCAAGTTTTTGTGTCCAAATCAACGCTCTTGCTGAGGCACATAGTGATAATCACACTCATATAGTCTTGCAAATGGCTCCACGACTCGATAATAGTACCAAAACTAGGCTTGTCCGCTGTGTGAATGCTTTCGTATCAAAGTCCAGTATTGCTTCCCATATTCTGCCCTTTACGTCTAAATTGGTTTCGTGCTACACAAACCAGGCACATGACGACACAGGTTCCTTTCTAGGATGAAACAACCGCTTTTTAGCACCAAGCATATAGTATCTTTGCTTCCACAACAATTAGCACAGTCAACATACAAGCCGTCTCGATCTCAACAGCCTCGTTCCCATTTCTACTTATGCTAGTATAATTGTATACGAGAATATAAAACCAAGCTTCCAACCGGAATTTATAGATTATTCTTTTACCTTCTTGCCGACTCACTGGGATGCTCTTGTTTCCCAGCATGTCACAGAAGCTAAAGAGTGCGACCATTACTGATCAATGTGGGAACTGAGAGCGACGTTTATCGATCTGGAGTTCCGTGTTCACATTTAGACATCTTCGTCTTCTGCTATGAATACGAGCCATGTGTAGCGAGTATAGAAACAGCAGTCCAGTCCGACAAATCAATTAGTTAGAATGGCTATTTTTCGGATCAAGTTCTGTAAAACATCTTCAAAATACATATATTTGTGGCGGGTATCATCGGTCGCATAAGAAACAATAACGTACTGTGATGTAGTATTATTGTTCGAAAAGGGATCCTCTGGTATGAAGCGAACTGAGACTCACGCCTTCCAAACATTCCATTGTCCTGCCACGCATTGAAAAAGGGAAAAGTGGCATAAAACAAAGCTGATGATCGATAGAAACAGGGTTCCTCTGCGAAAGCACAGTAGCACACTTCGTTGCAAGTGGGAGATGCTACACGTATATTTGTAAAGGCAACGGCAGCCACCGTATATTAGAAGGTCGTGCATAGTGACGAAGAAGAGAGGGATATATATGAAATATAGACAAGACCCCACAATCACCACGACCCACCGTTCAGGATCATCGGACCCGCGGAAAGGGGGGGAGGGGGCACATGAATGTGTGTAGCTTTCCTTCCGAAAATACCCCTGGTGCCATTGACCACTTTCTTTGTTTGCTACACACACGCACACACGCACACACACACAAACGGCTACTTACACAGGATGACCATGGCACCACACGCACCATTCTCTACTTTTCGCTAGCTGGATAGCATAGGGAGTCTCAGGCAGCTTATAAATTCCGGCTTCACATGGAAAAATGAAATGAACTCCACCGAGGGTTTGGATTGGACATCAGCAGCAAGAAATATAGTGGAGAAAGAAAAAAAAAGGTGACTGTCCTTGAAAATTCGACAATATAGCAGCTTGTCGAAAATCCAAAAAAAAAAAAAAAGGCGACTCAGTGGACTTGCCCGGGACCGCTTGGTATCTCTGGTCACCCTCTAATGGCAGGTAGATCACCTCTAATGGTAAGAAATCAAACCGCCTTCTCTCCAATAGTTTTGCCCTTGCCCTGGAGTAGCCCGTATAAATTCCAGATGGACAAGGCCATTCTCTGCTTCTGTTCTTCTACTCCTCCCCTCTCTCGCTCTCTTCGCCACCTCATTGGAGAACTTCTCTTATTGCACCATGTTGTCTCGTGCTCTTGGTGCTCGTGCTATTTTGCGCGCAACCGCAACCGCCACCACTACCCGCCGTCTTGCTGTTGCCACTCCCCGCATGACTCGTCCTTTCGTTCGTCTGCAGCACACCTCCAAGCCTGTCTCTGCTCAGGTCTTCAAGCCTTTGGACACATTCCCTCGTCGTCACATCGGCCCCGATGCTAGCGAAGCCGACGCCATGTTGAAGCAGGTTGGCGCTAAGGATATCGACGAATTGTTGGCCAAGGCCATCCCTCCTTCCATTCGATCTCCCAAGCCTTTGGCCTTGAGTGAGGGCATGCCTGAACGCGAATTGTTGAAGCGTCTCAAGTCTATTGCTTCCAAGAACAAGGTCTATCGTTCGTATCTCGGTATGGGCTACACGGATACTGTTGTTCCTAACGTTATCCTCCGTAATGTGTTGGAGAACCCTGCATGGTACACACAGGTAAGGAATGGAAGGATAATACAAAGAACTGGAGGACGACGATGATTCAAGGGGGGGCTTTTGCTTATAGCCTAGTACACGTGGGGTATATATAACTGACGGCGGTGGTCTTCTGCATCTATCTGTCCATTTTTGTAGTATACGCCTTATCAGCCAGAAATCTCACAGGGTCGTTTGGAGTCGTTGTTGAACTTCCAGACTATGGTATCGGATATGACAGGCTTGCCGATCGCCAATGCATCCCTGCTGGACGAAGGCACAGCTGCAGCTGAAGCCATGCTTATGTGCTGGCAAACGGGCCGCCGCAACAAGAACACGTTTATTGTCGATGAGAACTGCCACCCACAGACGATCGCCTGTCTGAAGACCCGTGCTGAATCATTCAAGATCAACGTTGTCGTTGCTGATGTGTTCAACTTCAAGTTTGATGAGCACAAAAAGGAACTGTGCGGTGTGTTGCTGCAGGTAATTAATTATCTATCACGTCAATCTCAATTTGACATCCCGATCATGTTCCTAAGACTCTCACATGACGCTAACGATCAACACGGTATCTGTACTTACGTGAATGCAGTATCCCAACACACGTGGCACTGTACATGACTACGAGGCATTGACGTCCACCGTGCATGCTGCCGGCGGTCAAGTCGCCGTGGCAACCGACCTGATGTCATTGGCCATGCTCAAGGCTCCTGGAGAGTTTGGTGCTGATATGGCTTTGGGTAACAGTCAGCGTTTCGGTGTCCCACTTGGCTTTGGTGGTCCCCACGCCGCATTCTTTGCATGCAAGGAAGACCAGAAGCGTCGCATGCCTGGTCGTATCATTGGTGTATCCAAGGATGCCAATGGCAAGCCCGCCCTCCGTCTTGCTTTGCAAACCCGTGAGCAGCACATTCGCCGTGAAAAGGCCACTAGCAACATTTGCACTGCTCAGGCTCTTCTTGCCAACATGTCTGCCATGTACGCCGTCTATCACGGTCCCGAAGGTATCAAGTCCATTGCCGAACGCATCCACGGCATGACCTCAGTCTTAGCTCAGGGCGTCCGTGAATCTGGCTATGTCATTGAAAACGACGGTGCATTCTTCGATACCCTCTCCATCAAGGTCGACAGCGCCGCAGCCATTGTCCAAAAGGGTCTCGACAAGCAAATCAACTTGCGCGCCCTCAACGCCCAAACTGTCTCCATAACCTTGGATGAAACTGTGGGCCAAAAGGACATTGTTGACTTGTTGAGTGTCTTTGCCAAGGGAAACGCACCCGTCAATCTGGAGCAGGTTGTCGCCAACGCCGCCGCCTCGTCTGAATCCATGATCCCTGTTCAGCTCAAGCGTACCTCCGCCTACTTGACCCACCCCGTCTTCAACACTCACCACTCGGAAACCGAGATGGTCCGTTACATCCACCACCTTGAGAGCAAGGATTTGTCGCTCGTCCACTCAATGATTCCTCTTGGAAGCTGCACCATGAAGCTCAATGCCACCACCGAAATGGTCCCCGTCACCTGGAGCGAGTTTGCCAACATCCATCCATTCGCACCCACCGATCAGACCGAAGGTTACCGCATCATGTTGGAGGAATTGGAAAAGGATTTGGAAGAGATTACTGGCTTTGATGCTGCCTCGTTGCAGCCCAACTCTGGTGCTCAGGGTGAATATGCTGGACTGCGTGCCATTGGTGCCTACCACGCTGCTCGTGGAGAGGCTCACCGCAATGTTTGCTTAATCCCCATCTCGGCTCACGGTACCAACCCTGCCTCTGCTGCCATGGCCGGTATGGACGTTGTCATTGTCAAGTGCGACGACAAGGGTAACTTGGATATCGCTGATTTGAAGGCCAAGGTTGAAAAGAACAAGGACAAGTTGGCTGCTATTATGATCACTTACCCCTCGACCTTTGGTATCTTTGAACCCGGCGTTGTCGAGGCCTGCAACCTTGTCCACCAGCACGGTGGTCAGGTTTACATGGACGGTGCCAATTTGAATGCCCAGATTGGCTTGACCAAGCCCGCCGAGATTGGTGCTGATGTGTGCCACATGAACTTGCACAAGACTTTCTGTATACCCCACGGTGGTGGTGGTCCTGGTATGGGCCCGATTGCCTGCAAGTCTCATCTTGCGCCTTACTTGCCTGGTCACCCCGTCGTTGCAACTGGTGGTCAAAACGCAATTGGTCCTGTCTCGGCTGCTCCCTATGGCTCCGCTTCGATCTTGCCTATTTCGTGGTCGTATGTCAAGTTGATGGGTCGTGATGGTATGACTGACGCTACCAAGGCTGCCTTGCTCAACGCCAACTACATGCTTAGCCGTTTGTCGTCCCACTACGATGTCGTGTATACCAACGAGAACGGCATGTGTGGTCACGAGTTCATTGTCGACATCCGTCCCTTCGTTCCCAAGGGTATTGAAGCTATCGATGTTGCCAAGCGTCTGCAGGACTACGGTTTCCACAGCCCAACCATGTCCTTCCCTGTCACCAACACGCTCATGATTGAGCCTACCGAATCTGAAAGCAAAGCTGAGCTCGACCGCTTCTGTGACGCCATGATTGCCATTCGCAAGGAAATCGAACAAGTGATTGAAGGCGCTGTGCCCAAGGACAACAACGTGCTCAAAAATGCCCCTCACTCTCTCGAAATCATGATGAGCGACAAGTGGGATAAGCCTTACAGCCGCGAGTCGGCCGCCTTCCCTATGCCTCACCTCCGCAGCAACAAGTTCTGGCCTTCGGTCTCGCGTGTTGACGATGCCTATGGTGATCGTAACTTGATGTGCACTTGCCCATCGCCTGAAGAATACCTCGACGAGTAATTTACTACTTTATCTCTAGTTCCCTTGTGCTTAATTTCTTTTTGTTCCCCACTATTTGCATTAGACTGTATATACTTTTTATCATTTCAACATAATAACATTACCTACAAAATCGATTTCAACAATGCAAACATATGTCTTTTATTTTTGTTTTGTTTCGGTGTATTTTGCATTGAGAAGTTCAGAAGGTGTTGACAGTGCGAGCCTGCGCTCTAAGATCTATGGGATGGGCGTCAGGACTGACTTTTAAACTTACGATACTACTTACATGTCCCTGTATACCATGTCTTCTGAGAGCGCGAACCACGAACAGTCGACTCCAAAAAAAATCTGAAATAGTACAAGATATACAAATAGCTCTGTTCATCTGGATATACCACTACTTTTTTACTATTTTTGCATCCATTAGCATTGAAAAGCAATATTTATGATATCCACAGTTTTTAAAGCTTCTCTTGCCGCTATGTCCGTAAGACTCTGGCATTTTGGTACTTTTATATCGACCGCTTTCGTTGTTGCAGGTCGTATAATCGTAACAAGAGCTGGAGGAGGCGTCTAATATCTGCCCTTTATGTTAAGGAGTGGAAACTGCTCGCGGATCGGCTAAGCATGTTCAATTCATGCATTGTTCGCCGCGATTTATGTATAACTTCATATTGTACGCCTCGCAATATCTTTCAACCCAATTTTTACTTATGCTATCTAAGATTCTCTTTTAGATAAAAAGAACACGTTTGCTTAAATGCAAGATAGTATACCTTACTACATCGATGGCATCTTCTGACGACCCAATTTAATTTGACCCTATCTCTTGTCAGTCGTTTCATGGATTTCTGCAGTATTCAACAACAATAACAATTCCTCAGATGAGATTAGTCGTTTCCCAGTACTAACGTTAGCGGTAACCCAGAATCCGTTACAAATGTAAAGAATAAATACACGCCGTTACAAATCCACTCAATAGTGATATGAGTATAAATCCAGCGCCTCTCCACCATGGGTACTGTATCTCATTGATCCGATTGTTAACTTTCTTTGAGGAAAGCTGTGGTCTATCTGGAGCTGAAGCAGGATTTATAACCGGTCTGAAATGAAGTGATTGAGTTCATGTAAAAATCGAGGTTAAAAGGCTTTTGTCATTATTAACTTTGTGGCGACCAAAGGCAGCTTCTACTCAAAAGAAACAAAAGAAACGAATAGACAAGTCGAAATAACATGAGATAGCAGCTTACTAACATGAGTAAAATGGGGTATATGCATCCATGTTGAAAATAGATAGGATGAATAGAGATCTATGTATAAAACCGATCCCAATTGATCCGGTGTCGCCTTGGTCTGTTGCCGTCAATTGTAACCAAAGGAATCATGGATGGTCTTGATTGAAACGCAAGAAAATTAATTTAGTATACCACGCTACTAGTTGGTGCAAAAAACTAGTGATTTGCACCTCTTTACCTTCCATGGACGCACTGAAAAGGAAATCGACAACTGGATAAAGCTTGAATAAGCCAGCGACATTGCTCTAAAGTTAGACTATCATTAAACATGATTGCACCACGACATGCTTTTGACCGTAGGATACGCATCATGCCACGAGGACAACCGTGTAGGTATGTAAAAGATTTGACTTCTTGGTCATTATCATTATCAGCCTCCTGAAACTGTTTTACACGGTCCAGCGAGTGTAGATGTTCACGAATAAGGTCACGAAGCATGTCCCGGTTCACCATACATCGGTCTGCAATGAGGCGCGGTAAACGTGTGACGAGAACCTGGCCCTTCTTTTTCTTTTCAAAGTGCGGTGATGCGGCGCGAGTGGAAAAGTGTTTGGAGTAGCGCAAAATTTTGGTCGTCTCTGCATCTCCTTCTTCTTCGGATGGAGCCGGGACCGCAGTTAAAGCTGTTGCCGACGAAGACGTTGACAGACGAAATCCCCAGCGACCTAATTGAGTGGCATATTTTTGCGCCAATGCACATTCTGTGGATGACAAATCAATCGCTATCGATGGGTCAAGCTGTGTTGCTTCTGCTGTATCCTTGAGCGACCACAACATACGCTCTAGTTGAACGCGCTCATCGGCAGCATGTTGGTCCACAAGCAATAATTGGCCAGCATTTAGTTTGATTAGAATAAATTTGTTGTCGACCTGACCAAGCACCTTGGCGCCTTTCAATTGTTCCTTGTTGAGTCTGATAGCTGGTCCCTCGTGCTGCGCTGCTGCTGTTGTTGTTTCCAATGACGACGGCGTCGTTGATGTTATCGTTCTTGCTGTGTTACTAGGAGATAAGCCCATAGATGGATGTGTCTTACGCAACCTCGATCTATCAATGAAGCTTATCGCGCTTGTGCTTCTGCAGCCATGCACGACCCGAGTTTAGAAATCTTATTCTTTTTTCCGGGCAGAAATAAATGAAAAAGCAGGTCATATTGCATACACATACCGACGCACTTCGTTGTTGTACAGCCAAGAACTCGATGCCACTACATGGGATGAAGATGTTTTCCGACTTTTCCTTGATGTGGAGTCATCAACTTCGTTGATATGAACAAGTTGCTTGTAAGCTGCACTCGTTATGAAATTATGTGCACGTAGAAAGTTGGCAGCAAGCTGACGCACGAGACCGTGTAATCTGGGATGAATCTTGTTACGTAAAAGGTAAATAATAAGTGGAACATTACGAACTTTGTCTTTATTTCAGATTACATATTGGTACTTTTGCAAATGGGGACATGTGCTAACCTTACCTTGTGTTCATCAAGAAGATAGAGTGAGATATCATGCGAGCTGATGTTTGGATCTTCAACATGTATGACAAAGGCAGGATGCTTTTCGACTACGCCTAGTAGAGGAGACGCGTATTGTGAGCGCGAGGTCACCAAAGAGATTGGAAGCACTTCTTTGTACCTTTTCCCTTTTTGGATTGCTCCGTCTGAGTAAAATCGGTTGTGGGGTGTGGTTTGTTAATTGTTTTTTTTAATGTGCCGCACATTTGAGTTTAGCCGAATGCCGCGCTACATGTGAAGCCACGTTCGCAAAGCAGAAAAGAACTTTTACCATGATGGAACACCCCGCAAAAGTTTCACTAACCGTGCGATACAAGTCATGGCCGAGGTCGATGGGATGTTGATTGATATCTGTCAAACACAAAGAAAGAAGGAGTTAATTCGTGCCCGAGTGCCTTCGGACCAAAACGGTATATAATGGCTGCATACAGATAAATTGTTGGTTCTGGGTAATAAATGGAATGACCACATGTATCGTGTGAGAAAAGATAAAAAGGTTTCTTCCTTTCTTTTTCTGCCATAATAAGACATCAATATACCTTGCTCGGACAAGGAGCGATCCCGAAAAGGCCTTGCAGCTTGATGTCGGTGTCGTCATTGTACTCAAACGATCTCATATTCTACATGGTTGTTGCACAAAAGAACCCCAACAAGTCAGTCGCCCGCCAATTTCTCCGGCGAGGAAGTGTGTTACCTGCGCAAACTCATGGCCATAGAGACGATGCAAGACATTCAAGTCCGAAGAGTGCTAGGTTTGAGGAAATAGCCAGATTTGGAAGAAATTACAGGTTAATGGTGTCGTGTGATCCTCAACCTCCACTTTCCCCCCCCCACCCCGACAAGAGGTATATTATTATTTTCAAAGAAGAGAAGGAAACCTTTTTCGTGGCCAGTAGCTTTGTGTCACGCTCCCGCAAGGTAAACCCAACATGGGGAAAGGCCAATGCCATAGTGAGGATCCATCGTTTGATGGATTCGCTGGTGCGGTCGCCCGAGCTGAGGAATCGTCGTCGAACAGGAAACTATGGAAACGGCGTAAGTTTCCATGGTAGAACTTTTCCTTTAGACAGGCAGCAATATTTACCTTGTAGAACAAATCTCGCACAACCACCGTCGTGCCCGGTTGCCGTGGCTGGGTGGGCGATGTTTCAACCAATCTTCCATCCTTTGTTTAACGAGGATGTAGTTCATCATGATTACCTCATCAACCATACGCGAAGTACTAGTGCAGCATTTATTTCTGAGAATTACCTTCCATATCCCCATTTGGGCTTCGTCACACCGGCGGTGCCTTGAAATAATTTGGACTATTGCGATGTCTGCCAGACTAGCCAAGGCTGTACGATTTACCTCCCGCCCAGATATGACGGAAGGTTTTAGTAGCAGTTCAAGATTTCAGAGAACACTTCAAATGTGATGTGTTACCTTGTCCTCGATAACCAAACGTACGAACATGGCCAAGATCGTCCAGCGTTTTACACTTTGACGTTGCTGCAGATGAAAAGGCAGATAAGCTTTCAAGATAAGCTTTGGCAAAACATCCCAAAAAAGCAAAAAGACAACTAAAAGAGATGATGTTTGTGATTTGCACAGACCGTGTCGTTTAGCCAGCTGCGTCAGCTCGCTTGCTTCAATACCAGTTCCATCGTCATCCACTCGAACTGTGAATTTCTCCGCATCAAATGCAACGTCGATTTGGGAAGCGTCGGCGTCCAAGGCTAAGGGAAAAAGATAAGGAGCATTTATTAAAGCCAGCCGTCCAACCGTAACGCGTCATCCCAACGCTCATAGAACTGCCCTGTGTCTCGCACCATTTGTTACAAGCTCCTCCACACATTGCTGTACATTCGTAATGTTTACTGATCTACAGATCGGTAGAGTGTAAATATGTTTATTTTTTATTTAAAACCCGAGAGAAAAACACGTAATTTAGACATACGCTCGCAATTGGCGAATGACTTGCGGCGGCAATGCAGCAATATAAGCCATTCTCTATGGTTTCGAAAGAAGAAAAATGGAAAATTAAAAATTAAAAAAAGGCGGCGCCGCAAATCTCGAACCACTTAGATTTCTGCTATGAGCTAGTAGTAGCGTCTTTTCGGCGAGATACAAAAATCCATTTTTGCTTGTTTGCTGCTAAATTGCTCCCATTTATTTTCGCCTTTTCGGTCAGTAGGAAAAGTAAGAAGCGTAAGCACGGGTGGTGCTTGGACTCGTAAAATACGATAAAGTTTCGGCAAGCGAGATGAAGGACGATGTCATTGCGCCGAGAAAGGCAAGTCCCTTACTTTCCCCGGCTACGTTTTTCTCACGGCTTTGAAAAGAGAAATTCAGAGATTGGGTGTCAGATAGCGGAGATCAAACAGGCCGTTCTATTGGTTACGTACCTTTTCTTATTTTCGCAGCAAGTGTCTAGTGATGGTCAGTAACTCCAATCGAAAAAAGACCGCCCACCCCGGTCTGTAACTTGCGTTGGAGATTGTCTCTCAGTTATAAATACTAGCCGCCTTCTCCACAAAAAGAAAAGGTTCGGTTCTAGCCTTCTCTACCCAGCTCTCCCTTTTTCTTTATTCTATTGTTATAGCAAATGTCAACCCCAGACTACGAGGTAACGAACAAATACCAGGTGGAGGCTGGCCATCGCGAAGATCAAGCCTCGGTCGACTTTGAGAAATCCGTACATGAGATCCAAATCGAGCACGTGCCCGAAGGCACTGCTTCGCCAACCAAAGCCCTTTTCATGTTGTTGAAAGCCTTCGTCGGCACTGGTGTCATCTTTTTACCTGGCTCGTAAGTACACACACACACACACACACACAAAGCTTGTGCTGCATTTCTGTTCAAAATAGGAGAATTAAATCTGTATATGTATACTTTCTGCTCTAGGTTTAAGAACGGTGGTCTAGGTCTCTCTATTGGTCTGATGGTGATACTTGCCATCATCTGTTTGTATGCTTTCCAACTTCTCGTCTGGGTCCACGCCCGTATTGGTGGCTCCTATGGCGACATGGCTGGCAAGCTGTATGGTCGTGTCTGCCGCTACTTTGTGCAGTTCTTCTTGGTCATTTCGCAAATGGGCTTCGTCGCCTCCTATTTGATGTTCGTCTCGCAAAATATCAACCTGATTGCTGAAGCCTTATCTAACTGTGATCCTCCTTTCGAGAGCAAATACTGGATCTGGATTGCTGTTGCTTTCGTCATCCCCATCTGCTGGGTGCGCAAGCTTGCTCGTCTCTCATGGTGCGCAATCATTGCTGATGTCTTCATTCTCTTTGGCATCATTTGCTGTCTCTACTACACTGGCTCTCACATCCAAGAAAACGGTGTTGGTCCCAACATTGCTTCTGTCAACCAGCGCGACTTTGGTCTTATGATTGGTACCGCCGTCTTCTCCTTTGAAGGCATTGGCATGGGTACGTTTTCTCTTTATGTTTCCACAGAAACAGTCTTTCGATGTTTCCATAGGACCACCGCACAGTGACTAACCTTCTTGTGTTGTTTGAACAAACAGTTGTTTCCATCATTGAAAGTATGAAGAAGCCCGAAAAGTTCCCTATGGTCCTGAACATTGGTATGCTCATCATCACCACAATCTTCATTCTCATTGGTGCCATCGGTTACATTGCCTATGGTGAAAACATCGAAGCATCGATTGTCGCAAACTTCCGTACCGAAGCCTTGTCCGTCACCGTCCAACTCCTTTATTCAATTGCCATGATTCTCACTTCGCCCTTTATGTTGTGGCCCCCTCTCACCATCATTGAGCGTGGCATCTTTGGCAGCAAGCGCAGCGGCCGTGTCGCACTCAAGTGGAAGCTCTCCAAGAACTTGGTTCGCTCGATCATTCCTTGTGTCAGTGCTGCTGTCAGTTTCGGTGTCGGTGCCGACAATCTCGACAAGTTCGTTTCGCTCGTCGGTATTGTTGCCTGTATGCCCTTGTGCTTCATCTTCCCTGGCTTGTTCCACTTTAAGTTGTGCAAGAACATCTATCTGCGTCTCCTCAACGTGCTGTTGATGTGCTGGGGTGCTGGTATCATTGTGTATACCTTGTACGTCAACATCTCATCGTGGATCGATCCTTCTCCTTCCGCTGCTCACGTATGCAGTCCCATGAACTACTAATTTTTTTCTCTCGCCTCAACACCCACACATCTTCTCCTCCAACTTTTTTCACCAATAGTCTCATAATTCGACATATTTTTTTAGGGCTGTTCGTAGATCGACAGCCATGTACATATATATCTATCCTCTTAGTGTTTTGTTTGTATTCTCTGTATCTCCCCAAAAGTGGTCTATTTGTATTCCCCGTATTTGATGTACACACATTCCTTTATTACTGAAATAATAAACCAGAAAATCTAGTGGTTGATCCGTAAAAATGTAAAACTTATCGGCAGGGCTGAACTTCCCTCTCTTGGACCTGGCGATGATGTGGTGTATCACTGCCATTGGATGCTGGCTACGTGGTCGGAGTGGCCGTTGTCGGCGGAATAATAGTTGATAAAACCGTCCTCGCTGTCTAGGATCTTGGGCACGGTAAAAACTCATCCGTCTCGGCGTCTGTATCGCCGATTTATCGTACTACAAGAGATAACGTTCAGATTTGCCAGATTGACAAACTCCGTATTTTTCTTATTTGGCTATATAACCATGGATGTAAAAATAAAAAGCTTTTACCTAGTACATCTCCATACATGTGCGCGCTGACTCTGCTGCTTGTGATCATACTCTAGTCGATGTGTTGAAACGTACCGGTGCGGCATAATTTTTGTAGATACACCGTCCTTCTCTGAAGAAGTACAATACTAGTACCTTACAACGTATCACAATTTTTCCACAGTTTTAAAGAGTGTAATGATCTCGCTTAGAAGTGGCATTTTGTTTATACAAAGGTGTTGCTACATGGAAAGTAGCAAGTAAACGTAGACTTACGTCAGTTACTGTACTTTGTAAATAGCGTGCGAGTAGGCTTTGAGTGAACGTCAAAGTTGTCAAGTGCGATGGATACCAACTTGATATAGACTACGCGTGCGCACTGCTATAGTAGAAGTCAATGTATGCAACTGTTCCTGTTGACAGTCTTCCGTGACACTACATTCACTAAAAGTGCGTTTCATCTGGGAAGATCGATAACTACCGTAGCACTTTAAACACGTTTATCCTTTCAAGCTGAAAAGATAATTGTCTACCAATTTTGACTGTGATACGCAACCGATTTTCAGATGCTTTGCTAGTTACATCTTACTGATGTAGTAAGCCTCGCCATCTTTACATTGCTATATTAGTTATTATACGACATTGGCATTAGTGAACTCGTATACTTTATCTGCTGTAGTCACTAAGTGAATCCAAAAAGGCCAAGTTTGATATGTAACGTGAATTGTCTGTTAGGTTTTTGAAATTGGTCTGTAACAGAAAGCATTCACGGTGGAAAGCATCATTTTGCTATCACTAATGAATAGTAGCTCGACCAGTCGTCAACACAACGTCGTCAGCATTCTTTGTTTACACAACGGAGACGTCGTTGTTTGTGGAATAATTGATACGTTCTCGTATCTCATTCAATGGCTTTTGTTTATTCTTCATAACTGATATACATTTAACTGCTGACATAGTAATCCAAACAATAAGGCATTTAGACCATCAACTCAACAACTTAATCGGCAGATTTAGAACTTTCTTTCGTTTCATCGGCAGTAGGACAGACCGATGTTGTCGCTGCAACTTCTTCGATTGGTGTGGTCGGAGTGGTCGTGTCCGATGAAGATGATTGTGGCGGCGGCGGCTGCTGCTGTTCCCGCGGGGCATCAGTCTTTCCCGCCAACTTGCTTTTGCGCTGCTCTGGTTTTGGCACGTTGAGTTCGTCGGCCCTGGTAATTGCCAAATTAATCGTCTATTTATCGAGATAACACGAGAGATTAGATTTGACAGAAAAGTTCAAGCAAACACAAACTGAAAGTCCGTGGTTTTACTTTTTTTGCCCATCAGTTCCCGTTACTTTACCATGGCTAAACGATACTCGAAATCAAACTTGGTGTATTTGGACGCTGTCTCCCAGAACGAACGTGCGCGTGTCTTGTAATCCAATCCCCAAGATGTCACGCCTGCTTGCCAAAAAGCAAATGGTACCACCCACTTGTCGCTGGCAATCTTATCCTTGTGATCAATGATCCAATTGAGGTGTATGATCGCATCACGATAGTGACCCATGGCGTTTTGTAACGACGCTTTAATTAATAATAGGGTACCGCGCTGATCGTAGTATTGCGGTGGTGGCGTTTCAGGCAATAGTTCTCTTGTTCGGATCCCATACTCCATTCGCTCAGCTTCCAGGATACGATTCAGTGCTCCATCAGCAACTGCCAAACTACGTTCCAGAAGCGCCGTATCCATAAAGTCAAATGCATTAAAGATGCATAAATACTCGAGCGCACACAAGTTCATGTCCATATCTTGGTACCCCGTTGCCTGGTACGCGTTGACTTTGCGTAAGACGTAACGCTCCATCATAGCTGCTGTGCTGCTGCTGCTGCTGCTGCTGCTAGATGGTGTCTTGCCATTAACAAGCTCAGGCACTTCGGCAAATGCAAGGATTGCGTCGGTACGCTCGCCCATCATATCCAGACATGCACCATGGAGATATCGGAATATGGCTGGTGACCAATAACGTTCTTTATAGAGGTTCTCGAATATCTTGGCAGCACCTCCCCAGTTGTGCTGCATCATGTAATTAAAGCCAATCTCATAACTGCAGAGGTGTAATACTTCCACTTCGGCCCATTCGTTCTTGCTAATCTCGATGGCATACATAAACGATTGTGTCGAGAGGATGAGGTTGCGTGCCAGTCGTGAAGTACGACCGGCAAAGTACAGGAAAAACGCGGAATTAGGGTATGTGCGCTGTGCATCCAACAGTGTCTATAATCATACACTCCTATCAATACATGTTGGTCATCATTCAATATCCACATGATTACCTCAATAGCAGGCTGTGTGTACTCGCTCGTAAGTATTTGGGGACATAGTGAAGTCAAAACAGTATAATAGGCGAGTAACCTTTTTTTTACATTTGTCAGTAAATGGACTCCTTTGAATGGTTAGAAAAAAAATAGACCGTACATAAGAGAAGCAGTCGGCGATCTGATTCGGCGGCCTTCCAGACATAGCTTCAATAGAGCGAAACCTAAATGCTTATCTGCTTTCCATCCAAATGCTGAGACCACGCGTAGTACCTTTTGTGGTAATGACGATAAGACCAAGTGCACTGTACCAATACTAAATCGTTTTATTATTTTAGTCGTCGGTTTCTTTCTGCCATCCATATGAGCGACACTTTACCCGAATTGAATGCCGGAAACGGTGTCTTGATCAATAAAATCGTTAAAAGATTGTCCCATACGTTTGTACTCCTGCCATACAAGACTATAACTCGTATAAGCTACATAATTGGCCAAAGACAACAATAAGCTTTAACAGAGACTGAAACTCGCTAGCTCCCACACACAACTACTTTACCTCGTCGCAAGTTTAGACCGCACTTGATATATCCAACAACGCTTTCCTGCAGCAACTGAAGTATCGCTATTTGTAAGCAGCACTCGGCTTTAGCGACATGGGCACGCAAAATTCCATTAGGTACAAAAGTGATTTTCTGCTTTTTGATCGCTTGTGGCGTTGCTGGCTTTGGGCTCGCTGGGAGACCGTTCGTTCGCGAGTATTTGATATGGTTGTAGTAGGATGTAAAGTATTGCACAACAGAGTCTCCCACATTCTTTTTTGTCGCAGCATCAATCTGTGCTGTGGCCAAACTGTATGTCACCATTAAAACGTCAATAGCTCTATCGGTTGCTTCGTTGTCGGCCGTCTATATGTAATTCTCGTTTTTTTAAGCGCTCCCTCACTAGATGACAGCTACGTTTCGTTGATCTTACCATAACAGCTAATTATAGGGAAAAAAATAGCAGCATAGTATTAACATAAACAATCCATCGAGCCCCGCATGCTTCATTAAGATCATACCTTTAAGAAATGCCATGGATCCCAGACCCAACGCGTGCAGCGGATCACTAGAATTATCTCGCTTTTTGAGTACGATAATGCTTGTCGAGTCTCTCCTTTAATCCTGCACTACTCACGTCTTTGCCTCTCGCTCAAACAGTCGCTTTGCTTTCATAAATCGATTATTGAATAGATGGCGCATTGCTCTTAATACAGGTTCATCTACACATGGATATCGTTGAAACAGGTAAAAACACACGTACACACATATGCACAACGCTCACCCCTCAATATATATACCTTTCCTTTCCTGCTCTCGTGGACTTGAGTTATTTGCTTTCACTTCCTTCAAGTTAATATCGTGAAGAGCGATCAAGTTTGCGCTAAACGACTCTACATCCGGCATATCCTCCTCGGTACTCAGACGCACAGGTGGCTCAAAGTTGGGTGGCGGTGATCCTGGTGTTGGTGGAACAATTTCGTCACTCTTAATACCAGAATGTTGTTGTTGTTGTTGCTGCTGCTGTTGTGTCGAATAATCATACTCGCTGCTCGTGCTGCTGCTGCTCTCGTGGAATTCGTCGCCACTATGCAATTCATCCGCGCTATGATGACTACCGTCGCGATCACGAGTTGATGAAGGCGCTTCTTCGGGTGGGGGTGTCGATTTCAGGACGGTGGTCTGAAGTGCATTAATGACCAGCTCTAGCTCTTGTCGAGGTACGTTATCCTCGTTGTTCTCATCACTGCTTTCACTGCCCGTCGAAATATCATCGGTCATGGCATGGCGTGTCATGTGCGACGACGGCTCCGCTGGTGTTGCTTGTGTAGACACCGTTGACTCCGACACCTGTAACTTGGCAACTTGATCCTCTTGATTAGATGGGGCTAGTGGTGGTGATGAGGATGGTGAAATTCCATTCATGGTTGAATGAGGTTATTAGGGGTAAAATAGAAAGTTGACACACAGAACAAAAAAGGGCGCGTAACTTTCTCTTTCCGGGCTATTCGCCCTTTTCCTTACTCCTGGCAAACAAAGCTAAAAAGCGAATACTCACGTGCAAACTCCCACATGCTTTTTAAAAATATGGGATCTTTCTTGGCTCTTCTGTGAACGGTAATACCAATAGGCTTTTTTTCTCTCGTTATAAATTGCACTGGCCCTGCTTCCATGGGGGACATAACTTGTCACTCGTTACGGTGGAGATTGTCTCCAACAGGAGTTGCAGGCAAGGAATGACTAAACTAGCCTTGGCAATCGCTGTAGGAGAGAGTATGAGAGACCTATACACGGGTGATATCCTTTGCTCATGAAAACACAGGGAACATCTATTTTCGATATGCTATTAGTACGCCTTCCAATAACAGGATAATACATCTTGCACACAACAGATTACCCCCAAAAAAGAGGCTCCTTTATATTGTGCGCTCTTCCATGACGTTACACAAACAATGTCTTAAATCACCTTCGGGGACGCCACAATGTCCAGAGCAAACTGTCGATGCTATTGGTGTGTATCCAATAATGATAAAGATATAAGGTATACGTCTGCATGATGTTGGCCGGGAGGAACACAATGAAGGCATATACAAATTTATTGTCTTTCGCTTTCCAACAGAGTCGCATGACATGCGAAGCCATTAGACGTCGAAAGTTTCGAATGAGAACTACGGTTGATTTGGCTGATGGTATATCTGACTAGACACGCTTCTGGCGCCAGCGGTGATGATAAAGACTTTTAAGGGGGAGCATTGCAAACAATAAATCTGTTCAATCGTTGTTCCAAGTACGTGTCTTTCTTTGGACATCATGCCGTCCGCAACCCTACATCTTATCATCAAACGCTTTATTATCTTTTACAATCATATAATGAATAACTATCGCCTAGCTAATGAAGCATACTACTATTAGCTTTTCGTGGCTTCAAGTCTTAGCTGCTTGCTACTGTGACTCGAAATTTGTCAACTCTCAACTATGTTGTAAATCTAGAAGCTGCATATGTTTCTGTGAGTGCTTACGCACAGACCACTGATAGCAGTTCCACAACGGTTGTCTATGAAATTTTGTAGGCGATACCAATGAGATTGCTATCGACTCTAGAAAATCAATATAGCTGTACAGCTATTGTGCAGCTGCTTCGTAGGAGTGTAACGTAGAAATCCAGACATTTGAATGCTTTAAAGACATATCTACTAGCATCTGTTTTGCTTGGTGTATGGATCACTGATTAGGATTTGAGAGCTGCCGCTGACCCGCTTGTTTCAGCGAAATGAATGATAGGTGGCAATGCATGGTGCTATGAAAATTAATGCACGTGAGGTTTTGTGTATGTATGTAACGTCGTTTTGCATGTCAACAAAACATAAAGAAAGCTTTTCTCAACCCCAGATCGCTTCCGCGGGTCAGGTAACACAAAAGACTCCGACTAGAATAAAATGAAATCGGACGGAACCAGCCGGACCAGCTTTTTTCTTCTTTTTTTCGGTAACTTTTGACAACTCCATTATACCATGTGCGGCATCTTTGGGTATGTCAAGCAAAGCTGACAAGAAGTATAATATGGAAGAAGAGAGACTGATTATGTGATGCATTAGCTACTTTAACTATCTCATCGAAAGAGACCGCCGATTCATTCTGGATACACTTGTCAATGGCTTGTCGCGTTTAGAGTACAGAGGCTACGACTCTGCTGGTAATGAATATTCATAGCGGATGATTATAAAGAATAGCTCTAATGGGGATGGTGTATACACAGGTCTTGCCGTGGATGGCGACAAAAAAAAGGAGACAGTGATCATCAAACAAGTCGGCAAAGTAGCAGCTCTCAAGAAGCTTGTGAATGAACAAGACATTGATTTTTCCAAGGCATTCGTCAGCCATTGCGGCATGGTAAGTGATAGCAAAAACAAAACTAATAGTTATCCATTTCGGTTGGATGTACGATAACAGAGGAGGCAGTGGTGTAGTGTAAAGTTCATTCACAAACAAAAACTCACATTACGTACATGCGCGTACACACATGCAGGCACATACCCGCTGGGCTACTCATGGCCAGCCTTCGCCACTAAACTCACACCCGCACCGCTCTGATCCCAATAATGAATTCACGATTGTCCACAACGGTATCATCACAAACTACAAGGAAATCAAGACACTGCTTGAGAAGAAGGGCATCAGCTTTGAGACCGAAACCGACACCGAATGTGTTGCCAAGCTCACCAAGTACATATACGACTCGCAAAAGGATAGCAACATCACCTTGACAACGCTCGTCAAGGCTGTAGCCAAGGAGTTGGAAGGCAGTTTTGCGTTCATCTTCAAGAGCTGCCATTTTCCCGACGAAGTCGTGGCTACCCGCAGAGGCTCGCCCCTTCTTGTCGGCGTCAAGACTGCAAAGAAGCTCAAGGTTGATTTTGTCGACGTTGAGTTCGGCAATCCCACGACAGAGAGCGAAGCAGGTATGCATCTGTGTGCCGTTTGCTTTACAGAACAGAATACTAAGGCTTCTTTGTGGTGTAGTTTCGGCCAAGGAATCCAACAGCTTCCTTTCGCCGGTTGGCGCTGCACATCCCCAGCTGCAGCGCAGCCAATCGCGTGCTTTCTTGAGCGAGGATGGTCTACCACAACCTATAGAGTTCTTCCTCGCATCCGATGCATCGGCCATCATCGAACACACCAAGCGTGTGCTGTATCTTGAAGACGATGACATTGCCCATATCGCCGAAGGAGGTAGTGTATTCGAATGATATCTTAGTGCCTTTTTTGGAGACTCATTGCAGGAAATTTGTTCTAGAACTCCATGTGCACCGTTTGCGACGCGAGGATGGTGATTCGTGCACACGGTCGATCCAGACGCTGGAAATGGAACTTGCAGAAATTATGAAGGGTGCATTCGATCACTTTATGCAAAAGGAAATCTATGAGCAGCCTGAATCTGTGGTAAACACGATGCGTGGCCGTGTCAACTTTGAGAACCACAAGGTCACATTGGGTGGTCTCCGCGGCTACCTTCCGATCATGCGCCGTGCTCGTCGTATCGTATTCATCGCTTGTGGCACCTCCTATCACAGCTGTATGGCGGTAAGTGACTCATAAAGTAACGCTGTCTGCTCATGCATGTGTGCTCAAGACTAATAGCTTTGTCATATCATTAGACGCGCGCGATTTTCGAACAGCTGACCGAGATTCCGGGCCAAACGGAACTGGCATCCGACTTTTTGGACCGACGCACGCCCATTTTCCGTGATGATGTCTGCGTGTTTGTTTCTCAATCCGGTGAGACTGCCGACACCATCCTAGCTATGCGCTACTGCTTGGAACGCGGCGCCGTCTGCGTCGGCGTCACCAACACTGTCGGTAGCTCCATCTCACGCGAAACTCACTGTGGTGTCCACATTAACGCCGGTCCTGAGATCGGTGTTGCCAGTACCAAAGCCTACACGTCGCAGTATATTGCTTTGGTCATGATGGCTATCCAGCTCTCTGAAGATCGTAACTGCATGTCTGAGCGACGACAGGAAATCATTGATGGGTTCGTCGTTTCTCCGGCCGTTCTTCGTCTTGCGCAAGGTGGCACAAAAGCTAACACATATTAATGCATACTAGATTGTACCGTTTGCCTGGTCACATCAAGGAAGTTCTTGCCGAAGACGCCAACTTGCAAAGTTTGGCACGTGACACCTTATCCAAGGAACGCAGCTTGCTGATCATGGGTCGTGGCTATCAGAACGCTACCTGTTTGGAGGGTGCACTCAAGATTAAGGAAATCTCTTACATGCATAGTGAGGGTATCTTGGCTGGTGAACTTAAGCACGGTCCACTTGCGTTGGTCGATGAAAATATGCCTGTCATCCTGGTCATGACCAAGGATTCCCTTTACCCCAAGGTCCAAAGCGCTCTGCAGCAGGTTACTGCTCGCAAGGGTCAGCCCATCATTATCTGTAACAGCAGTGACGATAGTTTGATCAAGGACTACAAGACTATCCGTGTGCCACAGACTGTCGATTGCTTGCAGGGACTTGTCAACATTGTCCCTCTTCAAATTTTGTCGTATCACCTTGCTATTTTGCAAGGTGTCGATGTTGATTTCCCTCGAAATCTGGCCAAGTCTGTCACAGTCGAGTAAAGGAAAAGGAACATACGCACACGGGAACGCACATGCTTGGTGCATATAATAAAAATGTTCTTCTATTACCCATTTTGTTTTCCATGATTCTAATTACTTTTTCAAAGTACGTTGCTTTTCTGCGTGCTCAATCAACTTCTTCTCCACAAACATGCCCTATACACAAATAACGAGATACAAAGAATATAAGACTCGTTTCATCTTTAGGAAATTCTGGGATCGTTCCATTTCCTTACCTTTCGCTTGCGCACAGTGTCCATGTATTTCTTTGCAAGGTTTTCTTTGTCTGCCTTTTCGCCCAAATCCTCCAACTCTTCCTCAGTCGTGGGTACCCAGAATGGATCTTCATCCAGCATCTCGAAGCCACTAAATACTAGCTGTGGACTTGCAGCACCAGATGTTCGCTTACGAATTTCTAGAGTATCAAAGAACAAGTAATCAGCCCCTACATTTTCTTTCTTACGCCCAAGATGAAAGACCTACCATCGGAGAAACCGAAACTTTCAATCACTGGTAAAAGGGCATGAATTTGCCAGAATGGTGTGCCATCCTTCAAATCTTCGGACACGATCTTGCCCTTGCGTTTGGAAATGACGCCATACACTCTTCCAAGCACCTCGGCAGAAGCTTGGATATCACATTTGTACATGGCCAAGAATAACCGTGGGGACCAGTCCAAGAAGCCTTGTCGACATGCCTCCTTCATAGCTGAAATGACCTTACCCTGAATAAGCGCTAGCTTTGAGCGCACTAATATACTCAAGAATCAGTACATACCATTCATCCCAAGGCAACAGACATAGTTATACAACTCACCATCGGCACTATCTGACTCTTCCTGATGAATTTCCAGGCCATGCACGATGTAGCAAACGCCTTGTACAGGCTCGGCACACAATGGACCCGCCAAAGTGGACAGCTGAAAGCCTGTGTGAACAGGGAAATCGACATCTAGAATACCCAATGCCTCCTCGCTATCATTTTGTTGCTGTACTTCCAGCACCTCGTCCGCATGGTCATCTCGAACATCACTTTCACTCTTGTTTCCAGTCTTTTCGATTTGAAAAAAGGGCTTGCGGATATAGCCTGGAATACGGTTGACCAAAATGTTAGGACCAATTCGTCGTGGACCAAAAGACCAGATTCTATGCAATAAATGCGGGTGTTTAGTAAGTCGTTCTCCCTTACATTGATAGCCTTCTTTTCCCTCAGACAAAATAAAACAACGTACTGATCGACAATGTTTTCCCACAGCGGTGCCAATGGTCCGCCTTGCTTCTGCGCTTCGGAAAACTTTTCACGCAGGATAGACTGGAATTCCTCGGGTGAGAGTACTTTTTCACCTGCATCCAATGTCACTTGCTGCAGCAAATCATCCTCGTCTACTGCTTTCTTAACCGACTTTTGTTCGACAATGGACTTGATGGTTGACGTATGCTGATTCAAGAACTCGGTGACAAGCTCTGGAAGTGGAACAGTGCGAACCTTCAAGGTAATGTTCTTTGACGACGACTGAATCTCCTGCATACCACGGGGTATTTGGCCGTTCTCGGTGTCCTTCGCAGGTGGCAAATCTGTTTCCATGCGATATCAGTATGAGAATCGCTATAGCTACTAGAATTTATTCGCTTTACCTGCACCAACAATGCATTCTCGGAAAGGTACAATAGGAGGCGACACATGAATATCGATCTTGGCAAATCGTTCCTTGAGGTCGCGCAAGCACCGTTCAAGATGCAATTCGCCGGCAGTCAGGATAACGTGTTCACCAGTCTCTTGAAGTAGCACTTCAACACATGGATCAGCCTGGTTCAACAGACGCAATCCTTCTACAAGCCTGTCCATATCAGCTGCATCGGCAGGCTCCAGGGCTACACGGACAATGGGTGATGCCTCCATGCGCACGCCTGCCATATTGCTCACATGTTCCTTGGTGCTCACAAGAGTACCGTTCTTGAGAATATGTCCTTCCAAACCGCCAATACCGAACACATTGCCTGCAGATACTTCGGGCAATGCCTCAAGCTCACGTCCCATAATTAAGTACAAGCTTTCGACCTTGATTTCGCTGCAATGCTGGTCGGGATACCGAGAATCATACTTGGGTCCCAACACATAGAGCTTTTGGCCAACACGGATCGTACCAGAGTACAATCTCGAAAAGCCAATGATTCGCTCTCCCTTGATCTCTTCCTTGGCCTTCCGTTCTTCTTCTTCCTTTTCTCTGTCTGCTTCAGCTTGGAGTTGAGCGATGGTTTCAGAATCCAAAGGTACGCCGTTATCCTCATTATTAGTCTTGTCCTCCAACGCAGCACGCAAAGCTCGCTGACGTCGGCCTCGTTCGCGCATTTCTTCTGCCGTCATTTGCTTGCGTCGGTTTTCTGGTAACAGGTCGGCAGGAACAGCAAACATTTTGCTGACATAAGCAACCACAGGTGCATTTTCCGACGCGTCACATGCGTAAAGCGCCGTTTCAACGTCGTTGGTTGGCTTTAATGGCTCGTTGTCGTTTTGTTGTACATCCGGGTATAACATTTTGGGAATGCGGATGCGTTGTGCCTCGACGGGTGGTGGCAATTGACCAATAATAGCGAGCAGAACACATGTTGACAGTGGTAACCATTGTGAGAAAATAGCTGTCAATAAGGTTTGTGTGTCGCGAGACCGAAGATCCCGCGGAAGCACCTTGATATTGAGCGAGTTGACGATTTTTTCGGTTCGTTCGCGATTCCTGATACAGGAATTGTCAGTTGCCTTTGTATATAAATATATTCGGCTTGACCACAGACAGTTGGGTTGAAACTGAACTTACTGTTGAACAACAACGCTATCATAGACAGCCCAGATATTATCCAAAACGAACTGAACAAACATGGGCTTCATATTACGGCCCTTGAGGTGCTTGTGTTGGATCACACGCTTGGCTTTTGCATCAAAATAGTAGTCTCCCCATAAGCACTGCTGCAGAACAGATTCCTTGAAACCAAGCTTTTTGAAATAGATGCTTGCAAATTGCTGGATACTAAAAAACGGAGGCATGTTAATGCAAGCCATGACCATGTTCATTCTTAATTAAGAAGAACCTCCTATTTTAAATCTTACCGAAAAGCCCAGCCATCGACAGCACTCGCGAAAATGACATTCCCTTTGCTTGGATCGAAATAGATATCCGAGTCATCGCGCTCTTCGCCATGCCAATCCTCATTCTGCTTTTCTGCTTCGACTTTTCGTGCTTCATCTTCCATCAAATCGCCCGTAAAGAACGTTGCCATAATTGCATTTACTTGTTCAAGAATACGAATCAGGTGAAGATAGGCCTCTTGAGGCGTCAGCTTGAGTTCCACAATCAACCGATCCATCTTGTTGAATACAAGGATTGGTTTGACCTTGTCAATCCATGCCTGTCGCAGCACCGAAATCGTTTGTGTGCACACACCCTCGACCACATCAACCAATACCAAACCACCATCGCAGAGTCGAGACGCTGTGGATACTTCGGACGAAAAATCGACGTGACCGGGTGAATCGATCAAGTTGATCAAGAACTCGCTGGCCACATTACCTTCGCCTTCAGTTGATGCACGTACAAGCTTGAAATACAAGCTAATGGCACTTGATTCCATTGTAATGCCGCGTTCTTGTTCGTCTTCTCGTGAATCGAGGTAACGCACTTTGCCCGCCATTTTAGACGAGATAATGCCGTTTGTTGCTAGGAGTGAATCGGATAACGTGGTCTTGCCGTGATCAACATGGGCTAATATACAGATGTTGCGGATATTCTTCAGATTCTTTTGTAGCGCTGAGAGTTGTGTTGGTGTAATGGCTGGCATGGTGAGACAATATAAATTTGAAGGATAAAGAATGGAGAGAGAACGAAGACAAAAAATAGAATACACTAATATACAGAATGTCGCAGCAACCAAAGCAACTTTTTTTTTGAAAGCCTCTTAAAGCTTTCTCGGAGTTGCAGGCAAATTCGCAGGATTGTGCCGCAGCAGCCACGTTACCGCAGTACACAGGTGGCCACTTCCGCAGTCGCAGTCAAGACTTCGTTGTGAGAATTTGGTTTCAATTATTAACAGCGAAAGCTCTAATATTACAATCGTCACTTAATCGTTGGACGCCTTTAACATTTATGGTACAATCCTATCTATTTTTTGTGCTATATGACGTACGAGCCTACTATGTACTAGTGCTAGGCTGTTGCTATCATTGCCTTTTTCAACGCAAACTCTTTGTATTTATATTTTCATCACACTGTTTTAACGCTTACCAGCAGTACCAACAGCAGTAACAGACATATGCATCAAAAATATATAAGTGGGTTCTGTTAGCCTCAACCGATGCTTTTCTTCCTTTGTTTCATCAATCCTATGCGTTTCCACTGGGTATCTACTCGTAAGGTTGTCGCTACAGTATACATCACAGACAAAGCGAGGTTACAAAGCTTACATCCCTGTCACTATGTCGCGTTCACAGATGCACAGTACTCCTTTGGACTATATGCTTTGTCTGTCCATGGAAGTACAAAGAGTCGTGCTTTCATTCTTGACATTGAAAGAGCGTATTCAATGCTCTGTCGTCAGCAAAAAGTGGCGATCGGTGGTGCTTGCTGATCCGAATATGTGGCATACCCTATCGAACGGATCCTGTAATTACAAGTTACATCGCGTCCTAACCACCTATCAGGCATTGATTCCAACGAGCTCTACTATCCGTGTTGTCGATTTATCTTTGGATCCTAACTGTACCTACAATGGCATGCTTGCCGCTACCGAGGACTTGAAAAACACCATGGATTTGCTTACAGTCTGGGACTGTCGCTGCATTAAAGAAGGTCGGTTGCAGTCAGACTTTAAGCAAGAACTAGTGGTCAAGTTGACCATGGCAGCTTTTTTAACGTGACATTGAGAACTTTTTTCTCGGTATAAACTGCTATTAGCGACCTTCACTTTATCTTGTTATAAGATGCAATGGTTCGAGAAGTTCCAAGCGGTTACCTGCTCTAGTTTGAACCGGCTGACTTTGCTGTGGGATGCTTTTCCAGAAGACACCATCTATCCAATACCGGCTTTCGTGATTAATCAGTTTCCGAATTTATCGCATTTCAGTCTAAAGATGAGGAATGGAGGCGATTGGTTAATCCGCCCTTCCATTTCACTGTCGCATCAAATGCGCCGGTTATTATTTGGAGAATTAGAAGCTGCTGGTGCCAACGACTCCTCAATTCTGAAGCAACACCAGCACATGAACCTCTCCAGCATATGCCTCGACGTTTCTAATCAAGATATTGCCCTTCCATTTCCCGAATATATACTTCAAGTTTTACCGAATTTACAAAGTATCAACTTCAGGTCGTGCGGATGGGGTGGAGCTTTGGCGAGAAAGTTCTACAGGTACTTGATCAGCTACTGTACAGCAATCCAGACACTTAGATACAGCTGCACATTCGAGAATGACGAGGGATATACCTTGTTTTCTGAATCTATCGAACATACGCATACGAAACACTTTGCAACCGCTGAGCTGTCGAACTTACTGAGTGCGACGAACAGCACATTGAAATGTTTCCAGCTCTGTGGTGCTGGGACCAAGGATACCATGCACTATTTGCTTTGTGTGATCCCAGCATACCACAACACGTTAGAAGTCATTGATCTGACTCATTTAAGACAAGAGCATCTGGAAGTCTTATCAACAGCTGGATTTCCTCGCTTGCAAAGGTTCATTGGCAGCTTTTATCAACGAGAACAGCAACAGCAACCGCCGGTATCTGTTTCTATTAATTTTACAACACAGCTGATTGCGTTCTTTGCACGAGCTCCGCGTTTGCACTACATTCAATTGGAGAATCTACGTATCAATCATAAACTTTTGGAGTTCCTTTGTTCTGATCGTCTTACTCTGCTTCAAGTGCTGGTATTCGAGAGCTGTTACGGAGTAATGCACGACGCTATTGCAGAACTGAATAAGCATTCCCATATCGACTTTCATTATATACCGTAAAACATATCATTCGTAGCTACATTATCAATTAACACTAATGGCTCACCACTTCCACTAATAAAATTTAACCTTCTTGCTTTAAAATTGTATATGATCAAATAAAGCTTACGCGTGAATATCTAGAAAAAACAGATGCTAAGGCTATCACATTTTGAGAATAACGCTATATGTCATGCTTCAAGCCGACAAAGTCGACTGATAACATTTGCAACAACACAGGTACTGTAACAAGAAGTGGTAGTAGCAGTGTTCTTTTTTTTTGGTTGTGTCTATTTTTCGAATAAAGATTCTTTGGTTCAAGTACGCTTCGCTGACGTTGGCAGAGTGTAATAAAGCTTTAAGCATATTTACGAGGCCATGATACAGTCTACAATGAATGTATAGCAGTAGAAATTAGGTCACACTCTTTTGAGTTACAATGCCATAGTATTCATCAGCGAAGCACGACCTGTCAAAAACGACAATTTCCCAAAAAAAAAAATCTGAGTCACAAAAAAGCTCTGCCTTTCTTTTCTTTGCTGCTAAAGAAAAAAAGAATCCAATTGTAACTACATTGAGCCTTTTTCCTGCGCACGATCCGTTCGATTTCGGACCCATTCTTCGACGTTTTGTAGCTTGCAATCATGAAAGAACAAGTTTATGACAACACGCCGAAAAAAATGTAAGCGCTACTTAATTGATTCGCGTTGATCCTCTTAGTTTCTAATTTATTGTCAACCATGTTTTAATTACCAGTCGCCACATTCAGTTTGGTGTAATGTCACCACAGAACATGGTCAAAATCGGTGAATTGGAAGTTACGCAACGAGATCTATACATGCCTGAAAGTCGAGTTCCTGTCAAGGGTGGTGTACTTGATTTGCGAATGGTACAGCCATATATATATATATATTATTAGGTGTATGATACACATGATTCGTTATTGAGTTAATTGCGTTTGTATATCTAGGGTACCTCGAATAAAGAAGCAGTATGCGATACGTGTGGCAAGAAAATGCAAGAATGTGTTGGTCACTGGGGTTACCTTAAACTGGTCTTGCCTATTTTTCATATTGGTTACTTTAGAGCAGTAATCAACATTCTGCAGGAAATATGCAAGGTAAGTTTGAGATACACTGCAGAGAAGAACGATATTGAAGATGATATGATTGTGTATACTCAATAATATACTCTTACCGTACATAAGACCTGTAGTCGTGTTATGCTCGAAGAACCGGAGCGACGAAGTTTTTTGCGACGACTACGTGCGCCAGGATTGGATAACCTGCAACGTATGAAGATTGTCAAGATGATTAACGAAAGGTGCAAGAAAATTAGCTATTGTCCTCATTGCAGTAGTGTGAATGGTTCGTTGAATTAACATTGAGGAGAAATTATATTGGGACAGTCTCTAAACTTAATGTTTGGTTTTTTAGGCGTCGTCAAGAAAGTTGGTCCGATGAAAATAACCCACGACAAATACCGCTTGAAGCGAGTAGCTAATGAAGCTGAAGAATTTCGAAAATCATTCAACGCTGCGGCAAATACGATGCCAGAAATAAAAACGCACATCGCTAAGGCTCAAGATGACTTGAATCCACTTAAAGTGCTGCGATTATTCCAGCGAGTAACACCAGAGGTATGTATGGCTTAAAAGAAGTGATATTTATCAAATATATGCCACATGACGTTAATGCGCCTATCGATAATGACCGGCAGGATTGCGAATTGCTTGGTCTCAGCGAAGAACACGGTCGCCCCGAGTGGTATATTTGGCAATATCTTCCTGTCCCACCAGCATGTATTCGACCATCCGTTATGCAGGACGACAACACGAGTAATGAGGATGATTTGACAGCTAAATTGACTGAAATTGTATTTACGAACGCTATCATCCGAGCTGGCTTGGAGAAGGGCATCACAGTCATGAATCTGATGGAGCAGTGGGAATTTTTGCAACTGGCTGCTGCCATGTATATCAACAGTGAACTGCCTGGTATTCCCAACGCTGCTCAAGGTAAACCTAGTCGTGGTCTCAGTCAGCGTTTGAAGGGTAAACAAGGTCGTTTCCGTGGTAATTTGTCCGGTAAACGTGTGGATTTCTCTGGACGTACCGTTATTTCGCCCGATCCCAACATGCGTATCGACCAAGTCGCCGTCCCTGATCGTGTCGCAAAGATCTTGACTTTCCCTGAACGCGTCAACCAGCACAACATCCACAAGCTTCGCCAGTGCATCATCAATGGCCCGTTGGTTCATCCAGGTGCCAACTATGTCCAATACGCTAACGGTGGATTCAAAAAGTCATTAAAGTTCGGTGACAGAGCAAGAACTGCCTCGGAACTTAAGATTGGCGATCTTGTCGAACGTCATTTGTCGGATAATGACGTCGTGCTTTTCAATCGTCAGCCCTCGCTTCACAGACTGTCTATCATGGCGCATTTTGCCAAGGTCATGCCCTGGCGAACGTTCCGTTTCAACGAATGTGTCTGCTCACCATACAACGCCGATTTTGACGGTGACGAAATGAACATGCACTTGCCGCAAACACAAGAAGCTAAAGCAGAAGCTATCGAATTGATGGGTGTCAAAAACAACCTAGTAACACCTCGTAACGGTGAACCACTCGTTGCTGCTACTCAAGATTTCATTACTGCATCCTATTTGCTCTCTCACAAAGACACATTTTATACCCGCGCAATGTTCACGCATATTTGCACTTACATGTTTGACGCCAATACACACATCGATATTCCACCACCGGTCATTTGGAAGGTAATTTATAGCAGTATAATTGGTGCTGGGAATTTATAGAGCAATATGCTTAGAAGAAATATCTTTTTCCCTTTACGTGTTTAGCCTCAACGTCTTTGGACTGGCAAGCAAATCTTCAATGTTTTGTTCAAGCCAAACAAGAAGAGTCAAGTGTTGGTGAATGTGGAAGCCAAGACGAAATCGTTCGTAAAGGAAGAAGGCCGTTGCCCTGATCTTTGTCCGAATGACGGTTGGTTGGTCGTGCAAAATAGTGAAATCATGTGCGGCTTGGTTGACAAAGCTGTTGTTGGTGATGGCAACAAGAACTCGGTATTCTATGTAATTTTGCGTGATTATGGAGCAGTTGAAGCAGCCAAGTGTATGAATAGGTAATCTATCAGCTCATTCTTGATTTTAGAACAAAGAGGATAAAAGGGAGAAGCTTGTTTACTAAACTATTATATTTGTAGACTTGCAAAACTCTGTGCTAGATGGCTTGGTATGTTGATAAAACTATAATCCAAGTACGATGGTACTATATCTTAACATTGTCTATATTTATAGCCAACCAAGGTTTCTCCATTGGCATCAGCGATGTTACTCCCGGAAAGCGTCTACGAGAGATCAAGGATGAAGAAGTAGCAGATGCATACAAAAAGTGCGATGAAGTTATCGCAAAGTTCAAGGCGGGCCAACTGGAAACTATGCCTGGTTGTAACGAAGAGCAAACTATGGAGGTAAGAAAAGATACAACTTTTGCATCAATTGGAATCAATGTTCACTGATAGCTTTATGTGTAGTCTATTGTCTCCGGTATCTTGTCTGGTGTTCGTGGTGATCTCGGTAAAGTCTGTATGACTGAACTGAACATGTACAATTCTCCCAGTATCATGGCTCGGTGTGGTTCTAAGGGTAAGAAGGGCAAAAGGATAGTTGAAAAATGGCATACTTGAACAGCTATGTAATACATTCTTGATATACATGCTTTTAGGTTCGCAGATTAACGTGTCTCAGATGGTTGCTTGTGTCGGTCAGCAAATTATCAGCGGTAGCCGTGTTGCCAACGGTTTCCAGGATCGTTCGCTTCCTCACTTTGTGAAGCATTGTAAGTAAAAGTAAATACAGGATCATGCACTCATATTTCAATATATATGCTTACAATTCCTTCTCTATTTAATATTTGAAATAGCGAGAAGTCCCCCTGCAAAGGGTTTCGTACGAAACAGTTTCTTTACTGGCTTGACACCTACTGAATTCTTGTTCCACGCTATGTCGGGTCGTGAAGGCCTGGTTGATACAGCTGTCAAAACTGCTGAAACCGGTTACATGCAGCGTCGTTTGACAAAGGTAAGACAATTTGCATATTTGGCTCAAAACGTGCTTTACGTAAAGAAAAAGTTAAACTAATACCATTTTTCCAGGCCTTTGAAGATCTCACGGCACATTATGATTTGTCTGTCCGTAACTCAGAAGGTGCCATCCTACAATTCTTGTACGGTGCTGATGGTCTCGATCCTATGACCATTGAAGGTGATGGTGTTCCAGTCGAGTTTGAGCGTAATTTGAAACATGTCCGAGTACGTATTACGCTTTCGTTTCTCGAAGATTCACGTTTGCTATAATATTTATATACTAAGTTTGGTATTGGTTTCCTATAGCTCACGGTGTCTGCTAACGATGAACCTGGTCTTTTGCCTTGGCAAATCCTCACGATTTCTGAAGCTGAAATGGAAAAGCCTATTTGGACACAGAACTGTACTCCTGCCTTTATCGAGATGACTCGAAAGTTTGTCACTGAAAAAATCGCAAGGAAACTGGCAAATATTCGTAAGAAAAACGACATGCTTCCTGGTTTGGCTGTTCCTGACGAAGATTTCATGGATATCGATATTGATGAGGATGTTGAAGGTAAGTTCTGAAAGCAACAAAAACAATTGGTGGTAAGAGTATATGGTAACCTTTTCTTTTTTCTTTAGATGACACCAAGATTGCTGTCCGAAATATGTTTGTTATGACGGAAACACAGCTTCGCCATTATCTAGAAGTCTGTCTGTCCAAATATCTGAAGGCCAAGATTGAACCTGGTATAACATAGTAGGAAGGATCACAATGTCGAAGGATTTTCTCTAACAAAGTTTATGCAATATAGGTACTGCTGTGGGTGCCATTGGTGCTCAGTCCATTGGTGAACCTGGTACACAGATGACTTTGAAGACTTTCCATTTTGCTGGTGTCGCTAGTATGAACGTAACATTGGGTGTGCCCCGTATCAAGGAAATTATCAACGCTGCCAAGATCATCTCTACGCCTATTATTACTTGTGCGCTGCACGCTGACAAGGATGTACGTGCTGCTCGTGTTGTCAAGGGCCGTGTCGAAAGGACTCTCCTTGGTGATGTTGCCATGTACATGGAAGAAGTATATGATCGAGACGAGACATATATCTTAATCCGTTTGGATTTGGATGCAATCAACAAACTTCAGGTATGGAAAGCATTCTAAAATTAATGGAAATGCTGATATCTAGCTTGTAACTAACAGTTCTTCATTTTGGTATCTAGTTGGAAACCAACCTTTACGAGATTGCCAATGCCATCCAAACTTTCCCTAAGCTGAAGATGTCCCATTTGGTAAAGACTTAGATTATGATGCGTGCTATTTGGTGTCTATTTACTCACAGTGATTTTTTAGGATGTCCAAACGAGCCGACCTGATCTTATTCGCGTCTACGTTCACAGCAAACAAGATGAATCTGTCTACTATAACATCAAAGCGATTAAACGTATCCTACCAAGCGTCATCATTACTGTATGTTGCCCTTACATAAGTTCTTTTCTCGAGTTGAACTTTTTGACTGATATATTTGGTGAATTAGGGTCTCCCAACTGTCGTTCGTGCAGTTATTAGTGAAAAGGAAGGCAAACAAGGTACGAAGCAGTTACTTGTGGAAGGCTATGGTTTGTTAAAGGTCATGACCACGGATGGTATCATTGGTGAAAAGACCACGTCCAACCATATTATGGAAATTTGTGAGGTTCTGGGTATTGAAGCTGCAAGGTATTATAATTTCGTTCGTACTCTTCCTCTATATTCTTGCGTATTAAACAATGCTGTTTCTAGAAATACGATCATTAATGAAATTCAAATGACCATGGAGAGTCACGGTATGACTATCGATCATCGACACGTCTTCTTGTTGGGTGATATCATGACGAGCAAGGTATGCACTTTGAATTACTACTTCCTGCTCGAATCACCTGTACATTGCTAATTTTTATCGTGTACTTTTAAAGGGTGAAATTCTCGGTATCACTCGTTTCGGTATTTCCAAGATGAGAGACAGTGTTCTCAGTATCGCATCGTTCGAAAAAACGTCAGATCACTTGTTCGATGCGGCACTATATAGTAAAAAGGATAACGTTGTGGGCGTGTCAGAGCAAATTATCATGGGTATTCCAATTTCCATTGGCACTGGTATCTTCAAACTTGTACAGGAGTCTTCAAAGCCCAAGCTTCCCAAGCCAAGAGAGCTGTTGTTCTATTCATAGTCTTCTTGTTGCATATCTAATAATAATTCATCAATGTAAAATAAATTTCAAGCACATTCATTTTAGTAATAATTGTAAACATATATTTACTGTTTTCGGTTTTAAAACGAAAAAGGTATTTCATACGATGCACTGCATTATACGGTTACAGTAACTTCCTTGTGTGAATCATTGCTGATAAAATAACAATATTCAGTTGTTTACCTCGACACATACCATAAGCGCAACCACATAATTCTAGGCTGGTAGTATGTTTCATTGCCATTCTATAAGTCATTTAAAAAATGTTCTGTGAAGAGAAAAATATATTCTGTAAGATAGTATAGACTATGAATACATTGATGCTTCTTTTATGGTCGTGATAAGATCTTATGATCTACACTACTGTAGATATGCACAAGATACTGTAAAATCATTGAAACTAATAAACAGCATTTACTTGCAGAGTTGCTCAAAGTTCTGAATGATGGCTTCTATTCATTTAAGGGTTTGGCTTTCAGTTACTGCTTGCTAATTGTGGGAAGTGCATACTAAGCGTAACATTCTTTCCCAACCGCTTAATTATGAAAGGCTAATAAATAAATCAATATATATATATACTGCTGTAGCCGTGGTCTTTGAAGAGAAGAAGTTGAATTAACAAGCACTGCTACTGTAGCAACAACAGCGAAGAAGCAGCACCAAAAATATGTAGACGAAAATGAATATGACGACGAGCAGCAAAAAAAACCAAAAAGAAGAACCCTTTTGAAAGGCTAATGAATCGACAACTGCAGGATTTGAACCTGCGCGGGCAGAGCCCATGAGATTTCTAGTCTCACTCCTTAACCACTCGGACAAGTTGTCATCTCTTTTTGCTCTTCTTTGCAGTAATACTCAAGGTAAAATAAACAATAATCCTCCTCCTCCTCCTCCTTACTCCTCGTGCCTCCTCCTCCTCCTAGGCCTCCTCCTACATCCCCTTTTTTAATCAAAAACACTCTTAAAATACCACAAAAAATTGAAAAAATATACCAGAAATACTAGGACACTTGGAAACATCTCTAGAGCGAGTAACCGTCGAAATCTCAGTAGTAAATGAGTGGGTGATGCAATACGACAGTTGCTATAGAGGAATCCGAAGATGTGGTGGTAATAGCTCTTCTAGCTGCGCTTTATTCTCAGCAATTATATATAAAAAGTTTTTTCCTCTATTCTGATACAATCTAGTTCTTTCTAAGCTAAGTTAAACAATTTTTTCGTGTTTGTAATTAAGGGAAGGGCCAAGCAAGATGTTGGTACCATGGGTGGGCACCCACTACATCTTCGGATTCCTCTACAGCAACTGTTGTATTAGTCTTCGTTCCTAACCTAATCCTTGTTGCCTCTGCTTCATCCTCTGATATGGTGGTATTGTTGTCCGTACACGAAAAAATGCTTGTTGTAATCTGTCTACCGCGATCATGTTGATTTCGAGGACGATAATAGTAAGACTCGAAAGTTGAACTGCGTGTGCTCCAATGCCCATATTCCTTGATGAGTTCCACTGGAATTCCTCGTTCGACCGCTTTTGTGCTAGCTGCCAATCTAGTTGAATGGGCCTTGAAGATAGACGTATCCATGCTAGACCCATACATTATCTTTTTCACCTATTTGGCTACTGTTATTGGACTAATCGATCATGGTGTTTTTTGAATATTCGCTAAGAACAATGTGTGATCTACGGGCAGCTTGTCGCGGAGTGTTATCAATTTTTGGAGCCACATTTCTAACGTCTTCACTGGGCACATCTCTTGATCGTCAATTGTTCCCAACTGAGACACCTTGCTTTGCGATTCCTTCGGTTCCCAGACTATTAATGTAACGCCCGTGCATCGAACACCCTCGTAGTGTAACATAACGTCTTTCTTCTTGAGTCTTCCTATGTCCGATCTTGTACGCCAAAGAGTCGCCAAACAAAGTAACATTATCGATTTCCCTTTGTAGTTTATCTAGTGGTAATACTACAGGTGGTCCCCATGACCGCAATTTGTCCAGTACCAACTGAATATCCCAAATCTCTTGACTAACATTTGGTTGCTTATATGTGGCTCGTTTCTTACTGGTAAAAAACTGCTTGATAAGCTGATGTTCTGTAATGGGTGGTTTCCATGGGTGTGTCACCTTGTAGACCGACACAACTGCTGACCTTATGCCATTAAGGTAGTCATAAGACAGACTTTCATGTTCTACTAGAAATTCAGACAATGCTTTTGGATTATAACCTTCTGGGTCTATAGGCGGTTCTTGGCAGGTACACCATCTTGCATATCGTAGCCAATAACGATTGTAAGCACGCCTTGTTGAACTACGAGTTGCCCTCGCCAAATATTCAGCTGTCTTCAAATTCACGCCTTGTGCCTTCCACGCACGCGCCATAGTCTCTATGCAGTCAGCGTTATATTCTTGTTGATCTGGAAGAGTATCGGCAGTTCTCATGTGTGTTGTAGGATCATTGGCCACCAATACTGTGTCTGCCACATCGGTGTCACTAGTACTGCTTGATATACCCGATCCTTCTTGAACTTGTGTATAACCTTGGGGATCAGTCGCCAAGGTGGATGTGAATATAGACCCTTGCTGGGCCATCGTTGTTGGAAGGCATCTATCGCCATTGCCTTCCCATCTGGATGGAGTGTCTAATAATTCGCTAGTCTATGGTTGTGCCACGCCGCGAAGGCATCTATCTTGAGAGGTCCCCACTGCCGCTGAATCTGGTTGAACTTCATCCGCGATAATGTCTATTCGTATATTGGCTTGGACCTTCTGCTTAAACGATCCGCTGTCTCGTTCTTGACTCCGGGTATATGAGAATACTTGACTGTCAGGTTGTGACGGATACATAAGTCTTGGATTTGTAATGCTAGCTGTTGTAGTTTTTCTGATGCTGTGCCTCCCTGTTTGCTTGCATATTTTAAAGCTGTGATGTTGTCTGTGTGTATATGCAATGTCTTGTCCATGCAAGTCTTGGCACGTATTTCTAGTGCAATCTTGATGACCGACAATTCTCTTACGTTTGTTGATTCCGCTTGGTCTGCTGTCCGCCAATACCCCACATATTCTCCTAGTTCGGATGCCACGCCCCAGCCAGATAGTGATGCGTCGACATGTATTGTTGCGTATGGAGGTCGCTCGGGTGCTCTTCGAATTGGTAATCAATTCCGGCTTTCTGCTATGTTTTGCCACCAGGTTAGATCCTCCTTGGCTAACCGTGACAACGGACATGCTGCTTCCCAGTTCTGCCTGCTCTTGTGTAGAATCTTTGTCAAATCTCGCTGAATATGGCGGATATGTAATAGTGCGTCGCCTATCGCTGGAAGCATCGCTGTCATCTTTCCTAGCATGCCTGCCACCCAGCGGCAGGAGAATGTCTGATCTTGAACTTGTTTGATGCGTTTCATCAGTTTTTTCATCTTGTCTTGTGGTACCTTGATGATGCCTGTAGTGGTGTTGAACTGGAAACCCAAAAATTCTTGGACCGTCTTGGGTTTGATGTCACTCTTCTTCCAATTGATAATAAAACCCAGCTTCGTCAAATGCTCCGTTAATCTGTCAGTGTGTTCTTGCATCTCCTTGACTGACTTGGCTAATATAGCACAATCGTCTAAGTAATAGACACATCGCATCCCTTCTCGTCTCAATGGTTCGATGGCGTAACGAAACATTTTCGAGAATACCCTAGGTGAGATTGCGGCACCAAATGGCAAAGACGCGTATTGATAGATCAAGTTGTTGTGCTCGAAAGACAAGTACTTCTGGGACTCTGAATGGATCGGCACCACTGTATATGCGTCTTTCAAATCGATCTTGCAAATCAAATCGTTGTCCTCTATCAAATCGCGTAACGCTGGTATGCCTTCCATTTTGAAATGTTGTACTTGTAAAAACTGATTGATCTTCTGACAATTCAATATTGGGCGGACCTTTGACGGTTCTTGGATCGTGAAAAACGTTGATAAAAACCCCCGCTCTTGTGACGGTGAGACCTCTATCACCTTTGCTTGTAGAAACCGACGTACTGCTTGATCCACTAACATGTGATCCTGGCTCGTCCTGCAGCTCTGCCTCGTGTACCATGGCGTTGGTAATTTGTTGAATTGTAGTCTGTAACCCTCCTGAACTACAGATATTGGCCATGTATGGTGTGTCGTTTGTCGCCAATAGTTCACAGAATGACCTAACTGGCCCCCAAGTGCTATGCCATACTCCGGATTGGTGTAGTGTGGCTGGTCTGCTTTCGGTTTGCAAATTTGTTTTAATTTTGTTCGGCGCTGGATGTCGAGTTGGTCGGAACCATTGTTTGGCCCCAGCCCCTGCCAAAAAAAGTTTTTTGTCTGAAAGTGGAGCCGTTGTTGAAACCGCCTCAGAAGGAACTACCTCGACCTCGGAATCCTCCATTATGATATCCTCCTCGTCTTGGATTAAGGGCTGCTTGTATAAATCTTTACTCATATCTTGCTTTCTCAATTCTTTGGACCATTGTCGAATCGAATGCCAAATCTTTGGTGGTGTCTTCTTCTTCTTCGATATATCTAACATTGGCTGGTAGCCTGAGTGCTTTCGATATTGTTGTTCTTGCTTCTTGTTCTTGCTGCTTGCTAGTGGCAAATCCACAAATGGCGAGTCTTCTTGCTTTTTCCATAATGGTTTGGAGATCTCGTTCATCATCTGTGCTGCCGCCTCGTTCGATGATGTGCTGGATGCCTTGAAAAAGTTCTGTTGATGCCCTCGCTGTGTTTCTGGTCCGTTCTGCATCTTTATATTTGCCTTGAACGGCCGTATAGGCTTCCACTGTCTTCCTCTTGAGCTCGCCGATAAACTGTTTGTTGACTGCGCCTGGTCTTGTCCACGAGTCCCCGTGATACTTGACGAGATCGCGTCTAAATATCTTGAAGCTTTCTTCGAGTTCAGCGAGGGAAGATGCTTCCAAATCTTGCCAGATTTCTGGTGGCAATTCCGGGTGATCGAACTTGTCTTGTTCCTTTCTATCTCTTTCATCCAGTCTTGTTTGTAGTCTGGTGGCCAATTCCTCCAATTGTTGGATCCTTTGTGTGTATTCATTTACCTCTTGGTTGTTACTCATTTACCACGTCTGCGCGGCTTAGAAAGAACTAGATTGTATCAGAAGAGAGGAAAAAACTTTTTATATATAATTGCTGAGAATAAAGCGCAGCTAGAAGAGCTATTACCACCACATCAGATGATGAAGCGGAGGCAACAAGGATTGGGTTAGGAACGAAGACTAATAATAATTAATTTTTAAAAATACTGTTAAGTTTTTAAAAATAATTATATTAGCATGTAAAAAAAGTTTACTTTTTTTTTAAATATTTAAATTTGTATACAAATTAAATATTTGTTACTATTAAATTTATTTGTATACACTGCGCGAAAAACGAATTATCAAGTTCTTCAAAAACAGCTTGATAATTATCTGGCAAGGGGCAAGATTAAATAAAAAAACAGATATGTACCTTATGGCACCTGCAGCTGCCACATTTGGTAGTTCTGTGCAAAAGTTTACAAAGCAACCTGATATGCAATTGGGAAAAAAAAAGTTGATGCATAAAATCATATAGTGAATGTCACTGCATCCTTTATGAAGGCATTAGCTTCCTCAAGATAGTCCCCCTCAAAAATATTTCTTCATACACAGTCCCCTCATCATCCTTTTTCTGGGGGATGAGGATTGCCATGCATCAATACTACGCGGCTATGCAATGACCATATATGATTTTAATTTATCTCCTTAATTTTTTGCATATACACAAACTATGGAGACAGAAAAGAAAAGCAAAAAAGCAACTAGATCCCCTGATGCATTATTGTCGGTGCATAATGTCAAAGATAGCAAACTCACATACGGAAAAGTGCAGGACAATAACTATAGTAGCAACTAGAAAAAATACCAGGGAAAAACTTAAGGGTGCACTTGAGAGAATATAAGCGGTTTAGTGCTGGTGCTGGCTGCTCGCTCATTTGTCTTCATTTCGTTTTTTTTTTTTTTTCATAATGCAGCATGATCGCAACGAGCCTTTAGTTGCGTGTCTTTGCACGCGGTGTTCTTCGGCTGGTGGAGGCTATCAAATGGTGAGCCGCAGAATACGCGAATATCACCGAAACCGCGATTTTGACCAAGCCAGAGACAGGCACTCGCACAATGGTACTTTTACAGAATCGTCTCATAGTATTGAAATGTCATAAGTCTCATTATTATGTGCTGTATATACAGTGAGTGCTATCGTTGCCGATATTGAGAGTACTTTACTGCAAGAAAATCCATCGCCATCCCCATCACCTTTAGGTGACAATTTGGATATGGATATAGACATGATCGATGATCCTCCCTCCTCCCCTGGTATGACGATGATTTGTAAATGCAATAAACATGGGAATAGACGATTCACTATCATTGAGTAAATAGATACTGTTGCAGGCCGCCGTTTCACACCTTTTTCTGCCGAGGACAATGTGTTCTCGCTTGAAGAAACAGACGATTCCGAGAGAGATCTCGACGATGATCTTGTTGTAAATGCTGACGATGTTGAGTATGGCGATGATGAAGCCAACATTGGAAATGGCAATATCGAACAAGGTTGGTTTTGCAAAGAACGGTTTTATTGTACGAAATGACAGAAATTAATGCTTTTTTTTCCCGAAAAAAAGACACTTACCTTGATCATCCTCCTCCTCCTCCTCCTCCTACCGTCCCTCAGCTCCATACTTATCCGCATCCGTTCATCTTTGTCATTCTTTTCCTTGTGTTGTTCCAATTACACTTCGTCTCGGAGCATCTGTCGTGCACGATCATTGACTTTTGTATTTTACTTCTTGGTGATCTGCAACCCAATGTTTCCATTCCTGGCTCACTTGCAACTCTCCGTCGCCTTACTGGCTTCTCTGCGCTGACCGACCGACTACGCATTTATGTGTGCTGCTCTCGTTGTCATAGCCTGTACCTTTTATCTGACCCTGTCTGCCCAACAACATGCACCAACGATGACATCCGTTATGGTAATTTGTGCGGCAATGCATTGTTCAAGATCAGTGGCAATCGAAGGGTTCCCATAAAGGTGTATGCGTACCAGCCCTTATCTGCGAGTATCGAGAGGCTTTTTATGCGACCAGGATTTGAAGCAAAGATCGAGGAATGGCGAAACCGCAGACGAGTTGCAGACACATTTTTTGACATCTTTGATGGTGATATGTGGCGAGAGTTTCGAGACGGTGATGGCAGACCGTTTGTTGAGCAGCTTCGCTCCCTGTTGTTGACGTTGAATGTAGACTGGTTCGGCCCATTCCTAAACTCAACATACTCATGCGGTGCCATTTACTTATCTGTCAACAATCTTCCCCGGTCCGAGCGCTTCAAAACTGAAAACGTCATTCTCGTTGGTGTTATGCCGGGCCCACGAGAAGCAAGTACATCTGACATGAATCATTTTCTCCGTCCATTAGTTGATGAATTGTTGGAATGGTACAATGGCAAATTGATCAGGACGTGTGAGCACCGACAAGGGACATTGGTCCGCTTGGCCTTGCTCATCAATGCTTGTGATATCCCTGCTGCACGGAAAACAAGCGGCTTCACGTCTCATGCCAGCCTTTGTGCCTGCCATAAATGCGATCGTCGATTCAATGTTTTTCCGGCCACGACCAACATCGATTACTCGGGATTCGACGTCGACAACTGGGCATTGAGGACGTACGAGGGAAATAGAGCCTGTGCTGAGCAGTGGCGTGCTGCGCCGACGATGACGGCAAGGCGGTCGCTTGAACGTGAGAATGGTACACGATGGTCCGAGCTTCACCGACTTCACTACTTTGATCCAGTCCGTTGCACGATCATCGATCCAATGCACAATCTGTTCCTTGGCACGACAAAGCGGATGACCAAAATATGGATCGATCGAGAACTGCTCACAAGAGCCGACTTGGAGCAAATGCAAGTGCTCGCAAACGGCATCGTCCTCCCGCCCGATTATGTTACCTTGAAGCGTAAAATCGAAAGTGGATTCTCGTTCATGACCGCCGACGATTGGAAATCGTGGTGCATCGTGTACTCGCCTTTGGTGCTCGATGGCCATCTCCCGCGTATGTATCTACAAAACTGGTTGATATTCGTGGACGCATGTCGTTTGTTGGTTAAGCCGTCAATAACTATGGACGAAATTGCAAAAGCAAGCACTCTGCTCCAGCAGTTTTGCACCGGTTTTGAGCGACTGTACGGCGCGGAGGAAGTCACACCTAACATGCACCTCCACATGCATTTGGACGCAACGATTGAAGATTTTGGACCCTTGTATGCTTACTGGCTCTTTTCTTTTGAACGGTACAACGGGTATCTAAAGGAGATTGATACCAACCAGAAGGATGCTTTTGAGGTGACGTTCATGAAGAAGTTCTTGCAGAAGACCGGAGCTCGCGATTTTGTCCGATCGTTTGAAGCCCTCTTCGAAAATCGCCAACACCATTTCAGCTTTCTGAATGCTTTTCTGGACCTTGTGCAGCCGATCCCACAAGCCGTCAATGTTATGCAGCATCAGTTCGATGTCCATGCGTTTCTGGCTTTGTCTACCGATGTTAGAGTCACTTCTGTCACAGGAAGCGAGCCGCTACCGCCAGACGCATATCCTTTGGATTACGGACGGATAGCATATATGCCTGCTCAACTGTATGATTTCTTGTTCGAATTCTACCAAGTAGCATATGGTGTGCCTTTCCGTCGTCATAACCAAGCTGGTGATGGGCAAGGTTTTGTCAGTGATCAATACTGGAAAATCAAGACAATAACAATGATGGGACAGACCTACCGCAGTACCGAAGCGAGATCGCGACGGGGTGCATATGCGCAGGTTCTCTTCCATGCTGACGACCGTGGGGAAGTAATGGCTTGGCCTTGCGAAATCCAATTTTTCTTTCGCCATATGCAGCTTGTTCACGGTCAGCAAACTGAGCATATTTTTGCGTACGTCCGTTGGTACGGCATCCACGGAGACAACGACGGCCAACGATTCTCAGACCCTTTCATTGAAACTTGGCGTAGTCGGTTTCGAGCTCCAGCGTGGGATTGCATTCTACCTGTTCATCGTTTGTATGGGCAAATCGCTGTTGTGAAACTCGGCGCACAGTCAAGCGCAAACGCAAGAACAGTTGTTATCCCTTTGCCAAAGAAAATGTTAGCGTAATCATCTCACTCACTGCTTTTCCTCTATTTCTCATCTTTTTCGTTTTAAAAATTCTTCTTGACATACGCTTTCCATACAAAGTACGACTATGATCTGTTTCCAGGGGCTGCGGATGGGAAGAGCAAGTAGCCTTTTTACCAGCATTTGCAAGTGATCAGTTTGATGGTGCGAATGTGAGTAAGTGTAAGAAAACAACGCGTGGATAATATGAAAGGTGAAAAGGGAAACCCCGTTTTTTTTTTCGAAGTGGCTGAAAAATAAGTGTACCATCAGTACCCCAACCAATCTGTCCCGCGTTTCTTTGCTTACCCCCAATTGCAAAATCACTGTGTTTGTGCCCACCCCAAACCCACACGGCATACAGCCATGCGACCATTTTATTCTTTTTATTTTTTTAAACATCTTTTACCCAACCGGCCAGCTTCTCACGAGCGCTGTCAGGCAAGGCAACAGGATCAACACCGTCCACTCTCGTCAACTTGTTGGCCTCAGTAGCAGGACTGTTCGCATCGAGATGCTGTAAAAACAAATTGGCCTGCAAACAGTTTGTCAAGATCTCTGTCAAAGAAGCCACGACGAACCATTCCAAAATACATACCCTTTCATTGCGCCATTGCTGCTTACGGACCACAACGCGCTTCCCTACTTCACCAGTGTATTCACCGTCCGTCTCTTCTTCAGACATAAACTCAACTTGGAGTAATGCCTCCCCTCCTGCGTAGGACGCCTCCAACTGGACCTGATGCCGTCGGAAGACTGCGAGACGTCGCTTGAACTTCTACTCAACATATATCATGAGACAAATACTAACAGCATACATACTATATCTATTACCATATGACGACGACCATTGCGGCGGTTGATCACCTTTCTTCGTGCTGCACGCTCAGCTGACTGACGATTACACGTGCGCGCATTGTCAAAGTATGTGTACACCTTTTTGGCCAGTTCATCATACGTGATTTCAAACTGGCCGAGGCCTAGTACGTACTCGATGATACTGGCACGAACGCTACGGTTATGGGTGCTTCGAAAACCTTCGTTCCAACGAAAGCCTTCCTGTTTCAAAACGTTGTGATGATGGCGTATCGCATCCTTTATATGATTATATCAGGATATCATGCTAATTACTTCCATATTAAAAAGATGTTATTAACTTTCTTACAGAAACCTGCGGTGCACGGGTCATTTGCGCGCCTTGGCCATGAGTACTGACCACAGCTAGGCTATCCGCAACTTGTGTTGCTGCTTGTTGTTGCACCTGCGCCTGTCGAGCAACTACGTTTGCCATAGCCTGCAGTTGGTGCTCTTGCGTGGCGCTATGTGCCTCCAGCGTTCTTATACGATCTTCCATGGCCAACATGGCATTGGCGGAATTTTCCCGCTCAACAGCAACCCGACGTTCTTCGATGCGTTGCTGTCTGGCAGCATTGCGTTCTCCTATTGTGGGCATCTACACAGTATTTCAGTATACGGCACTCAATAACTATATGGTCAACGCTACTTATTACGCTTACTATGTAGTAGTGTGGATTGAAGGTGTGGATAAGGTAAGTTCTATTGGGATTAATTAATTGGGGGACGTTTTTATAGGGATACACAATGATCCTATGCAGGGTGGTGATGATGGAGTTGTGGACAGCAGGAACTTGCCTAAATGACTTTTTTTTTAGATTGATATATTTTCCCTGACTGCATGATTTGGTTATTTTGTCTCTTCTTTTCCCTTTTTTCTTCTTTTCATACTTCCACGTCGTATTTTATCACCAACCATGAATCTTCTTTTTCTATGGTAAGAATCTATATAACATGGTCATTTTCTATCTTTCACATACTTTCAACTTTGTACCGATGATGTTCTTTCAATCACTAACTGCATTCTTTATGAATCTCAAGACATCATCACTGAGTTACAAGGAAACGGTGTAAGCTCTCTCTCCTCTTTTTACAGTCTTTTCTGATGGTTGAGAGGTTCAGATACTAATAGTCTCTTATATTATATTTGCCCACGCTTTCAATTGTCTGAAGCTGTTAGCATTTATATCTTCTTATTCAGAGTCTTTGTTTGCACCTGACTGTTGCCACACAAGTAGCGCTATCTGTAAGTATGCTTTCTTTCTATCTTCGTTTCTTTTCTACTGCTGATTTCACCGGTTTAACAACTACTTTTTTTTTCTTTATGTATCTCGCCTCTTAGACATTGCTACTGAGTTCTCCTCTTACGATTTGGCCCTCTAATTTTGCGAATCGCCTTGCTGTAGATTAGCAATTCTTTGTTGCCGTGCCAATGCCGCCCCAGCACACCAACCAATATAGCACTTCCCTTTAGAATAGAAATTTTTGCTTACTTTCATCTCCATAGCATGTTTTTATTTGTAATAATCGTCAATCAATTTTTAATAATAAAACCGGTTTCGAGCAACCATAACACGTAATTTCACGATCCAAAAAATAATTATACAACCAATTGCCTTGCTACTCTGATCAGTATGCATGTAAAGAAGTACATTAAAATATGCGATGCAGAACTCTGTTGCGAATTTGACTGAACCTAGTACCCAATTCATATGTAATGTGATATAGAACCCAACCACTACTGCATACATAATATCAAAAACCCCCATTTCCGCGTACATGCATGAGCAAATTATCAAGTGGTGAAAAACAGCTTGATAATAACAATCGAAGCTGTTTCTGCATAATTATCAAGCTGTTCAAAAACAACGTGATAACTACATAGCAAGCTATTATCAAGCTATTATCAAGCTGTTTTTGACTACTTGATAATAGCCTACACACCCAGTGATATAATAAATTAATGAGTAACCAGGCTAGACCTTTAGGTCGACGCCCGAAGAATCGAAGATTCTGAGCTCGACTAGATATATATATAGTTAACAATTTTGTTGTTTACAAAAAAAAATTGTAACTATGAATATATCTCCTGAGTAATCGTCATTGGTATATCCTATTTCAAGCAACATTCCTATCTATATAAACATCAGTCCTTACTGAACTAAATAAGAAAAAAACTTTCTGGAATGTCCCTAATTATTAGAGAAAATACTAGTTTAAAAATAGAGCTTCAAAGTACTTGAGCTGAACTTTAATAAAACTAAATAGGTGCTGACCTACTAGCTTAGCAGTCTATCAGACTCACTAAGGTTCTTGAGGAACTTAGCTTCTATTAGCAAGTTGATACCTACTAAGTGGTTTCAACACCATAATTACACTGTTTCTATAGATAACTCCCATCTTGATAAAATGGGTAGTATAAATAACACTACTTACTAATAATCCATCCTTTCCCTATTCCGTACATGTACTCCCTACTATTTCGCATCATATCCTCTCTTGCAAGATCGCAAACTTTACTATCCACTGCTTATACTTCCCACCAAGTGGACTCACACCTTCGCAAGCCAAATATCATCCCTATCCATCCTCTACTAATCTCATCTGACAACCACTAGCAGCACGTGAAACCTGTCCACGTCAGTTGTGGCACCTCAACAAATTATACAATGATGAACCTCGAAAGAAGTCTAAGAACCTATTCACAGAAAAAGTAAAAGATATCGATTCCCAGACCTAAATCGCCATTGACAACGATGCTATTGAGTCTGATATTGACCATCTAACCGACCAACTAACACATTGCATCCACATGCCAGTAGATCAATCAATAGGCCGTAGGACTCTACACCTGCCTCAGGGTAAAATGGTTTGGAATGATGAGCTTAAGATAGCCTTCCAATAGCGAGAACTCTGTTATCAACGAAAGATAAAAGCAATAGGACTATAACGCGGAAAATGTACTGTTAACCATCGCGAAGCATCAAAGAAATTTGATTTCTGAGTCCAAAAACGAAAAAGACAAGCCTGGCGGAATATTTGTCTCAAAGAAGCTCATGACGATTTATCTAACACAACGGCAACTATTAAAAGAATTAGGCAAAATCGGGTAGTTAATTCAACTGTTGCGGATATGGCTGGACCAGAAGCCGCTGTTAACAAAATGTCACGACAACTAGCACGCACGTTTGCTAGCAATGCGTTACCTAGAGTAAGAGCCAACTCGCCACCTCGTCCAATAGATCCCGATATTATCGACGATATTCCTGTTTCAGTAATACGTAAAGTACCTACAAGATGCGCTACATTCCTCCTCCCTACCGATAAATTTTGTCTAAGAGGTTTTCGTACCCAGCGTGGCGCATTGGATCAAGCTCTTTGCCTACACGAGTTCTGTTTCCGCCATCGTCCAGATCATAATAACACAAGCCCGGTCCTTGCCTTCTTGGATATCAAATCCGCCTATGATACAGTGGATCGCGCCATTATATGGCGTGCGCTGGAACCAACGGCTGCCTCTCCTCTCTTAGGATTGCTACAAAGCCTTTTTGAAGACGTATTTATGCAAGTATCGTTATCTGGTACCACATCAAGAACTTTTTGGCCCGCCACTGGGGTTCTGAAGGATCCATTCTGTCACCTCACTTGTATTTTATCTATATCAATTCTTTACCTCAATTCCTTCGTTCCCCTGCTTCCCTCTACCCTGATTTCTCTGATTCCGACTCAGATTTTGAGATCGGCTCTATACTTTCACCGCGTCAATGTCCTCATCTTCTGGTTTGTGGTAAATGGTTCAATGCACTGTTAAACGTTGACAATGTTGTGTTTTGATTGGCAGTAGATTCAGCATTCAACAATTACTGAACCGCGCCAAAGAACACTCATATAAACTTGGATATCGCTGGAATCCAAGTAAATGTGTCGTACTGCAACAACCAACTAGCCAAAGAACCAATCCCCTTCCGCCACTCCACTTATATAATCAGCCACTCCCCACAGCATCCAACTTCGTTTACCTCGGTATACCTTACAATGCTAGTGGTATGATCCACACCAACATCTCATCCAACGCACATCGCCTCTACTCTCACTGCTATGCGTACACTGCGCACTATTGGTTGTAATCCGCCGCACGGCTTTCCTCGCCATCTCGCCGTTAAAATTTACAAGCAGTTTACCCGACCCCATTTTCGAATATGGATCAGCAATTGCAACATCATGGACAAGACCGATGCCTTCGCTACATCTTTGGCGGCCACTCAAATTCCTCATCACTGTTATCTGACTCGTGCTTGTGACTTACCTGACGATGCATTATTGACCCAATTACGAACATGTCTACGGGATCAGCGCCATCAATGAAACAAGCTTCAAACGTTCAACGCAATATGGAAATCACTGTCATCACCACGAGATCTAAAATCCAGTGTACGCACATATCGCGCCACCAACCTTCGTAAGTTACAAGAAGGCCCTAATACAGGTGTCCTTATGTCCGCTTGTCGTCGCTCACTTGAGCTTGGTCCCACCTTCTTCCTAGCCATTGATATGGTAAGGAGAATTTCCATGCTGGTCAGCAGACCAATTTTAAAAATTTCTGACGATTTGTAATCCGCTCTCGTTCGTTTCGGTTCTCTCCCCCGACACTCTTTCAACCGCTTTTTTTCTATTACTGTATTCAAATATGACATAATTGTCACTTACCCATTTGCTCAGGAACGAAAGCTTTTAAAGCCATTATCATTGTATGCCATTAGTACCAAAGTTGTAACACAGGCATGTTCGGTCAAGTGAATCTTTCGTATATCACCATGACATTCAGAAAACGTAACCACCTACTCCGCTGGCGGATGGGTTGGCTATCCGTAGAACGGATCCAATGTACCAATTGTAACAATAACCACACCAGTCACCACCATCTCATTGAATGTCTCGATATCGCGTATCAACTGGACTTACCATCTGATGCAGCACCAAATCCAATCGACCACCTCTTTAACAAACTTCCTCGTAACCCACCAAATAATCCACAAGCCATTTGGTTTTGGCAACAGCAATGACCAAAATCAATGTTAGCGCTCGAACAACTTGATAAGATATTTCATCCAGATTTGAATGATGATATACCTGATGATCCGGAACTAGGTCTACAATTATTTGTGGGCTGGTTAACAGCGCCTCCTCCAATATTGCCTCCAGCACTCGCTGCCACGTCTACATTACTTAACACAGCATTATAGGCTGCCGGTGACCTCATTCAATCTCTATTTCTCTCTCTCTCTCCACTCTCTTTTGTAAATACTATTCCCACCCCCTAACGTAATCTATATTAAAAACCTAAAATCTGTTTCATGTCACTAACAGCTCCGCTCTTCTATTTTACGCACAGACCACCGATGAGGCTTGACGTTTGAAAGTTTAATTTTCTTTGTATTACCTCTTTTGTCCCCTCACAACTGTCCATTTTACCTTTTTCCCTTGTCATATAAGGGTTGTTCATTCTGCTCTCTCTGGTGAATTATTTCTATATCTCTCTTCAACCTGAACTTTGGTACGGTCATATGCTCCATAGAGCGCGGCCCCATAGAAAATCTCACTAATAAACTTATTAAACCAGTTATACCTCGGACAAGTTGTCTCGATGTCTACCTCTTCGAAGCTTCAATACAAATACGCATACCAATCGCAAGTCTACGACATATTAAAATATGTTTTTTTGAAATACCAAATGCTTCCAGCTCTACATTATTGCGCTGCTAAAATCCAGCGCTCCTCATATAATCTATTCAACAACGCTGTAGAGGTTGGTTTTACAAAGTTAATTAATAAAAAGTATATTTTGGCTTTCATGGTTTTTCAATCACATTAAGGCGCAGGCTATGGCTGGACCTGGAAATAATAAAATGCTACAGTTTACTACACACGCCGTCATTCTGTCACTTACTTTCTTCTAAAAGCACTTACGAATTTTAAATGTAGGTTCTAGATTATGATTGAAGAAAAATCTTCTCGATTGATAACAATAACAACAGAGATATCATATTATTTATAGCACTTTCAAAATTGAGAGTAATTTTGACACGTACCGCTCTCAGCTTCCAAAAAGAGAGCACTTTTCTTTCTTTCTCTTCTAAAGCCTAAAGCAACCCACATCCCACCAAACACCAATACACTTACGCAACTTTTGATTGACACATTGAAGAGACAGTAATCGCAACAGTAAAACTAACACCATCAAGAGACAAAAGAAAAAGCAACTGGCCGCTTATATCCGACTTCGTTTTTTTATTCACAAGCAAATTCACAAACCATTTCAGTACCCGGCCAGACAAATCAACAGTAACATGTGCATGTAGGTCTAATTATACTCTCTTTTTTAAATTGTAAAGAGTAGCACGGCTTGCTATTTACCAGACTTCAGATTAACGTACATATGTAATGAACGTGCTTTAACATTGTGTGGTATGGAGAACGCTTGATCTGCATTCCCAGGCCCCTTACTAGTCAGAGGGACGCTCATTTGGGTGATGCAAAAGGAGTACAAAGGATCGGTCTCTCCAAATATTGATTGAGATTTGATACATCTCACCTTTAAACGCGTTTTTTGTTTATATAAAGGCTCTGTTTAGCAGCGACCAGACTTGTCAAGCGAAGCCAACTGTGGACCGATTGTTGCCAACCCAAGGCAGAACAACATCAAAGTGATACATCAAGAGCTCTCGTGCGATGTATGGGCCAAATTTTAATTGTAGCGACTAAGCCATCTCTGCTTGATGCTGATGCTGTCGCAACGATGCCAATGAGAAAGGCGCCAAATCGTAGCACTACAGGTTGTGAGCAACGATTCGACCCACGTCATTGAGGTCGGGAAATGCAGGAGCTTGGACTTCTTTCACAGCTCTCAAAAAATCTCTTCCTGTTGGTCTGGCGAGTCCGCACTTAGTCATATTGTCGGCTCGCATCGACTATACTGAATAAACTCCAGGCAGTATTGTTAATTCCCCCGAACTATAAATGTTGCTCATTAAATAGCTTAAATACCAGTTTGTGGACTTCAAGTGTTACAAAATACGGTTCTCGTCGCTTTCAAGCACCAACACATACAAAGGATTGTGGCATTGCTTTGACCGTAATCGCACAGTCACTGGGATGCTTTCCCCCCAACCGTTTCGAATAAGCCTCGTGCACTCTATTTTGACAGTTCTATCTCCAGCCGTAGTGGACAAGTCGATAAAAATGAGACCCGTTAAACGGTGGCACTGCACGTATATGAAGTATCAAATCTCGCTCGAGCTAAGTTCGCTATCAATTTTACAGCTACACGCCAAGCTTGCTTATTAAATACAAGAGCTTCTTTCTATGACAATGTACGTGATAAACATCGCCTTCGTGTATCAGACGATCACGCGAAATGTATGCATCTTTATTTGAGAGCACATAAAGTGACCTTGTATCTCCATTTATATAAATGCAATGTGATACTCACTTTCGAGTGACACGATTCAGGAGTTCTCATCATAAGAGAAACGTACTGAACAAATAAAATTGCTCGCTTTTCCATGGACGTAATATATTTTGCTTTTGATGAGTGATACAGCAACCGCCAGCCTTGGAAGTCTATTTTCCACTTTGGACTGAATTGGAATATAGACACAAGTTAGATGTACTTGTACCTTGCCTGAAGAATTGTTATTTTTATACACTACAATCGCTAATAAGTAGTTTTCTTTGAAAGCTGGAGTGCTGCTGTCTGCTAAAGAGGGATAGCGAGAAGGAAGGACGACAGTGTATTGTGTGAACAACATGGGCAACAGAATGCATAAAGTAGAGTGAATGCGGTTATTTCTTTTGACTTACCACCCATTGTTACATTTGTGGACTTAGGTCAGTTTCAACTTTTCTGGCCATTATACTCGCTTTAGGTTGGGTTAACTCATTGTCGTTCATAGGGGGCAAAATAAGCTTTGTTGCTGCAGACTTTTAGAGAACTGATAATGCTTAGTCCATGAGGATCCTCATCCTCCCTCTATGATGTTTAGCAATGGTGCACAATATCTTCTCCTTTCTCCAGCTCATTCGTTGTGATGGTACGAGCAACATAAGCCTGGTATGCACTATGTATACATACTGTAAACTTCCCTTATTAGTCAATTTCCCTCGTCAAAAGTTAGAAACATTAAATACAAAGTATAACTCAATCTAGATACATAGAAGCCAAGTACTAGGCTCGCGAAGAATGTAAATCCTGCATTCGTTATTACATCATATCTTTTCTTTACTAATGACGAAAGGGAAGCACCCGGCAATAAAAACTATTAATGTGGCCTTACAAGCTCATTGATACTTATACTGTGGACCTTTCCGGCTACAGATATGTTCGTAATACCGCCTGCATGAGTAAGCCCAGTCTTCATTTTCTCCTTGTTGATGTAGTACAAGAAACAACTCGCTGTTGACACTTACCAAATGCAACTGATATGCACACAATGGGTAGCACTAATGAATGTATATCATCTGCTTCTTACACGAACACACATACATCATTCTATATATGCGAAAAAAGAACACTAGCACAAAAGAAGAATAAACAGGCATTTTCTGTTCCTCCCACTGACAAGTCCAGCCCGTTCTTTTTTTCATTTTTATACTAGTGATGCGCTAAACTTGACCAGCCGGTGACTATGTACATATAGGGGGAGAATAAAAGTGCGTCTAACAACCGGAAGCTGGCAAAAAGGGGATGGAGCTGGCAAGTAGTTGTTTTTTCCTCAATATAAATCTTACTGCACCAGCCAATTTTGTCATCCACTACTTATTATAAAGAAGAGAGTTATAAGTTTCGCTGTGTACGCGCCATACACACGCATTATAGGGTTCTCTTTGCTATTTACCGCTAGAAGTACATATAGCAGTAGTCTCCATTCACATATAATGAGCCTTCAATGTATATTAACATTCGTACAGCGGTTATGGTAAATTCCTGTATCGCTATGTTACGACAGTAAACGTAATAAGAAACGTAATTCCGTACATCCCGGTGACAGAGCTATTAAATGCGTTTACACCTTTTGTTAAGTGAGTCCCACAACATTACGGAATGCAGCACCACATTATTTCGTAAGGAGGCAACGCCATTGCTGCAAAGACATGCATAATGTCAGCTTTTTAGTCGCGTAAAAAGCTCTACTGTTGTCATGACACTCATGTAAAGCCAGATTTCTTATGAAAAAGGGTGTTACAGTATTTCGAACCCCTTCAAAACAATCAAACATTGAGCCAACTTTTTGCCAACATAAAGAAAAGTATTCAGTTGCCACTAAAATAGATCAACACTCCTAAAGCGGTTCAGTAAAAGATACTAATGTGTATATTTTTTAAGAGAACAATAATATGTAATGCGTAATAAAAATTTGAAAAAAAAACTACTACAGTAGAAGGAAAAAGACGAATAATGCTGTGGGAATGAGGAGAGTGAGGAGGAATGATTATAATGCTACGGGTTAATAAAAATATCATTACTAGTATTTGTTAATGTGCTTTGAAGATCCTGTCAATTCAGCTGACGTTGCGCTGTCAGTATCATCTTCTCTGGAAGTAGGATGAACAACAGGCAAGTCATGTTTCATGGATCGTTCATGGTGAGCAGTAGCGGTAGCATCACCATCAAATGTCATTTCACCGGTAATGTGATCAGTCGTTTGAAGGTTCTTGGCGCGTGTGTCAGTGTGACCATTCTTCTTGCTACCGCTTGTAGTGACCCAGTGGACAGTAATTACGTTGATCTAATAAGACAGTGTCACTTGTATTAGTAACTATGGTGGCGAATTGTGCATCATTACTTTGCTAATAGATATTTAAATATAATTACCGTTACATCGACTGTGCACATGGTCAAGCATACCAAACCACGTTCATGACCCGATGTCAATACAACCACAAGCACATTGAGGAAGGAAATAAGCAAACATACAAGGGATGCCACAAGTGTCTTACGGGCCAATCGATACAGTTTGGTGCTCTTCCAGTCGGTTCGGGTATTCCTTCCAACATTCATCAGTGGATGCATAAACAGCCATGTAAGATATAAGTTGAAGATCTATAATCGTAGAATCCGCACGTGATGTTGTTAACACATTGCTTCTGGTACATATACACTGCATAATATTGTCGGTTTTAAGCTTACAAAGTCATAGATCTAGCGAAGGTTATGAATTGGAAACAAGGCACAAGTTAGTACTAGTCGTTTAAAGCTGTGTATCATTACAGATCGATGATGATGAGCTTACCAAGAGTGGAATACTGGCAATTGGCTGCAAACCAATTGTACATGTGCCATCTTCTTCCAAGTAGATGTTTCGGAAGGTAACCATGAGGACAAAGATGATAATGTAGGGGCAAAGTAGAACAATGTGGAACTTGTACTGGCATGTCTTCATTCGGGTTGTCTTGACAGCAGTAACCATGTGTACACGTTCAATCAGCCTGTTTTAATTGCAAGAAACAGATCAATCAGTTGCCACTTGACGATGATTTATGTACTGTCATTGTATGGTCATATTGATGGCGAATACATACCAAGCATAAATAGCAATTTTACTACCAGCATAGAAGACGTCGCAAGAAAGCATACCCAAAGTACAAGAAACGATGTTATCTAGTAGTAACGAACAGGTTCATTTTAGTTTCTTCGCACAGTGAATGAGCTTCATCTTCATAGCTCTTCTTTTCAATGGCTTTTGTTCTTAACTTACGGTTGTTAGTAGAAACGACCATGATAGAAGTAACCGAGAAAGCCCAGGACAAAAAGTAAAGCATAATAACCAAAGCACGGCCATAGTTTAAAGATTTGAGCTTTTCGCCATCAGTCTTTACACCTAACGCGCATGCTAGCACGGTGATGCAAGCCAAAGAGATAATCTCGGAACCGATTTCAAGCGGATCAGGGTTGATATCAGCGAAATCATAAGTGGGTTCTGCGGCAACGGCAGCAGCTGCAGTGGTGATAGTTGCTGTTGACATTCGAATTCAAATTTAGTAGAAAAGTGGTATTAATGACTATAGTGTGGGATGATGCTTCTGAATAGAAAGGAAGAAAACTTGAGGTTTAACAAAAACAAATGGCAGGTTTTTAACATAAAGCGGCAAATTTAAGGGGATCCTCTTTTTGATAAATGGGCTTTGACAAGAAGTAGGCTTTTTTCTCTGCATCCATTCTTATGGGCTAAATCTTCCCCCAAATTTCCCAAAGTCGAGTGTGTTGATAACCTCTTTTTCCGGGAAACAGGAGCAGGTGTTAGTGTGTCTGGCTCGCTCCCTGATCTGCGAGTCTTAAATGCACACACGCGATGGGCATATGTGTTTGTGTGACACCATTTCATCTCTGAGTTAATAGACCATGTATAAGAGAAGAAGAAGAAGGAAAAAGCCAAGTACAAGTACAAGTACAACAAGATTCCGGATGTCAATCCCTGCCTGTCAAGTAGGGTCGTTCCCTTGCTCTCTCTTTCCCTGTGCTGGGTCTCTTACACATTTGCCATTATGTTGCTTCAACTAGCATGGAAACAGGGGCATCAAGAACAACAACCAGTATAAAAGAGTCACGCAGTATGGAAACCACATTGGGACTGTCTGTGTGTACAGGATCCTTAACGCCTTTGGGTTGGTTGTTGCATACTTGCAGGGAGTAGTATTTTGAAGAGAAACAAAGTGGATGTAGGATGTTTTTAGTTATACACGGAATAAATGCTGTTGTAAGAAGCAGATACGGTAGTGGGCTTTCTTTAGGTGGGTTCAAGGAGGTAGGATGTGAGTAAGTGTGTGTGTGTGTGTGTATAATATGTTGTAATATGTGCGGATAGTGTGCTTTATGCCAGTGTGTGTGGGGGATAAGAGAAAAGAGACAAGAGAGTGTGTGCGGATAGAGCAAGAAGCTTGCTATTGTTTTTTCTTTGTCCACAAGACTATTTCTTGCCACCCTTCTTACTCTTCGAAGAACCACCATTCTTGTTCTTTTGCTGTTGCTCCTCCTCTTCCATCTTGAGCAAATCCTTTTCAGCCTGCTTGGCTTCTTCGAGTCTCCTTTCCTGTTCGCGTTCTTCAGCAATCTTCAGCTCCTTTTCCTGCATGATTTTACGCTTTTCCTCAGCCTCTTTCATGGTCTTCATTTCTGCTTGCAACACCTTTTGCTTTTCATGCTCCAGCATTTGTGCCGCAGTCGAAAATATCGTTTGTCCCCAATTCTGTTTGTACGTGTTGGCTTCCTGACTCACTTCTTGCAGCTCCATCATGGTTTGTTGTTCGGCTACTGAGAAATCCCGCCACAAGTCATCCCCAATGCTGCCCATTCTCATCAGTTGTTGCAAGGCTGGCTTTTCTTGCTGTATTTGCACCAATCGACGTACAGCTTCCATGGCTCGTCGTAAAAGTGCCGCGCGTAAGTGCTGTTCAGGTACAGGCTTTTCGGTATTTAGCAGTGCAATGTATTGTTCTTTTTCGCGATTTTCAGAGAACCAAGGTTCAACTGATTGAAAACCTTTGTATACACGCAACAATAATTGTGATGTAATAGTGAGTGACAACCTGCTTTTTTTCTCAAGGAATCGCTTTACACCCTTCTCCTTTTGAAAGATTGCAATCCTAAAATAGGTTTGTTACCTGTGACCCGACGGTAAACGAAGGAGAAGACGCTCATGGCGGCAATGCAGCCGCCGAGATAGAGGGCTGGCAGAGCCAATGAATTCATAATCGCGTTTTGGGTTAAAGAACTAAAAAGGTGTGTCCACCTCTGTTGGTTTGCTGTGGTATTATTCGATTGGTTCACTTCAGGTCCCGAAGCAAATGTGCGTGTGCGCTGTTGAGCTGATGACACATGCCAGAATTCTTTATGCGAGAAATTTAGCACCGTTGCCTATGTTTTCAATAAACAATACAACTAAGCAGCACTAAGCCTCGAGTTTCAATTTACACCATGTACACAACTTTCTTTGAGTAAAAATGTACGTTTTCGCGTAGCGAAACTATATCAATGATGTCTGCCTTTTGACATCCGCGCTAAAAGTACGAGTTTCACGTGGACGAAACATCAGATACGTCAAAGAGGCAACAAGTGATCCAGGGCACAACTAAGTGATTGATCGTTTCAGCACAACAGCAGTGTCACCTTAAGTATTATCTGCAGCAGCACAACGCAGGGCTTTGGACAACACCAACAAGAACAACATATTGATATCATTAGTATTGCTACTCACAAAATCGAATTGTATATAAATAAAGAGAAAGAACAACAATGGAAGGGAGGCTAAAACTGGCTCATCATTTAAGCAGTACCGCCGTTAGCTCTCAGTAGGGAACGTCATTGTTCTGTAAAAACCCTTAGTATGCAACTGACCAGTGTGGTGCCTGTCTTACTGCCCTCGATTAAATTCTTCAATGTTTGATATCTAGCTAAACATAGAAAAATTTCTGCTGCTGCTGTGTATGACTCGTAACTCTGTATTAAGTCTATATCGCGGCCTGTATCGAGCCTACTATGTAGCAAAGAAAACGATTAGTGAAACGGAAGAGTAGAATATCGTAACATGCTTGCAGTCTCCTCATTGACCACAACATCAGCTGAGTTGGCGTCACTGAGTTCTTCAGTGATTAACTCAGGGCAGCGAACGAACCTTTGCTTTTAAAACCCTCACAGTCGTGTTATGTCTCTCAGTGCTTCTGCAATGTTAATGGTTTTCTATAGTAGACCTTCTGTGACACCCTTAAAATGAAGAACAGTGCGAAGAAGATGGCAGGGGTAAATGAAGCATTCATTTTCATAAAAGGCATACATTTCGTTAGTATCTACTCACATACTAGTAGTAGGACTAGTACGGTTGACGCTATGTTGGTAATATGGCAGAGACTATTGAATAACGTTAGGTTGTTTAATAGTGCTCGTTGATAACGATGAAGTAGTTTGTACTGATGCGTTTCTTCATGCTGCATCCCACAGCGGAAAAAAGCAATTTATGTGTAGAGGAACGACGTGGTTGAACTTCTACTTGAAAAGTGCGTAAAGTAGATGCTTACCACTTCTGTGCAATGTCGAAATTTTGAGTATTCACGCTTAGATCTAAACGAATAATTGATTGGGATACCTCTACTACAGATAGCCTTTGCTACGGATGGACTTTCCTGTTTGCCTTCTCAACAGAGATGTTCTATTTTCCTTTTGAGGAGCAAAAAGATATTCTGTGAATATAGCAATGTACAATAACCCTTTTTCTGCTCTTGCGATGAGCTAGTAGCTCGCTTTGCCCTAACTGCTGTCATCACTTTCTATAGTTCATGAAAGGGTAGTAATGGTAGAAGAAGTTGGAAGCGAGAGCAACAACCTTCTGATCGCTCTATAAAGTATTCGGTCATTAAAAAATATGCATGAAGCCGAAAGTAGCTTTGTGTTCCACACTCACACACACACACCAACTTGGCAAAGTAGTCTCCTTTCTTTCCATACTATTCTTTTTCTTTTTGACAATGGAGCCTTTATTCAATGGTGCACCCTTTAATCCACAGCGCTATGGAAGTAACAATATTCCACAGCCTGCAGATCGCTTATACTCTTACAGCGGATACACCGCTGGTCTCATGACTAGTAATCAAGCAGGTCCGTCGGGACCCTCCGCTGTCATGTCGCTTAAACAACACCACCAGCCTCAACATTCAATCCCACCTGCACAACCTCCTCTTCCAGCGAATTCTGGAATAATGGCAGCATCAGTGTCATCAGCAGCGCCAACTTCCGCTGGAACGAGTATAGGGGAACGTTATTCTGGAATGTATGCTTCTACGGGATTTGACATTCTGTCCGTCCTGTCACGCGTTGTCAATAGGTAATAAATCTTTTATAGTACGTAATGAAGTGGGGATATGATGGCAAGGAGCTTGCTGCTGCTGTATTTTCTTCCTCTCTCTCTCTTGTCTCTTCCACTGAGAAAAAGAAAAGGATGAAGATAACCCAATTTTAAAACAATTACTCGATCCACTGATGTCTTCCCGCTTGCACATTCACTCTATAACCAAAAATACAGACCAAACCCCCAGATCAATTTGGGGCCTGTCGATCTATCCAGCTCCATAGTTGTAGTGGATGCACGACAGTATGACTTTCCTATTATATATGCATCTCCTATGTTTGAGCGTCTCACAGGCTACGCTCCCTATGAAGTCATTGGCCGCAACTGCAGGTTTTTACAAGCGCCAGATGGTTGTGTCGCAATGGGATCCAGACGACGGTACACGGACAACAGCACAGTCTGTCACATCAAAACACATTTGGTTCAGGGCAAAGAATCACAAGCCAGCATTATTAACTATAAAAAGTCGGGCCAGGTGAATACTTTTTTTTTCGAGATCAACAACACGAACTCTTTGGTTTCAAATAGTAATTTTTCTGTCCTATTCCAGCCATTTGTCAACCTTTTGACAGTAATTCCAGTATCTTACGAAGCAGAAGAGGAAATTGACTATTTTGTCGGGTTGCAGGTTGATCTTGTAGAACAACCGAATTTGATCATTCAAAGCATGAAGGGTAGATAAGGTATTTTTTTTGTACTGCTGGAGCGTAGGGCAGAACGACAATAATGCTAGAAGTTGTTTCTTGTTTCTCTGTCATGCTATAATTTTGCCTATGCTCCGGATGGACCAGCTTTAGCTAATTTAGCATGTATGTATTCCTTTAGATGCCACCTATACAGTCAACTATAGGAACGTAATGATTCCACCGTATATACCACTATCATCATCAAGTAAGTAAAGAAGAGTTCCTTGTTTGTTGATGTTGCTGTCCTTCATGCATGGTGTTACCCGCAAATTGGGGGCTACAGGGCCTAACCGGGACGTCACTTTTCTTACTTGAACACAAACAAACATTAGATGCACAAGCACAACAAGATGGCCAACAAGTTGTGCCTGCACAAGAATGGACGAGACCGCCATCACCAAAACCGGCTTCTAGTCCACCTCCAGTGACAGAGGCTGCTGAAGAACCTGTGGATATCGAACAGCTGATTGCGGAAGCCAGTCGAGATAATGGCAAATACAAACGATGCTGGGAAGAACTGCTTTTGGAAGAAAGCCCCGACTTCATGCACGTATTGACGATCAAGGGGATTTTTCTTTACTGTTCTGATTCAATACGTAGCATACTTGGCTACGAGCCAAACGAGCTGGAGGGTAAATCGATCAGCACAGTGTGCCATCCGTCAGACATGACGACTGTCTTACGCGAGCTGAAGCAATCATCCAACGGACCAAGCGAGCGGGTCTACCTCATCTACCGGATACGACAAAAAAACGGCAATTATATGTGGATTAAATGCGTGGGACGGTTACACAACGAGGACGGACGGGGGCGGAAGTATATCGTTCTTTCAGGGCGAGAGAGACCAGTATATCAGTTGACGACACATGCTGCTTCTCTTGGACGCAAGATACAAGGAGGTTCGGGATCAGCATCGTCACCATCATCGAGCGATAACAGGAGTGCAGATGATCATGAAGTGTGGTGCAAGTTGAGCACAGACGGTCTGTTGCTCTACGCGAGCTGGTCCTGCGCCAACATTCTAGGATATCCTCCAAAAGAAATCACTGGTCATTCCATGTATCAGTTTCTCAAGAGTAATCGCACAACCGATTTAACTCGAACATTGGCTGAAACCAAAGAAGGGAAAATCGTTCACCTTCAGCACACACTTCTTAATAGTGCTGGTATCGAGATATCCGTCGCTTCCACGTTTTATCCCGACGGATCAACAACGTGTTTTTCGGAGGATCCAGGCTTTGTTTTAATGCATATCAGGATGGCAGCCGATACCCAACCGGATCAAGAACCAATGTTGATATCTCTCGATCTCGATGTCAAGAAAAAGGACAGATCAAATAATAATACAGACAGCAACAGTAGTAGCAACAACAGTATTGACGGATCACAACAACAACAATCCACCGTTGAACCAGAAAAGATGATAAAGGAACTTGACATTAAGCACGAGACAAACTGGCAATACGAATTACATCAGCTGCGAATAAGTAACAATAAGCTTAGAGAGAGCTTGAATGAGGCCTTAAAGAAACAGAAAGAGGTAAAAGTAGCACCATGGGCAGTTCTTTGTTATAATATATCCATATTTTATACCAAACATTCTATCTCTAGGTATCGAGAACGCCAGTAGATGCCATTTGTCAAGGCTGCTTACGGAGGCTGGGAGGATACCAAGAATTTATCGAGTGTAGATCACAGGATCAACCTTTGCTCTGTAACACTTGTATTCTGCGACGTTCGTCAGATGGCGTGTAGTATATCATCGGTTTTAAAACAATCGCAATAAAATAATGATAGTATAAAGCATGAAAATGCCCTTCCATGATCAGGGCTGCTACGGGGTAAAATAAGGAGTCCGACACATATAAAATGCTACGCTCCGCCTGCGATTTGGCCCTCTTTACCCATTGAACCATCATGTCCATCGGCGTACGTATACACATATAAACGCATCCATCCATCCATCCATATGCTCCCGAACAGAGAAAAAGAATGCTAATCCAATTGCCCTAATTCTAACAGACAATCCAGTCGTACCCTGATAACCCCCGTGTTGCTAAGGCCCAGATTGCCGTAAGTTACATGTTGATGCATCTGACACCTCAGCAAAAAGAAAAGCTCAATTCTGAATCGTCTATTTTATGTAGGCTGCCTACAGCGGTGTCTCTGTTAACGTCGAAGGCTTCGACTTTGCCAAAGACAAGACTCCCGAATTCTTGGCCAAGTTCCCCTTGGGCAAGATTCCTGCCTTCTCCAGCGACAAGGTTGATTTGTTTGAATCCACTGCTATCGCTTACTATGGTAATTTGAAAGCACGCGCGGTTTTTTTCTCATTAGAAATCAGAAAGCTAACGTGTTGTTGTTGTTAATTAGCTGCTGCCCAGCAGGAGAACTCCCCTCTTTTGGGCTCGAACGCTGTCGAAAAGGCCTTGATCCTCCAGTGGATCCTTTTCTCTGAGAACGAAATCAGCAACAACCTCGGCACCTGGGTCTACCCCTTGTTGGGCTTCGTGCCCTATATGAAGCCCAGCGTTGATGCTGGTACTGAAAAGGTCAAGCGTGCCTTGGGTGCCTTGGACAAGATTCTTTTGACCAAGACCTACCTTGTCGGTGACGAAGTCACCTTTGCCGATATTGCCGTTGTGACCTCGTTGGTCCTCGGTTATAAGACTGTTTTTGACAAGGCTTTCCGTTCCGAGTTCAAGAACGTCACCCGTTACTTCAACACCATTGTTGCCAAGAAGCACTTCAAGGCCGCTTTGGGTGAGGTTGCCTTGTGCGAGACTCCCTTGAAGTACACTCCTCCCAAGAAGGAAAAGAAGGAAAAGAAGGAAGAGCCCAAGAAGAAGGAGCAACCCAAGAAGGAAGCCGCCGCCGCTGAGGAGGCTCCCAAGCCTGCTCCCAAGCCCAAGTCTGCTTTGGACTTGTTGCCTCCCTCCAACTTCAAGTTGGACGACTGGAAGCGTCAATACTCTAACAACGACACCAAGGACGTCATGCCTTGGTTCTGGGAGAACTTTGATTCCGAAGGTTTCTCCATCTGGCGCGTCGACTACAAGTACAACGACGAATTGACCCAGGTCTTCATGTCCAACAACTTGATTGGCGGTTTCTTCGCCCGTCTGGAGCGTGCCCACAAGTACGCTTTCGCCTCGATGCTCGTCCGTGGTACCAACAACAACAACAGCATCTCTGGCTACTTTGTCATCCGTGGCCAGGAAGTGCCCTTCGAAATCTACGATGCTGCTGACTACGACTCGTACACCTTCACCAAGATCGAGCCTTCGCAGTACGAGGAGAAGAAGGATGAAATCTTCAAGTACATGGCTTGGGAACTCGATGACTGCGCCGACGGCAAGGTCTTCAAATAAACACATCGCGTTATCTCCCGACCCTACTCGCAATCTCTCTCGTCAACAAATAAAAACAATAAAGTCATTTGTACAAAGTTCTTATATCAATTCCCCAATCTTGGTTTTGACCGTACAAAGAATGGATGGTGATGATATGTTCGGGATATCTATTGGGCAACTCTGGTATAAAGGGATGGGGTTCATTGTAGATTCCAGCAAAACCAGTTTGTTCCTGCTTCAAGGTATATAGGTTGTCAATAGTGTCTAACCCTGTATGCATCGTAGATACTGTAAACTTTATGACGGCTAGCCTAGTGAAATATGAGGACTCAAAGATTGATGCATAGTGGCGTACTCTGCATCAACAAATGATTGTGCGTGTCTATATACAATATCGTTAGCAATTGTTTTAAAAGCACATATGTCATAAGGTATCTGAATTTTCTACGGTGTGTGAACCCGCTTAAAAGTACCACTTCATCATCATAAAGCGAACTTGTTTATGGTTGCAACTGCTGCCAGTCGCGTCATTTGACTTCCTGGGATAAACATTAACGGCAAACACCAGATGTCAAGACGACCCAAAAGCATGTTCTTATCGAACAGTAAGTTGTAGTTAGTGTCCTTTTCATGTACTATAGTGAAATATACAACGCATAGAAATTCCAAAAAAAAGAAGCACTATCATGAGCGAATCAAAATGTTTCTTTTCCTATTACTGATTGTAGTGGGAGACAATGCATGAGGTCCTGTTTAGTCTGCTTTCTGCTGCAATCTCTGAACACTTTTACTGCTAACTTTCTACCTTTTGTCAATCTTGAATTCAAGACTCGTCTTGGAAACTATGCTTATCTTGTAAACATAAGTTACACTGTCTTATCATTACACTAACTTCTGCAAGATAATCCCATCATTTGATAGGAAGACTGGTATTAACATCTTCTCTTACTTATTACCATGAGCACATACGGCAGCTGCCGCACAAGGGTCCATGCTGTACCGACTGCCATCATTGCGACGACACACGAGAAAACCATGTATTTTTGGTAGTCGCACCAGGAAGCTCGTGGTGTAGCTACCCACTACATTGATGAAGCGTCGCTGCATGTCGTTATTATTGGTTTAGTATCATCAAATCTTCTAAATTGCTCTTTTTTTGTAAGGTTTTGGTACATTATTAGCATGTATAGTAAAACAATGAGTATCTCTTTCTGAAATTGCTAAAACGGTTGTTTATGTGCTGAGCATCTAGAGCCACTCCACAAATACACCAATCTAATATAGTAATATTACTGTGTACTTGACTCGTTAAATAAGGAAATTGGCGACATAAATATAGGATCAATTGAATCATGCCAGATTCTTCGTCGCATGGATACTAGTGGAGCTCACGATTGCTACTTGAGCGCTTTATGCTGTATGTGATATGGATATGACCATGTTTTCGCCGACATCCTCGTTAAACGCATTGGCTTCCTAACTAGTGTAGATTCGTAAGAAGCAAGCAATAAGCGAGAGAGCCAATGACCTTTGGGTCTCATCAAAGATGAATCAAGAGTAAGTGTCAAATGTAGTGCGAGAAATTGTGTGGGTGGCACAAGCATAAAAAGTTATATGGTGTACGACAGAATTGACAGCTTTTCTATTTTTACAGTAGGGTTTATAATAATAATAGTAGAAATTTTTCCTGGTGTCGCATCTTCAATTAACCATTTTTACCAAACGGGGACAAGAACTGTAGCACTTGAAGGTCGTGACGCCAAATGAAAAGGTTCTATCTTTTGAGATTTTTATTGGTGGCGGTAAAAACAGAGCTACAAGGGGGGAAGAGGAGATATGCTTTTTTATGATAGTGACAGTGGTAGTAGAAGTAGTAGTAGTGAATGTACAAATAGTGTCTGTTCATGCTTTCGTATATACATTTTGTTAAAAAAGAGGGGAATGTTTAAAAGAAGTGTGTATGTGAGTTGCAAAAACGGGAAAGAAGAAGAGGAAGAAGAGGAGGAGGAGAATGAAAATAAATAATAGAAAAAGGCAATAATAAAGATATTTCAGAATTGTTGTTCTGGGGATACACGTGCAAGTGTCGCAAAATGATGCACGGCGTCAAACATGGTACGAGCATCTTCCGCTGGTCTTTTACCAGCTTGTTCGTTGCCGTTAATATCATTATTATTATTGTTATTATTGCTTTGCAGTAAGAACAGCTCGTTGTTCGGAGTTTGCCAATGAACAACTGTTTCGAGAACCTCGTTGACCTCGGCCGGGACCCACCATTCTGTATGGTCCGCCTCTAGAACGAGTTCCAAATGGTCCTGTTCCGACAGCACCTGCTGGTTAAAGTGCTCGACAATGTCCTGGACTTGGGCTCGCGTCGTATCAAACAGAACGGGAAGTTCGTACGACACAATATCCGCTATCGTCCGCTTAACGTGGTTGCCAAGATACCGGTCGACCGAAGATAGAAACTGTCGGGCGTGCGCCTCGAGGCAAACGTTCGAAACTGTGGTAGGTGTCGTTATCACCAATGTATCTTCTCGTTCGTTATAGCTATCGTCATACTGTTGTCTCTGTTGCCCTTGTTGTTCGTCAGGAATGCACAGCTTCTGGACCACGAGTTCTACATATGACTGAAGCGATGCCTTGTTGAGCGCAGCAGCATGTCGACCCCATACAGCTGGAAACTTGTCTTCGATAAATGCTATAAGTTTGATATTAGAGTTATTCTATCTACTTTCATGTATTAGGTATACGGCTCAAATACGTAGCCTAACCTTCCCAGCAAAGAAAGATGTATGAGAAGAGAGTGAAAGAGAAAGATACTTTACATCCAACGGCGCCTTTCAGCTGACCCTTCAATATGTGGACGTCGACAGGCGAAGACAGCGAAGGATCGTGTTGAGGTGAAACGTTGACATTGACATGAATGGAGTCTCGGAATTGTACCGAGATCTTTCTTGAGAGCATATAAAACGCATTCTCGAGATGATCAAGCAAGAGATGCGTGGAAAGCAGTTGAGCGTAGCGAGATACGTCGACGGCAAATAGTTCGGAAGAAGATTGTTGTAGTGGCTGTGAGTTTGCCGTATTCTCGAGTAGTTTATCCGTCGTCGTCCGTGTCGTCGTGGTCGGCAACCCTCTGACGATGGTGGATAGAGCCGTTATAAGCAGCAGCACCCAACAACGCATCCGTAAGAGAAATAACACCACAAGAGGAAAAAAGCAAAAAAAAAAAAAAAAAGATCGCCGCTCGCTTGATCATTTTTATGTCAGCAACCAGCAACAGCCCGCTTGCCCGCTTTTTCCGACGATATTACGTTTCAGTAAAAAAAAGTCTTTTTTAGTTTTTTCTTGTAGAAGCTTGGCACGAAGAAAAAAAGCAAGTAGGGCAAAGACAAATTACACGCACACACACACACACACAGAGCACTCGCAAAGTGACAGATAAACAAATGTATGGAGGGAAGGGAAAGAGAAGGGTGAAATTATTCTGCTATTGCTGCTTTACTGGTAGGACCGTCTGCTGAAGCAATGGCCACTAGTCTGAACCTGCCAAAACCTTGCAGTGCCTGGAATTCGTCTTCAGTCAAGTCCACGCCATTCTCCTGGTCGGGTGTCGCTGTGGGCTCGAGCGACTCGATAGGGTTACACAGGTCCTGGACCGATAATCGTCGGGTCTTTGGCGATGCCGATGGCTCTTGTTGTGGCGGAGACGGGTCGTTGTTATTATTAGCCTCGTCGTCGTAATTATTATCATTGTCCTTGTTACTGCTATTCATTCTAGGTTGCTGTTGACTGTGCTGATGATGCAAAAGGTAGCTCTCGGGCGACTCGTCTGGATTCCTGACGAGATAACTCGCTAGTCGCGGCAAGATCATTTGGCCTGCCAGAAAGTCTTGCTGTGACCCGCGACGACGGCTACTACTGCTTTGATGAGTGCTTTCGTAGTCCATTTCATCGTCGTCGTCTTCTTCGTCGTCGTCTTCGTCGTCGTCATCGTCGCTATCATAATATCCTCGTCGTGCTGGTGGATAAGGATGGAAATGTACTTGTGGTGTGATGCGGTTGGACGAACTGCTGGTTCGTCGTCTATAATACGAGGATGAAGAAGAATAGTCTGTCATGTCGGCTGATTCAGTAGGTGAAGGTGGTGATTCGGGATGATGAGGATGTGCTTGGCCGTGGATTCCTGCCGCTGCCGCTGCTGCTGCTGCTGCTGCTGAAGAAGCATAGTGAAATTGTGCTGAAGGAGGAGGATGAGGAGGAGGCGGTAGTCCTGGTTGAGCATGTGGATGTAATGGGTGATGATGCCCCACATAGGGTGGTGGTACTGCTCCTGCACCTCCGTGTGGCGGCGGTGGCGGTGGCGGTGGCCAGACTGCTCCTTGCGAACTGTACGTAGAATAGTAAAATGGAGCCTGTTGTTGTTGTTGTGCATAAGGATGCTGTGGGTGCGGAACATAGTTCATCGCGGCTTCGTCTTGGCTAAGTCGCCGAAGCTGGGCCATCATGGCACGTTGTTCCTTTGCGTTATGACGACGCTTATGTGTAGGCGGATGATAGCTCGCATCGCTGTCTTCATCAGCCTCGTTGTACCCATCGTCGTCTTCCTCTTCGTCATCCGAGAAGCGGCGTCGATTCGCGAGGTTGCTCTGGACAGAGCTGCGACGGGATGGTGGCGGTGATGGCATCCCTGGGTAATTCTGTTGCTGCTGTTCGCTGGATTTCTTCTTGGTGCTGACTTTACTGCTTCGTCTCGATGATTTGCTCTTGTTGTGTGTCTGTGTATGTTGCATCATGTTGTCAAAACGGCTAAACATTCTGTCGCAGCCGGGAACAATGCATTTGAATGGTTTCTATTGAATTATTGAATAGAATAAGGGGGAGAAGGTGTGAGCACGTATCGACGAGGCAATGGCATCAAATTGACAGTAGTAACTAGGGGAATTAAACTACCTCGCCCGTATGCTTCCTAGTGTGTCGGTGATTGTTGTTGTATTCTAGTTAGTTACTAAGCTTCAAAGGTATTCTAATTTACAGGAAACGGCTACCTCATGTGTCGTGCCAGATGCTCGCTCCGAGTGAAAACCATGCGACAATCACCATAACCCGTACATTGAAACAACTTTGGCTTGCCACTGCGCGAAGCACGTCTCGATTCGCCGGCAACAGACTGTATTTCTGGCGGCTCGGCCGAACTCTTCATAGCTGCTAGTATTATTCTCCGTGCAGGTTCAGAAAAAGGAAGGAAGGAAAGAGGAAGAGAGGAATAGTATCTGTCGGTTGCTGGTCTTGTTGTTGGGGTTTGGAGGGTGGGGGATATTTGTAACTGGATGAAATATTATATGTCCCGAAACCTATTGAGATCATTGTTTGGACCTTTTTCAACGCCCTGTATCGGCTACTTTTCATTATAATCCGAACCATATTCTGCTAGTCGGAAGTATTCCACACTTTGGCCTTTTCCACTACACTACTACTAGTGTTCCCTGTGGCCCCATATACACTTGGTGCAAGCTTATTAAAAAGCCCCTCTAGCACACCATAACAGCGATACTATACATGAGTGACATACACACGTGGTGACGTGAGACTAAATCACAGATAAGTGAGGTCAGTCAAATTGCAAGGTGTGGCACCCCTGGTGCCTTGCAGCTTTATTACGTGTTATTGTTACTATCGCTCGTCAATTTCTTCCATAAATTCATCCGAGGATGATGACTCGTCTCCTATGTCATCGCCATCATCGTCGTCGTCTTCCAGCTCCATTTCGTCGTCGTCGTCGTCATCTTCATCACTGCTATCAACAACACGCCGCTTGCGCTTACGTGGGGTCTCTGCAGGTTTTTTCCGTTCCTGCTTTGGTCGTTGTGATGTTCGTGAAGGAGCAGATGTCTTGCTTGATTGTGGTGGTACTAATAATTCATAAGATACGAGCTGTCAGAAGCGTTCTGCTATTTTCATTTCCGCGCGCAATTTCTAATTAAATTTACCTCGTTTTCTTAAGTTCCGTTTAGGTGCCTTGGTAGCTTTGGATGATGACGATGTTGCTGTTGTTGTTGTTGAAGTTCCGGCTTCTTCTTGTGGTTGTTCCTGTTGATCTTGTTGTTCTCCATCCTGATTTGACTCGTCCCCGCCATCGCCCTGTTTTTCTCCGCTTTCCTTTGCTAACTTTTGCTCCAATTCATCCAAAAGGGATTTGAGCTCAGGCTTGGCGGTCTTCTGTAACCGACCCTATATTCACATACATAGCAAACCATTCAGTAAAGGATCCATTGGTAACGATTGTGTAACCCTCTTCTCTTTATTTTACTGCTTGCATAATTTTTTTTTGTCATTACCTTCAAAATGATTTCTTGGAAACTCTTGTGCACAGGTTCAATGTGCAGCTTGTCTTGATACGCCGGTAACCCTTCTAGCAACTTCCTGAAACTACGCTCCGACTTGAATGGAAGCAACGATAAGCAGAATGCAATGTCCCGCCAAATTCTTTCATCATCCGTATTTACAAAACGTTGACAAAGTTTATCCACCACGTTTTCGGCTTGTTTCTCCTAAAGCATCGATTGATTCACTTTGTTAATTAATGCACTTCAAAGATCATCTCAATGGCGGTGGCAGAGGTTATATTATCTTCTTGGTGCTGACGATGAGCGCTGAGTTTACCTTTTCAGCAAATTCAAAAGAGAAAACAAATCGCATGATTCGCCGGAAAATCTCTTCGTCAACCTTGGGTTCACAATTGGTCAAATTGCTAATGATGTCCGGAAGATTATTGTAGATGGCATTGTCTTTGGTCGCCAGTTCGGTAAAGAAGAGCTTGGCTAAATCCGCGATGCGCTGATCTGGATCCTCTAAGCACTTTGCCATCTCGCTAATCTGGCCCTTGACCTTGACCATGCCGTTGAGGATAAGATGTGTCAAAACCATCACGGCGTTCTTTTTCACAATGCTGTTTTCGTCACCCAGTCGGTTGTACAGGAACGAAATGTTTTCGTCGATAAGCGTGTTGAAGCATACGGCCATGTCGCCCAATGCAATCACAATGTTGCTCCGGATCGTCGCGTCTTTGGATTTCTCCAGAATCGTGAAAAGAAGCTGTAGGTTCTTTTCGCAGTAATCTGAGCTGACACACATGAACTTGCCAAGCGCCAAGGTGGCCATTACTTGCAACGTTCGGTCCGTATACACCTTGTTGCGCGCACAGACTTCGGTCAGCAATGGACCAAAGCGTGCCAATAACGAGTTTGGCCCAAACAACACTTCACGTTCACGGATATGTGTGATGGTGTCGCCAATATCGTCTTCGGCTGTACCTCCAACTTGCTCCAGTTCTTCATCTGCTGCATTGTTTCCGCTAGTACTATCGCTACCGCCGTTGTTCTTCTTGGTGTTATCTGCGTTCGTCTTTTTCTTTTTCCATGCTGCTTCAATGATTTCCAGGTGAACAATTTGTTTTAGGGCGACGTGACCGACAATGAACAGTAGCTGACTAAGCTCTTTGGCACTTTGGTGGACTGGGTTTTGTGGGAATGGTAGCGCTTGTTGTGATACGCTCATGCCGTAATCGATATTCATCGATTCGCTATTCGCTGTTGATCCATCGTCAATTGCCAATCCTGTTGCTGACAGTGGCGTTTCGGAGCGTTCATGTTCGCCAAATACTTTGACTGTCCTGTTACGGATAATTTCAGCGCACAGTACGTCTGGATGTTCACCAAGCATATAGATTGCATTGATGGCCTGCTCCGTCATACTGAACCACTCCATCTCTTGGTTGGGGCTCTCGATGATATCTTTAAGACGAGCAAATACAGGATGTGTCATGGGTAGTCGGATACCAGCATGAGCACTTCTTCCTAATTGATTCGATCATACCAATGCATGCACCCACAGACAGTATTCGTATGGTTAGTAAGGAGAATTTCTATTATAGAAAGCTGAAAGAAGACTTTTCCCTCCTGATATACCTTTCTCGGGAGTTTTCGAGCCAGCTAGCCGTTGAAGAGCAATACAAGTGTATCTTGCCAAAGCCAAATCCGATTTACCCAAGGGACCAAGACCAATCCGTAAAAGCGTGTCCACTTTTTCATTGACGATTTCTGTTCTGGCTTTTGCAAGCATGCCGAGGATGATGATAGCGCCACGCCGCTGTTCCTTGGGGATATTGCCGCCCGTGAAGCCATACACACTCCATAATTTGTCAATCACCGTTTCACCGAGCAAATCCTCAGCCATCACAGTGCTCAAAAGCTGTTCGAGGGAAGTAAGTTCGGCGAGCGTTGTGTTGAACGTGAGTTGGATTAAATTGCGAGCAATGGTGTTGATGTTTTCGCGCTGGTTCAAGCGAGCGTCCGGATCCAAGTAGAGCTTGCGATAGCACTCAAGGAGCTTCATTTTCACGCCTTTGCCTTCATCGCTCGTGTCCTTAGTCCAGATCAAGTGAAGCATTTTGCGGATTCCGTCCTAGATAAAACCATTTAATGCCAACTGTTGATTTTTTTTTAAACCCGCTGTAATATCCGAGGAAACTTTACCGCTGCCGGGCTGACTTTGTATTCGTATGCTGTGACAAGGAACTCCATTGATTCTAGTACTTCTGGCTTGGATTTCGATGATAAAAGCTGGCAGATCAAAGGCATGGCTGTGTGTAGTTGTTGGATGAATTTGACAGCATCGGTATGGAACGCTCTCATAAGAGTCAGTTGTTGCATTTTTTCAGGTGAGATGACAGTTGGTTTTGGAGCTTTTGGTGGCTCTGAAATCGATTCTTGTGATTGTATCGGTCGATTCTCTTTTTCTTGCTCCTCACCCCTTTGTTGTTGTGAAGAAGAGGCATCTGAATCGTCGTTGTTTTCTCCTTCTTTTTCTTTATTCTGTTCGTTTGTTACATCCTCCATCTCGACATCTGAATCTGCTTCGTTTTCATCTTTTTCCTCCCCCTTCTCCTGTTTGTTGTTTTGTTCCTGTTCTTGTTTATCCACCACAGTAATGGGTCCGATAGCAATTGGCGGCATATCATCTTCAGTTGTTACGCTCTGTTGCATAGCAATCAATTAGAAAAAGATCAAATCATGTGTTAGGCTCTACACAGTTTGTTTGATCTCATAACTTACGGCCAATTCTTCTTTGATCTTGTCAAGCTTGGCTTGCCAGCTTTCCAAGCCCAATTCGCCGCCATACATGCTGAAGGGATGGGTCATTGTAAGCTTTGTTAGGACGCGAATGGCATACTTTCGCACAATACTGCTCTTGTCTTGCAGATGTCGCACGGATAAGACACATAAGGCATATCGTCGTTTAGGGAATTTTGTTTTCAGTCTACATAATTTGGAATTTTAGTCAGGAAAGCGTTTGGCGTGCCTGATGTATACGTATTAATGTGGAGTATGGGGGAAAAGGCTTACTCTAGTATTCGCAGGTATGTTTGCAGTACTTTCGATCGAACAAAGGCAATAGGATCGAGCATACGCTCCTCCAAAATGTCAAAGAATCCATTGATTTGTTCTTTTTGAGAAGGGTTGTCCTCCATATGAGCTGTTAATTCGATTATCAGCGTGCCTAATGCCTCAATGATAGCCATGCGCATCGTGTATGACTAATCAATTGGAGAACGTTAATTTAAAGCATTTAATCCGGTAAGAACGAGGGAGGTCCGATAGATGGATAGTCTGATAGTATACCTCGCTTCCAAGTTGATGAACAAGTAAGCCCAGATTTTTTAGGATTGTCTTTGGTGAGAGTTCAGCAAGTTTGATGAGAAAAGCAGCAAATGTCTTTGCATTGGGCGAGTCCTTGACTTCTTTGGATGAGACATCCTTAAACTCCTTGTTACTTATTTCACGGAGGATCTCGTCGGCAAGCTGGGTATAGTCTTGTTTTTCAATCAGATACTTTAATAGCTCGGCCATGGGTTCTGCCGAATGCTCCCAATACTGTAAATCCTGCATGATTGTTGTTTGCGCAGCTGTAAACATATACAAGGTCCATCATTTAGATGTATATATACTTCTTGCAACGATCCGTCCTCTTATTAATAGCTTACCAAACATGTAGCCATAATACTTTATGCATAATCCCAGAATCCGAAAAGCACGGAACTTGATTTCCTTTGTATGTGATTTCGAGGTTGCAGGATCTTCAAAAATTTGGAATGCTGGTTTTGTGAAGAGACCAATGAATGTTTGTCGCTCGGGTGTCAGGGTCCATATTTTGGATATTTTGATATCGAGGAGTCGTGCGATCAGGTCGAATGCTTTAGTTTTGTGTGCGCTATAGTCCGTTACTTCTGATGAAGTTGCTCGGGATTTTCCTTTCTACACATATGTGCGTGTGTATATTTGCCACTATTAGATCCACTGCCTATATATACACGCATAGGCGCGTGAAAAGGATGGTGCTGTTCTTTATTTTCTCCTTCGTCATCGTATTATGAATTACCTTGGGCTTAGTGGTAGTAGATGCTGCTGCTGCTGAAGTAGCTGATCCCTCGTCTGATACAAGTAAGGTCCAATGCACTAAGAAGCCGTAATGCTCGAGGCTTTGTCGATGACCAGCAAACGTATCTTTTTCATTGTTGTCAATATCATCGGAGGTTGCTTTAATTTCTGCCCTGAAAGCTGTTCCATCATTCATTAATCGTTGTTTCGTCGTTCGCCGTAGCATATACAGTAAATATAAGAAATAAGTAACCTTCACATTATCGTTTATTCTTTCTTGTCATCATCATTTACCAGATAAAAGGCTGTCCATCAACTTTGAAGCAACTTCTTTGGTCAAGTATTGAAAGTTCTTTAAAAAGCTGCGGATCTTGTCGAACACTAATGGATCTGTAATGTTGTCTGATGCCACTTCAATCCGGTCCGTGATATCTACAGTCAATTCGAAATTCGTTTTTTTTCCGAATTTCAAGGTGAGCTTTTTCTACATGTCTATCTGTGTGTTGTTGTGCCTTGAGAAAAGAAACAAACTGACCATATAGGTATCGTGTCAATTCTCCTTTTGTTTTGCCCTGAACCGCCACTTCATTTGGAATGTAGTAGGTGTGGTTTTCTTCTTGCTGAAGCCGAAGGAGCTCATCGTGCAGTACAAAAGAGCCGGACATGCGATCAATGAAGAAGAAAAAAAGGTAAAGAATTCAATCTGTACAATAAAAAAAGGGTAAAAGCGGAGAAGAATCCGGAAATGCCTTCTCGTCAACGACAACGACAAAGACGCGTGTTGTCGCCCTCCGCGCTCTGTTGATTTTGTTTTACGCGTACTTTACTGGTCAAACGCGCGAACAGAAAAAGCTACTCCTACATTCATCCTTACAAAATGTCGATTATTCAAGTGCACTTTCTAATCGTGCATGCTGCTCTGTGTGGATACAAGAGCATATCAGCATCCATAGCAGGATATATGCAACTGCTGCTTGACTTGAAAAACATGTATTCATCTAATAATTATGAAGCAAGATTGAAGTTCGTTAGAGCTCGATGTTAGTGACGAGGCAGCAAAGCAGGGGATAGTGACCCAAGTGCTGCCTACTCTAAACTCATAGCTTTCTTTTGGTATGGTTCCCGAGCTAACACAATCGATGTTCCATCGAAAAGCTGAAACAGACATGTGCGCTGTCAAAAAAACGACCGAGTTTCATCAAAATAACATCATGGTTTCGTCAGTAACGGTGAGGTAATTTAGGGGTTTTCTATTCTCTTTAATAATAAAATATAAGTACCAGGGTCCCACCCTCCTTTGTATCTGTTATTCGCAAAGCTCCACAAGACCTATTACTAAAGAATATGTCCAGCGACGCCAACATCAACAGCAAGGTAAACAAGAAACTTTTTCCCTTTTTGCGTGCATCTGCTGAGTCTGGTGATGAAAGGAGGTATTGGGGCAGCTGACACTGAAAGGACACAATTTCAGATTCAACGTGAACTCGACGAAAACAAGCCGATGAGCAAACAAGAAGCTGCCAACATCCAGTCTTCTGCTGACCAGTCTGGCTCGGACCAACAGCACAAGAGACGGGCACAAGGCGCAGCAGACCAGCAAGCCACGGACAAAGAACGAGAAGAAATGGCAGAGAAGCGCAAAGCCGCCGGTGAAGATCATCCATACTTGCATTCCACCTTTAAGAAATAGAATGAACGGCTCTAGTATGGTAGTCTTTTGCCTCCAATATGTAATACATTGAGGTTTTGAGAGAGCGGAGCATCCAAAGACCAGGCTGTCCCTTAAAGCCGCCCCACCTCCACAAGGTGGATCTGCCCCCGATGCGGGAAACGGGAGGAAGCAATGATCTATCCAGTTTTCTAGTCATCTGGAAATGCCTGCAGATCCAGCAGGACAACCTGTTTCAAAACAGGCTATAGATTTTTGCCTTTCCTTTGTGTGATTTTAAACCAACGACAAGAGGAAATCATATATAACAAAGCCGGGGGGCGGTTGGAATATTCCTAATTGTCTGTTGAGAAATGCTGGTGACCGCTACCGTCGCACTGTGGAAGATGATCTTTCGACATCCTCCTGCTATGTGTGTATACGCAGACATCCTTTCAAGACAAGGCTATGTCCTAGATAATGCGTGAGAGAAATAACATTTCTATTTTCACCGACACCAAAACCCCCTTTATTTTGCCTATAACAGTACATATTTTCTTGAATATGGGTAAAAAGCCAGATGATGGCTTCCCGCCGCACTTGCATCCCGCTTTCCGCTGCATGGCATGATTTCATATGATCGAACAAGGTCATGTGGAGCAGCACCTACAATAGCACTCTTTTTCGATCGAACAGTCCAGCAACCATCGTTATACAGCACAGGATCTACTGATCTCTTATATTACCAGCTCATCTCCCACTCCAGTTAGTACTACTCTAGAGAATGTAATCAGGATCCCCAACAAGTAATACGCCATCCAATGACGGGACATGTGATTGAAAACAATATGTGGGTGGTTACACTAACGAAGAAGGGCATGATTACTGTGTAATACCATGTCTTTAGGTATAACATATTTTGCATTCAATAGTGTTGCCGCATCGGCACCCATCGGCCATCATTGTTCGAACCAGACAAGCAAAGGGATGCGTTCATGGTGCAGCAGCTTTTATTAATGGTGTATGACGTCGTAGGCCATGGTCACCATCTAGTGGCAGCAGAAGCAAGAACAACAAACAACATAAAACACAAGACGGGCTTACTACTATGATAGGATGCCGAAAAGTCTATTTAGCCTCTGGTCCCACCAACATTCCAATGCAATTTGCTAAGCGACCGTTCGTCAGAAAAGATGTGAATATCTCTCATAGTTCCTGGCTTGTGGGCTTATACAACACAGCAGAAATGCAGAAGCCAGATGCACGGAATACAGGTCCATTTTCTTCATTGTTTGCTGTTGTTTTTTTCTGCCACCGTCACGGGCTCTTTTTGTTTTCTTTTGCGTGTGAACGCACTTTCGGATTATATGCTCAATACAAAGTTGAGGTATAATTCGGAACGCACTGCAGGGATTTGATTATACTCCTCTCACCACTACCACCACTACCACCCCCGTTCGTCAGCGATGCTACTGTTGTAATTGTTATGTGACGATATGGTACAGGTGACGTTTATTATTTGTTGTCCTTATGTTAGAATTGGCAAAAGGCAGGGACTAAACCATGTTAGGGGTTTTGCTTGTTGTTTCTCATGGAGAAGAATACAGTTTTTTCCGACCGGTCTGTCATGAAGAAATAGGGCGTGCTAAGTTTCTGTTTTTCTTACACGCGAGACTTTCTCACAGGTCTGAGCCCACGACCACACCCCTCTCTGTCCATTCCTTTCCATCATCTTACCCGTTGGACCGAATTTCGATGGTCTGTTACCGGGAATATATCCTGGCTTAACTCGTTTCGATCCGTATTGAAGTATCGATCCTCGTGCTCAAACAGCCAGTCGTAGACCTTGTCGAGCACGCCAGGTGCCCGTCGTTTGTAGTTGGGTGGTAGTGGAAGGATAATTGGCTCACCTACGGCGAACCCGTGTGCTCGAATTGGAGATGCTACTGGTTGCTTCTGGATACGAGTAGCAGAAGCAGCAGTGGCTGCTTCCGTGGTCGATGTCGTTGAGGGTGGTGATGGTAAGGGTGATGCTGACGGTGCTGCTGTTGCATTGTCTTTGTTGCGAGCCTTTTCGAGGAGTCGTTTAAAGTCGTTGCCAGCAGCATCATGAAGAACAGGCGGTGATGATTCGGCCTGAGCAGTGAATCGTCGATAGAGCAGTCCGTGGTTTTGCTGAGACATTTGAATGGGAGAGAAAGTAAAAAGAGGGAAAAAAAAGAATGGGTTTTTTTTTTTGTACATAACGACGGGCGCAATGTGTGCCCTATTTAAATGCGTTTTTTCTTTACGCATGAGTTTCAACAACCCAAATCCACACTCAGCCGTGTGTGTGTGACTCAGTCTTCTTAGTCCTCGTTTCATCCGTAGCTAGGTTCTGTTTCTCTCACTCGCTCTATAGTTTTCAAAGACGTCATGTCCGCAGCACTATCCACACCATTTGTTAGACAACCACCCATGCCTACTAGAAACGCTGCATTCACTTGCATTACTTGTCGCATTGCCTTCCCAACTAGTGAAAGACAGCGTAATCATTGCCGAACAGAGTATGATTCCGACCTTTTTTTTGTCTTCCCCTTCAATACAGCTCCTCTCTCTCTCCTCCCCCCCCCAAAAGACCAATATAGATCGGGTAACCCATATGTCGGTGCAATGCTCCGCCTTTTATCTTTTACATTAGTTGGCACAAGTACAATCTCAAACGCAAGATTGCCGATCTCGCTCCTGTCAATGCAGAACAGTTTGCTCAAAAGGTTTTGGGTATGTATTGTAACTCTGCTTATCAGTTATCAACAAAGAAAAAGGATCCCCATGTTCATTCTGTCTGTGTATCTTTTTTCTATCTTGTAGCGCAGCAGACCCAAAATAGAGAAGCCGAGGAACGGCAAGGCTTAATTTACGAGTGTGCAACATGCCGGTATATATCATCTATATCACTACCATTACCATCATCATCAATTATAATATCACAGTCGCCCACTCACCCCCAACACCTCTAGCACTATCACTGCCAGCAGAAAATCAAAGCAACTGTTAAATTGACATAATGACTTAGGAAATCGTACAACTCTGAAAACGGATATCATAACCACATGCAATCCAAGAAACACAGAGAGATGGAAATCAAGAGCGAGATTCTCGGCGCTGCTCTCCATCAACAGCCGTCGTCACGACGACAGCAACAACAGCTTGCTCCACTCTTTTCTGACCAGTCGGATCAATCCGATCTCGAAGATGGTGAGCCAATGGCTGTGATTTTTGATCCTTTGCGGATTTGCCTATTCTGCTTGCTGCCAAGCAACGATTTTGATGGCAACATCGGTCACATGGCAACCACACATGGCTTTTTCTTGCCAGACCTTGAATATCTCCACGATCGCAAAGGGCTGGTGGGATATCTGGCAGACAAGGTTGAACATGAGCATATGTGTCTTTACTGCAATGGCCGAGGCAAAGAATGGAAAAGTGCACAAGCTGCAAGAACCCATATGGTAAAGAACCAACAAGTTGCTTGTGTATATTACCTTTTTACACGCGCACATGATGTTATAAATATATCGTGTGTGTGTGTAATGGATTTGCTAGCCGCACAATTTCTTGGAGACTCATGTGGCTATTCTATTTGTATTACACGCAGCTTGATAAAGGTCATTGCAAGATGGCCTATGACGACAGCGAGGATCCTGAGGATTTGTTGAACTATTACGATTTTGAACCGCTTCAAGAAAGTGTAGCGGCTACCAAAACGAGCGACGATACAGAACTGATTTTAGAAAACGGAGCTCGTTTGGGACATAGACAGAATGTCAGATTCTTCAGACAACGGTTACGTAGAAACGTAAGTCTCTTCACTTGCTTTTGCGTCTTCTCTAATAAAATTGCTTACTTACATCCTTATATATTGTAGCGTGAGGAAGAAGAAGGACAAGAAACAAATTCAGCAAAGCGTTTGGAAGAAGCGGAAGCATATGCACGCGAGCAAGGATTAACTCGAAGAGAGCGGCGGCACCTGTTGGCCATTACGGATGGCCGGAAAAGTGGTGGCGGCGACCAGAACGCCAGTACATATGAAGGCATTCGGGAAGCTGCTGTCAAAAGAGATTTCCAGCGGGATGTCGGTATTAAGCATAATATGGCGACCACGTTGCGTTTGCGTAACCAAGTACCTATCTAGACTGTTGTTGTTGTTAATAGACACTCCTAATATACTACCCGCTTACTTTATACTTGTGTATTACCTTATATATTGCTCAAGTCCGTTCGTGCATGGGCAATCCGAGAAGAAAGCAACATTTTTGTATTTAGGCTTATACATCACCATTACCACGGATGAGAGAGTAGTGTGAATATGCTTCTGCATTATAACGGTAGTGTGCATATCAATAGGATGATTATCCTACCATGTTTTCGCTTATTTATTTTTTGTCCAACAAAACATGGTTTGAGGCAGGGATTCTATGCTGCCAAAAATTATGTCCTATGCGGAATACGATAGAATGTGTTTCAAGCTTTCAGTCATCATCAAATATTGAACCGGACAATCAATGAGATCATACGATGATGATGACAAAGTTGAGTTTGAAGCGCTTATATAGTGTCCCCAAAACATGTACAAATCAGGGTTTTGGCCAAGTACATCGCTAGCGTAAAACGGAAAAACTGTTAAGATAAGGACGGTCCGTTTTAGTTTTTAAAACACCCTGTTCGCATCATGTATGTCCACAGAGCTAATATTGCCTACTAACCAGCTGAACAATAGCATCATTGTTCATTTAACGCATGTGATTAGACAGCTGCATTATCCGGTATATTTTCGTAATATGTAGGAGGTTCTAAGTAAAGCAGCTTACTCTACAACCAATCAGTCAAGTCATTTATTAGCTGTCCGCGCTCGCCAAACGTAGTGGGTCAGTAGTTGTAGTACAGTAGCTGCAAAGAACTTGGTGAAAACTTGACATTTGATGGATTTGTTTGAACAAGGATTACAATATTCAAGCATGCCGAAAAGTATTTGATTTAATGCTTACTAACGGTCCTTCCTCGCTTCGCTCGGATGAATGAGCCCCTCCGCTTCGCTCCGTGTCATTCAACGGAAACGCGTCGCAAGGGGGTTCCCCCCAAACCCCCCTGTGGAGCGAGGTTAGATCAATGTCTTGGTAACAGATGCTTATTGTCTGTTTTCAAAAACAGAAGGAAGATCATTGTGCAGTGAGAAATAGTGTATCATAGAAAGTCGTCAAAGTTGGATACTTAACTATCTCCAGCTTAAATGCAACGCGAAAATAAGCGTAGAAAAAGATAATGTAGTGATATTTATAAGAAGGTAAAAGAGGATAGGCGACAAAAAGAATTAGTGAAGAACTTCATGGAAAACAACATTTCTTGTGTTTTGGCCTTGATGACCCGCGATACTTGAGTTCTCGAGATCTAACATGATACTGATGGATGAAGGGGTGCGGACGCGCGACATGGCTACATAGAGTAGACCATGCGTGAAAGGAGGCTCAGGCAAGAAGTAGTGGCCAACAGTGTTGACCCTGTGCCTTTGTGATGGACATTGCAAATGCCAGGCGAACAGGGGATTGCGTGCGTTTAAATTGAATGGGAGAGGGTGTGAGTGTTATGCGGGGGATCGGCATGAGGTCCACTGGCTATTTCAGCTTCAAGCACATATCGTTGAAAAGATCGTACAATCAGCCGTGTCCCGTTGCAGAGACCACTTGGGTGTGCAAGTTTCTCAATAGCATGATTGGGCAACCGACATTGAGTTTTAGCTAGTGTGGTGGGAGGTCGGATGGATTCATGGAGTTGAGCAGCTCTGGTGTTTATGTAATTTGATCCTCTGAATCATCCACGGTATCAGCGCTCTGGCCTGGGAAATGGTCGAGTACCAAATTATCAATTGCTGTAACATAGACATTCTTGGGAGTCAAGATGGAGCGACTGATGAGGTGATCAAGATCCACGCGTGGCGCGTTCAGGTCGCCGTAAATCGCTTCTATAAGCTCGTACGTGTTGTAATGTGGCATGAGCATCCGATCTGGTAGCCGGACTCTGTCATCAGTGGTTAGCACCGACAGCTCAGCACCATCACCGATGCAGAGTAAATATTGCATAAACTGTCCATGCTCGTTTGTGTCATTGGTGTTGGCAGGTTGTTGGACGCTCATGTTGGTTTCAAGGCGGTGGACGGTGACACTGGGCCAAATTGATGAACGATTTAGATGCTACTGTACGATTTGCGAGCGCGATGCATTTGGTATGATATCATAGGAAGGACCTATCAACAGGTTTGATGCAGATACTTTGATGTAAGTACTACCGCTCGATAGTAAAAGGATGCAAAGTAGAAGAGAGAATACAATGTTGTATACCTGGCGAAATGCAACACCAAAGACCATGATTTCTTATCAAACGGAACATCGGCAAGCGCTGGATCGTCATGTTCCATGAGATTTTGGATACTCCTGTATACATACAGTATTAAATACGATGATACTTGTATTCAGCGTGTTTAAAGCGATGGCACTTCTCAGATGATGAAGGATTTGAGGTGAACTTCATATCGTGTTAAGGACGCTTATCCCCTCGAGTCTTTCCTCAATGCGATACCCGTCTACTCACATAGTCATACATTCATGTGGAATAATTTTCTGATCTGGAGGAGCCACACACCTTGGCGCATCATAAACGTGAGAGAGTAATATGATTGGATAGATTGAACTGGCTTAAATGCCGCGTAGCATGTGTGTTCGTTACTACTATATAGCCGCTCTTCTTCCTCTTCGTCAACTTTTCTAAACCAAAGCTATTCAATGTGAGTGTCATTGGAACGGATCAGAGGATCGGAGAGTGTATGTTTATGGTGGTGAGTGAGAAGAGTGTATGCAACCGGTTGTGAGTATACAGTGATTTCTTTAAGATCCGTTTATCTCACTTTCTTTCTTTTTTGACACAGACCTTCTTCTCGTCTTAACCTGGTCCTTCTCCCCTTCACGTTGGCTCTCAAAGCACAAATGCAAGAGTAAGTACAATATGGAAAGTGTGAAGTGTACTTTGAGGTTTTGCATGTGGATGTGATATACGAAGAAAGATCTGAATTTTGACGTGTCTAAAGAAGTGTGTGTACAGCATGCAGCCGCTAATATTATCCTCCTTTCTTCTCTGCTACTACTGTAGAATTCTGACTTTTTGAAATGGTTGGTTCGGTTTGTTGTTTGCACCCCACCCTTAAACACAAGCAACAACCGTAAGTACGGTAGGGAATGAAATGTGAGGATGAGCTGGAGAGAAGTCGAGTGTCTGTTGGGGGTGCTGATGCCATGACGTGTCAAGAATAGTTGCATATTTAGAACAGCCTGCTCATGATTTTTCTTCTTTTCTTTCTACTTTAGGTTCCGCTTTATGCTGGTTGGTTTAATCGTGTCCGGCGGACAAGTAACAGATAGTAAGTATAAGCAAAAGGGGACTTGAACATTGGTAGGTGAGTAGGATGGCCTGGGTGCTTGGGATGACGTGCCAAGGGTGTGTAGTGTGCGCAGCAGCGTGACGGGAAAGGGTTCCTGACCATGACGTGTGCAGTATGGCAGTCTCTCAAAAAAAATTCTTTCTCTCCTCCCCTTTCTTCTCTTATTCTTTTTTTCAGAATTGGTCGTGCCCTTCTTGCTTTTCCGCTCTCTAACTCAAGGCTCTCTTCCTCCAACTCAAGGATGTCATAATAGTAAGTGTAGCTGGAAAGGATTTTGTGCTTGTGTTTGTCTTTGCGTGTTTGAAGAACCAGTCTGCCGTGACATGTCAAAAAGTGTATGCAGCTGCTCATAGATGTTTTCTTTTTTCTATTATAACTTTGCTGTAAAACGACAAAACAAATGTAAGTGTAGCTAGATCCAGCTTGGGATGGAGGAGGATGGCCATGCCGTGTCAAAAATAAAGATAGCACAGTGGGTGCAGCCCTACAACGAATCTTTTTTTTCTAGCTAGAAGAGGTGTTTTTGTCTTGGCTGAAATTCTCTGCTCTGCTCTGGCCGTGTGTCCGGCTCTCCTGCGTCTCATCGTAGAAGTATGGGTAAGTATAGCACCATAGAATTTTTTTTGTGTGTGGTTTAACAGTTTCCCATTAACTGTTCGTCTCTTTTGTTTCTTGGAATGGCGATAGCGCACAGACACATCCACGCTAGTCAAGATTGATGCTCCACTGTCATCCCGCTCCGCTCCTAGAATCCGACCTGTCAAGTAGTCCATCGGCTGTGGTCAAGATCTATCCATCCATCTGGACGGTGGCGTATGCTTTTGCTTTGACTTGAACCTGAGGAAGTCGTTAAAAGCCTCATATTCTTCTTGCGTTTTTATAAATATCTTTTCTTTTTCTGTGTGTTTCTATTTTGCTTTGTATATAATATCGTTATTGCTATCCTCTCCCCTTCCCTCTCTCCCCTCTCTCTCTCTCTTGCGCATCTGTATCGCCTAGTAGCCGCTGTTCCGTATCTATCATCGGATGTTGCATCGCCTCATGCGAACGGCATACTCCCCACCCCAGGCAGCCTTCGGGCGTAAGTCTTGCACTCACCATTTACCCCAACCACGGGTCAAAAGTGCGGCCGAGGTCCCTCATGAATTTGGCGAATGCTTTGCGTAAGTACTTGCTTTCTCTCTCTCACTCTCCGTGCGCGGGTGGAATTATATGGAAAGAGCGGAGGTTCCTTTTTTGGATTTTTCAGCTAACTTTTAAAGATTTTAATAATAAAGATACTTTGTCAATTCATCAGAGCCATAGCCCCCTTTCCATGATGAACAGCTCGTATACACCACAACATGTCGTTTTTTATATTATAATTAGAATGAGGGGCAATTCTGTAAGAAACAGAAATTTGCTAAACCAAGACCAAGAAGGTATATATCCACTATTTACTGAAAATGTCGAATGGTCTGTCTCGATAAGATATGAAAAGAAGTCCTTGAATCTTTGCCGGGGGAGGATCTCAACTTGCTCTCTTCTTATCGTCCTCGCAGTCTTGCTCGTCGTTAAAAACATAGCCACGCAACAAAGATGACATGTACTCAAAAACGATTTACCATAATATTTTCTCTGGTGCATCACACTGAGAGATAGCCGTACAGTAGTAGCTTGCTCCCACAGTAATCAGTATGGGCTGCTGGGAATTATGTAAGTCTTTTCCTAGAAAGTCCACAGTGATGCTTCGTACGTTGATAGTTCGATAGCTAAAGTCGGAAGCATGTTGATCTGTCATGCGGCAATAGTGCTCGAAGATTTATAAGGATCCTCATACATCAAAGTTACTCGATACAAATACAAAGTATACGATTAGCAATAAAAGAATTATGTAATAAGGCATGACTCGTTTTCTTTAATTGAATAATATTATTCAACAGTAGCTGCTCACATTAAGGAGATTATGAAAAGTTTGATGATAACCGCATCATATCCAGCCAATAACAATAAAATGAGTAGCTACGATAATGTTCATGCTTGCCCGCACGCTTTCTCTCTCTCCGCTCCAAGATCTCAACCATGGCAATGAAAGGAACACTACGAAACCAAACTTTAATGATTGGCAAATCGGGCTCTTCTGTGGTTTCTTACCAAGTAAGGCGGCAGCTCTCACATTATGTCAGTCCATTTTAGCATGCTTAAAAGTTGATTTATTCTTTGGGATCAATCCGATCGGTTTTCACTTTAGGAAGAAGATGCACAATGCCCTGTTTGTAAAAGTGACAAGTATCTCACGCCCAACCTCAAACTTCTCGTTTCACCATGTTTTCATAAAATGTATGTACCTGTTTGGGATTGCATCACAAAAGTGTGTTTGTCTTGAAATTGACCAGGAAGACTTACATGTATTCTTACCTTAGGTGTGAATCGTGTATCGATCGATTGTTCAGTGCGGGTCCTGCGCCATGTCCGATTTGTCAGCAAGTGCTGCGCAAGAATCAATTCATGTCTCAGATCTTTGAGGATCTTGCAGTTGAAAAAGAAGTGCGGATACGAAAACGAGTCAGCAAAGTGTATGTAATTTTCTTATTGTGTGTATATGTTAATCTGTAGAAAGGCTATCGTTTAACAAGAGCAAGACATATTTCAGGTTTAATAAACGACCAGAAGATTTCCCAAGTTTACGGCTATATAATGATTTTTTAGAAGAAGTAGAAGATATAAGTAAGTAAGGACAAAGGAAAAAGAGCACGGTGCTGCTTGTGAATCAATACACACTGACGTATGGTTAAATCAGCTTTCAATTTGATGAACGAGGTGGATGTTGCGGAGACCGAGGCTAGAATCACGGCATATGAGATGGAAAACAAAGACAGTATAGCAGCAAATGAGGCTAGAATGGTAAAGAAAATATCATGCGGTCTGATCATGTGGCTTCCCTCTCCCAAGGAAAATTTAAGCTTTTTTATTCTTTACTGGCCGATTTTATAGGCTAATGAGCAGCGATACATGAGCTATCAAGACCAACTTGAAAAGCAACAACGAGAACAGAAACGCGAAGAGTATTTGATGCTGCTTGAAGAAGAACGTCGGCAGAAAGAACACGAAAAAGCAGAGATCATTAGAGAACTGGTAATGGGACCCCGCTTATACGCATGCGGTGTGTCGTTCACCTGTGTGCGGGGTAAAAGAGAGAGAGTTTAGAAAGACAAGTGCCCGTTCCTAACGCTATATGTGTTACATAGGCAACATCAAACAAATCAGCACAGGCCGTTCTCGCCACACGTCATTCTATCACACTCAAGAGGTCATCCGCTCTGCGACAACAGTCTGAAAGTAGCAGCCCGGCCAGACTGGCCATGCCCTCCTGGATCACAACTGCGATGGAGACCGATACCGAGATGCGGGATTCTGAGGCAAAGGACTTTGATCCGTTTGAATATCAGTACGAATTTGCAACCGGATTCGAAGTTCGTGACAGTTACGATGACCCGTAAGTCTAGGGATGGATAAGGATACCACGTTCCGCGATAGGTTCTCTGAGCGAGTGTTTTTTTATCTTTATTGTATAGATCAACCGAATATCTTCACAGTAACAAACGAGCACGTGCTGGTGGATATGTTGCAAAATACGCTTTTGACCGAGCGCTGAGCGATGCATTCACAGGAATCGCTTGCATGCCGTTGGAAGGCAATTGAGTAAGAGAGACAGAGGTGTTGTTAATATATTAAAAAAATCCGAGGATGTCGTGGTATACTTATTACACTCAAGTAAATGATGTACATGCTCTTCGGCAATATAGCGAGCGAAATCGAAAAGAAAAGTGGGAATAAGAGTGAAAGAAAACTGTACAATAATCAAGTATAGAGAGAATGCCTATGAATGGGATATATAACAGAAAAGGAATAAAAGGTAAAAGAGAAAAAGATAAGCGTAAAACAACATGAGAGAAAGAGTGAGGTCAACAAGAACAGTTGCGCTAAACAAGTAGAAAACGTGATCTAGAAAGAGGGAGGGTGAGATTGATTAGTTCCTGCAAGGGCAAGAAAGAGAACGAAGAATGGATGTGACAAGAGACAGAGAAAAAGAGAGGGGATCAGCCTTGAATAACACAACTGAGCCGATACTTCATTCCAAGGTAGGAGAGGTAGAAGCGCGCCGGAAAAACACGTATGCTTTTCAACTGGGGGAAGTTATTATCTATCACCAAGTGTTTATATTGCCAGCTCGTATAAATGCATCAAGTATTTCTTTTTTTGTGTGTCGTCAAACTTGCCTTTGATATCAACATAAATTCCTATATATCAGAATTCCCATAGTGTTAGTAGACTTCCCTTTGAAAACTACCTCGGTATATACCAGCCCGTATTGCGTAGATACAAAGAAACACTTACCGCCCATGGTAAACGCTTGTTCAATTTTAAAATGATTCTCGCTCTGAAAGGGCACCCATTGGTTGTCGCGGAAAAACAGCCAAGTAACTTCTTGGGGATACTCCGTCATTGGTGCCTCGGAAGACGATGAAGGCTCGGCAGTGGTCATTTTCATATCATTGACTCGTGGAGGAGTGTCGAACGAAAAAGAGGTTTGTCGGTGTTGTCCAGGTGTGATAGTAGTAGTGTGCACTAGAGGTGTCGGCGGTGAATGCGCTGCTGGTCCACTGTTACCAGTGTCGTGTAGTAGCTGTGGAGAGCAGTTGTTGTAACGATGGTTGTTCGCAGCCGGTGTTAATGGAGGAGGTGGATGCATGTGTTTAGATTCTGAACAGTAAAACGAGGGAAGATAAACCGAAAAGGAGAAAAGGGAAAAAAAGAAAAGGAAAAAAGAGGTGTAGGTGCGTACCTGTTGTTTGCCTCTGACTTTCTGTCGACAGTAACGAAATTAGTAACCAGCACATCATAGCGACATATGGCATTAAAATAAATACCACTAACCCTCTATATTATTTCAATATATGCACACAGTATAATAGCTTATTTGTTTCTCTTTTTCTTTGTATCCGTAATTATGCTGTTAAGCAGCTGTATAGTCTTTTAAAGTTGATAGCATGTTGATATATGATGGCTTGCAAGCAGCAAAAAAAATTAAGGTTTTCGCTGTGCTTCCAGAAGTACGCATCTTTTCGAGTAACTATACCTTAATAAGAGCCTTCAATGGTATGATGGAGCTTGATCACGGTACAGCGCTCAATAGATAGATTGTTTGTCATTGGCTCAGAACGTTATTTTCTTACACAAGTATACGTGTGGACAAAAGTACATACACCCAGGCAATGGTATGATGATGCTTGCTTTTACTACTACAACATTAACTTCTGCAACTGAGAGCCGATATGTGGTCAATAGGTATCTCGCGTGCAGGAGTTTCCTTTATTTGTGACAAGAACATCAATTGATGAGCCACAACAACGACGCGAAAAGGCTGGCTTGGTGAGTGATATAACTCTGGGACCACGAGCACCCAGCTTTGAATAAACAGCAGTAGCTTCTATAGATTGAATGTGATGAGCTCCTCATGTTCGGTAAAAACAATTGACTTATCTATAGATGTACTGACGAAGGTATTGCTAATATGCATAGATCTTTAAACAATGGCAGATACCGACCTTGCAATTGAATTAGTTTCTCTTTTTAGAGTAAAAGTACACATAGTCATTGGAGCATGCACAGACTTTCTGTAAAGGCTTATATTACTGAGATACTTATCGTCATCGGTACATGGTATTTCTTTTTCATTTAAAAGCAACAGTGTTCAATATAGCGAGTAATACAAATGCTAATGTTCTTAACGATCTCAAGAGTTTCAATTCCTTTACAGTGGACTTGACGTCTTCACAGTAGTTAACACGTGTTTTAAGGGGTCTTCTTGAGCCAGATTTATCGTTTGATGTTTGGAACAATCTGTTTAAGAATGTATATTTCATTATACGTAAAGGGTAAGCAGACGACTATACAGAGGAAGAGACGAAGTCAGATAAACGGGCAAAAGAAACAAGAGAACAATAGAGCAAAAAAAACATTTGAAGGTGGATGTCTATATCTCCTCAAACAATGGACTCCTTGTAACAGAGACAGAGCTGCCGTCTACAGGCTGGCTAGTACTCTTTTACTCTTATCGCTGCCTTCATCCCATGCGTATGCACTTTGTGATCAACAGCCAGAAATTCAGCGGTATCTAGATCGTCGTCATCACCACCTTTGTTAATCATCTGTAAACTTTACATACTTCTAATGACATGTATGGCGGTGCTGGGGTGCGAAAACGAATACTTAATAGAGAGAGAACGATATAAATGTAACTGGACCAGCGACAAATATAAAGACTGTAACTCTGGAATGAACAGTGCAGATGATGTTTTGTAGAAGCGTTATATATGAGATCATCCCATATGAGTGCAACAGAGATACTTACCTTTAATAAAAAAAAAAGAGACCAGGGATGTAGATGAAAGACAAAAAAGGACATGCTGCAAGCTAAGGAAGAGTCTCGAAGGGTAAGGCCACTGCATAATCAAAGAAAATACGTGTCAAAAAGAAGTTGTAAGCTGCAATACCAATGTTATGTGCGTAGAACGTTAAATATTTGGAACAAAACAAGACAAATACTACTACGGCACGCAAGTTCTGTGTGTATAAATTTAGTTATACACCTTAATACCAAATAAATACAGAAGAAAAACATACTCATTGAACAGATTGGCTCGCAGTAACCGACAAAAATCCATTTTCTGTAACTAGAAAGAATGCACAGCAAGGTGGTACCAGGAATGTAGCACAGACATGTACATATATATGAGTGAGACGCTTGCTAATTACAAAGATTTGGGCGTCTCAGTTAAAAGTCGAGCACGGCTCGTTTGCTCAAAAGAGGTTTTGAGTCAGTGATGATTTGTGCAAAGGCGGTGATAATATATTTAGAAGTTACACAAAAAGGCAACAATGCAGTTAAAAAATCGAAGCCTACGGCTACAATCAAGCGACAACAGCAGGATTCGAACCTGCGCGGGCAGAGCCCATGAGATTTCGAGTCTCACGCCTTAACCGCTCGGCCATGTTGTCTTCATTGACACATAAACTAACAAAAAATAAATAAGCAGCTACAAAATGAAATGACACCACGTGACCATTTATATATAGGTTCTTTTTCAATCTGGTTTTTACAACAATGAACAATGTATGTAAGGGTAAGATAATAAAGCTGAGAGAAATGTATAGCTTAGTTAAGTTATTTTTACTCGAGATCTTAGAGCTTTATTACTAGGATTAGCTATTTAATTTTCCAAAAAATATAATTAAATAATAAATAGGGTTCACAATCTGACCTATGGGTCAAAACCGACCTGTAGGTTGAGGACAGGTCAACAGGTCAGGTTGATGCTTTTCTGACCCACGGGTCAGCCCGTCTAACCCTTGAACCGACCTGTTGACCCGTTGTGACCTATGTTGTAGTATACATATAATATGTATGAGGTACTTATATTCAAATAGCTAATAGGGATCCGCACGGTTTAGTTCAGTTCGGTTCTTAAAGGGAACCGAATCGAACTATCCAAAAGCAAGAACCGAACCGACTAAAACCGATGAGAACTGTAGAACCGAAAAATCGAACCGAAGAACCGAACCCGTCATGTATATAAAAAAGGCAAAATCCAGTATCTTTGAATGAAAGCTGATGTATGTGTGTTCAAATATCGCGGTATACTTGAATACTGCAGTAAAAAAGAATAGTTTATTATTGTACATTGAACAGCGATTTCAAAATGAATAAGAGAAACAGAATGTAAACATTTAATATACAATGTGGGTCATTGCATGGTTAAAAGATTAAAGCACAGTTTTCACAAAAAAGCGTGGAGCTTATAGTACTAGAGCGATGTAGTATTACTAGTACAATACATTATTGTAACATTGGAGGAATCAAACCACAACCGGTAGTACACACAGCTACTGTGTCTCTACGCGTGTAAAGTGTCTCATAAAAGGCAAAGTGTCAATGGGTAAGATAACTTTGTTATGGGCCCCAGGATGCGTAATCTTAGACAGAATGCACAAACTTGATAAAACTGATCGAGAAGCCATGCTGAATCTAGTAGAGTAGTACGTCATGGAGAAAATGCATTGTATGTAGCAAAGTAGAGGAACAAGTAATGATGCGCGTTATGGGCAGAGAAAGCAAGCTGCCATGAAAAGAAGTGTTTTTTTTTTGTTCTTCTCTTCTTTACTATTTTTCCCTCCCTTCTGCTTTTGCAGGTTTTGTTAAGTTTTTGAATAAAGTATGGCTTGCAAATACACTACTTCTTGGTCTTTAATAAGGAGTAACATTGTTCGTAACTTCCATTATAGCCTACTTTATACTAATTACCAAAATCGCCAAATGCAATCTTCTGCCTCTCAGTTCTTCGGTTCTACGCATACAAAACCGGTTCGGTTCCGGTTCGGTTCTTAGTAGGAACCGAACCGTATTTTCTCGGTTTCGGTTCGGTTCGGTTCCGGTTCTACGGTTCTGATATGGATCCCTACTCTATTATCTATTATCATTGTACTATTGCTACTCCTTTACTCCTTTTGTATATATCGCTTATAGCTTACTTATCCTTTACTCTTCAATATAAAATATAATCCCACAATAAAAAGAATATAAGTACACTTTATGTTATAGTTCTATAGCAGATATATTGACAACTATATCTTATAATTTAATGATGCTTCCCAATAAGAAGATTGACTACTTGAATGCAAGTACCTCATACATATTATATGTATACATGGGTCACAACGGGTCAACGGGTCGGGTCAAGGGTTAGACGGGTTGACCCACGGGTCAGAAAAGCATCAACCTGACCCGTTGACCTGTCCTCAACCCGCGGGTCTGTTTTGAACCGTGGGTGAGATTGCGACCCCTAGAAATGATATTAGGAGCATTAAATATTTTATACAATGCTGTACTTTCCGTCCTATAGCTGTTTTGTACTCAAAGTGATAATAAATAGAAGATTTTGTGAGGGCACAGAAAGTATAAATGGTTGTGTAGAAATGCCCTCATTAAGGTATATGGAGATTAGTTAGAGATGAGGACCGTGGTTTTTTGGCAGGTCGTTGAGTAGAGAGCAAAATCGGCGAGTAACGATGCAAATAAATTACTCATCCGGTTGTTAGATGGAGGATATTAGATCAGAGAGCAGCGTGTATAAAGATGGAGAGCCAAGGCTTCTCCTCAGCATAAATTGTGAAGCAAAACGTTTATTACATAAGCTGTGAATAAAGACCTGACAAGAAAGGTATGACAGCATAAACAAGCTAAAAGTGTATGCTTTACTATTGAAGTTATGGCGCAAAGGACGTAACAAAAAAAGTCGCATTATTTTTACCCTAGATCTGTGCTCTTTTAAGTAAAAGTGTATTCGTAGTAATAGTACTTACTTTTGACGATTTGTTCGTGTAAAGTTATAGACTAGATGTAAAACACGATAAGGATGTACAATCAAACACATACCGGTGCATCCATGCTGAAGTATCATAGTGTAAAACGTTTGGGATAGTAAAATAATACAGTGGAGTCAAAGAATGGGGACTGATAGACTGACAGGAATTATAGTATTAGAAGATTTAGCATAGGGAGCGGCGTGTACCCATTGCTAATATCTTTGTGCCGAAATTCGTTGAATCGAGTAATCCCCGTCATCTTCATATCTGCTATCGATAAGTTGCGTAGCTACGGTTTTCAGCAGGTTGGTGTTATTATGAAGTGATAAGGATAAGCTATAGAGAGAAAGTGCTCCGTGTATGACACAACGGAGCGGATCCATATCTGAGCATTGCTGTAACTCTTCCATTACCTTCAGCCGTTGTAATCGTGTGCAGATGCGAAATGAAGCGTTGTGTGTAGATAGGAAAGCAAGGAAGCTGGACCCGGCAAGGGCCGACTCCCTGATAGGACGGCTGGATGAAAAGATCTTCCCGGTTTTGAAAATAATTTATTACACCTTTGCTGCCTGCAAGGAACTGGCTGCTTGGTCTGCTTCGACTATAGAACAATGTCTATTTCGTAATACCCCATAATAATACGTGTACACTATGCGATATAGAATGCAGTTGTTTAGCCATGCTCAATACACTGAACTTTTGCACTGATTTCGTTCTTTTCTATTATATTACCTTTTCTGTTATATAAAGAGACGTTTTGCAGTGTATCTCCTCGGCATATAAGTCGGATCCATGGATCGGATCCGTATCCGCCTACCCACTCGATCTGATCCGTTGATGCTTAGACCGAATCGGATCCGAGTAGCTCGATCCGATCCGGGTCTTGCAGAACACTAGTAGTGAGCCACATTAATACACTGTTTAATATATCAACAATAAGATATTCGGTTAAACGTTATAGCACACATGTATGAACACTACGACATTCTGGCTAAACACTATTGAATAAAGCCTCTTACTCAGATGATCCACCTTACGTGAACAGGACAATGAACCTATCAACAGGTACCTCAGCCATTACATCAGATAACGCCGGTTTTAAAGATGTGCCCGATTAACATAACGACTTCATGAGAAGTTCTGATACGTCCTTGATCCATCCTCTATCACATAGTTTATCCATTAGACAGATGAATTGATATCGCCGTCTTAATAGCTAGAATATAAAAGAGCTTAAATTTTTTGTTGAATAAAACACTTCCAGTGCTCAAGCTCAGGTTGATTGACACTTCCTTCATCACCATATCGAAATCAGTCTTGACACGTCAACCCGAGTTTTGACCCATTGGGTTGAACAGGTCGGGTCGGGTCAGTGTCTTCTTCACCTGTAGGTCAACGGGTCAGACCCTTGACCCGACCCGACCCGTCCAATTGCGATCCCTCATAGGCATTACAAAGATACTGTTTGGGTCAAGGTCCTTGCAGCTAATCAAATACTGTTCGATTTACATCCAGCCCTGCTGTGTACATAATATATATAGTACAGTGTAACGTGTGAGGACGTCTATAACAGTAACATTCTGACATATACATATACAACAACAAATTTGTTATAAAATAGAGTATGTTTCACTCATACACCGCGAATAGTTCTCAAAGAGATATCGTCCAACGATTGAACTCGCCGAGTTTTACTGCCACACTTATGTTCCGAGCGCGCGTTTCTTTTGTTTTATTTCGCCATAACAGTACAGTCTAAGGGAAACTCAGCTTCTGTCAGGCTTGTTATGTGAGAAACAAGAAAGGAAGCTGAAGTATACCTATTTTTTAATTACTGATGATAAATGTGTTACTATTGTAGACAACACTTTCCTCTTGATTGTACTCACAAGCAATTTACAAGACTTTCATAATGGAACGGCTTTAATACTTGCAAATATATTAAATTATGCTTACGAGACGTATGGCGGTGAAGAATGGTTTCTGATAAGGATACGCTTGTGTATAGAGATATCATCCTTAATACTGCAAGAATGCGCATCATTATACTGCGAACATTTTGGCAACAAATGATGACGATTGCAACGCAGCGATCTTTGCCAGATTCACATAAAGCGGCTGGGAACCACGGTGGCCGATTTGAAGGCTTTTTGAGGTAGGTGAAAAACGGATAAAGTCGATATGTCTACGTCTTCTTGATGGAAATGTATGTTGCGAGGACGAATGAAGGGGTCTGTTGGGAATTACTGATATGCATTTGATAATTGCAATCATTAGCGAAACATTATGATATTCTTACCGGAAACAAGGCTGCTATACATGTTAATTAAAGTCATGATGGAAACGGTCTTGCGCTTGCTTAAAGCAATAGTAGCGTTGCCGTGAGAGGCTAAGGAAATACTAGTAAAGCAGCTCACTTCGTATTATCAAGAACTTTTTTCGGTAGGCTCCACGACAAATGAAAAATGTCCAGCTTATCTGCACATCTCGCTTGTCATGTACACGATTTTTGGGTTGCTGCTCATACGCTCATTATAATGAGAGTGGTACATGAATTAGAGATTCCTGTCCCACGATATTTAGCAGCTGGATGACTGACAGCGTGATTCGTTTAAAAGTGGTAGGGATGTTATGACTATTATTTCCTGAAGAAGTAAAAAATGCCCATACGAATCCAGCTTAAAACAGATTGATACGATTATATTTTACTATTATTGATCCACTGTAGGAAAAAGAACCTTAATATACCTTAAAAAACCTGAATAAACCTGAATTTAGTTCAACCAGGACCATCGTTGTTGTACCAAATGAAACTTCCGACACACCTGACCACATTTTTTTTTCATCTCATCAATATGTCAACACCTTCTCTATCACGGAAGAATGATTTTATGCCGCCTGCGGTTGACCATTAACACCAACAGCTGGCACGGTAACAATCGCGTTCAGCAGTCCAGGCTTATACGTATTGGTGAAGTTATGGTGTACTTTCAGCATTATGATGTAGACGCTGCCAGATTATTTGCCTTGGTGAAAGTATATGACGCTGAAAAGTCTACTGACAGTGGCACGTGGCTGTATCGCACGATGGAGTTGTTAATGTAAAGCATATCAAACAGCTGGTGTGCAGTATTGAAAGTACATCGAAGCGTCACTACGTTTGCAGGTCACAAACGAGACAACGAACTTCTTGGTGAACTGCGGTATCTATGGTGATTTCCATTTTAGGCTGTATCAAAACAAAGTTGATCCTTTTCTCCTCATTTGTTTGACCTTGCCTCTCCTTGTATGCTTCATCTTGCCGTTTGAAAAAAAAATCGTTCCTTTTCTTATTCCTTCTCCTCTTTCGGCAATAATAAAACATCACACAGAAACAACTTAACATGAATCCTCAAATCCTAGCAATTCTTAACGCTATCAAAAACAATAACGATTCAATGTTTGCACTTGCACGGTCGGTCGGCTCCTTGGCAAGGGAAGTTGATGTCACAGTAAGGCGTTGGATGATCTTTCCACATCAGTAACTCTTATAGTTGGGGATGTACAGTGCTGTCCTTTCATGTCCATCTGTAGAATCTTCCAGCTCCGTATCAAGAGCGTTTTCTTCTGGGCTGTTCGACGGCATGCTCTTGACACGGTCTTACAAACGCAAAGTCGACTCACAGACGAAGTTTGTAATGGAGGAGCTGCCCAGTCTGTGCCATGACGTTGTCAGGGAGCACCAATTGGATATCACGCGCAGCGACGAAGTCAATATCAGGGACAACATATGGGGACGATCTGGGATAATGGTCGATGGTATTCTCAGCAAATTTGATATTGATTTGCTTAGAACGAGCTGGTCAGCGATACCAGAGACGACCTTGAAGGCGCAACAAGATTTATAGAGCGCATGCTAAAGATCTGCACCCTTGGCTGCGTGCGTGAACAGTTGAGCTACAAACAAAATCCTGCAACTTCGGGGGATCGCGCAATAACTTACAAGAAACGCGTTGCCTAGGGCGGCTTCTACCAAAAATCAGTAAGTACATACTAGGAGTATTAGCGCTTCCGGTATATATGATATAATTCTTACCTTAAAATATTACAGTTTTTAAACGCTATCAGACAATATCAAGCGCTCCACAAGAGGAAACATGTGTTTTTTCAGAATAAAGGTATATATACTCTACCAATGCTGATGTATTTGACGTACTTCATAGCACACACACTGGTTGTACTCAACCAGCGTTCGTCAACACCATGAGGTTGCGTTGCCGTCGACATCAAACACAGACGACTGTTCAAGGCTCCTAGTGTAATAGTCGGAAGACGAAGACGCGTCGCAACTGCCCAGTGTGTTGCTCTCTTTAAGCCAAGGTAAACAGTAGATCAAAAATCCATATTGCATGGCATAGAATGAGCATCCATGATATACCAACCTAATTAAACGAGAGACTACATCACGCAAACGCGCCCGTTCATGCGATGGGTCTGCTAATGACTTCACTGACAGCACCAGTGTTGCTCGCGTCGGTGCTCGTAATGCTCGTGGTGTTCGCTGTTGCGGTCGTGCTGGCAACTAAATAGAATTGAACACTTATTTGCTTGTGTACTACACAATGCAAAAATGATTTGTCAAAGAATTATTATAGAAAGCAAAATTTAATAATAAACATATTGTCATCCAATCGAAATCAGTTTTTTAGCATACATAATATGAAAGAGGATCAATGAGGAAATGTGAATAGCTGATGAAGTATCCAATGATGCTCCCAAACGGATACAGCTATACGTACAACGACCAATAAGATACGATGTATTTACCCAATCATAAACACAGTTGAACGCATTCCACACTTCAGCCGACCAATAAAACGAATCAGAGAAACCAGATATTATTAAGGTATATTCGAGTTTTCTCAGGTTTTTTCAGGTTTTAGGTTTTTTTAGGTTTTTTAATGTATACTAGCGGTCCTTCCTCGCTTCGCTCGGATGAATGAGCCCCTCCGCTACGCTCCGTGTCATTCAACGGAAACGCGTCGCAAGGGGGTTCCCCCCTTAACCTCCAAACCCCACTGTCGAGCGAGGTTGGATCAATACCGTGGTATTAGATACTTATTGTCTGTTTTCAAAAACAAAAGCAAAATTACTGTGCAGTGAGAAGTATTCTATCATAGGAAGTCGTCAAAGTTGGATACTTACTATCTCCAGTTCAAATGCAAAGCGAATAGAAGTGTGGAAAAAGATGGTGTAGTAATATTGATAAATAGAGAATAGGTGGTGGTAACAAATGAAAAATAGGCGATATAATAAAAGAGAATAGGCGACAAAAAGAAATAGAGAAGAACTTCATGGAAAGCAACATCTCGGATGTTTTGACCTTGCTGACCCGTGATACTCGAGTTCTCGGGATCTAACATGATCCTGATGGATGAAGGGGTGCGGACGCGTGACATGGCTGCATAAAGTAGACCATGCGTGAACGGAGGTTCAGGCAAGTAGAGGCCGACAGTGTTAAAAGTTTGAACCTGTGCCTTATTGAGGGTCATAGTGAATGCCAGGCGAACAGGGAATTGGGTGCGTTTGAAGAGAATGGGAGAGCGTGTTAGTGAATGTGTGAGTTTTATGCGAGGGATCAAGACAATGTTGCCGGCATGAGGTCCAGTGGCTATTTCAGCTTCAAATACATATCTTTGAAAAGAGCGTACAATCAGCCGTGTCCCGTTGCAGAGACCACTTTGGGTGTGCAAGTTTCTCAAAAGCATAATTGGGCAACCGACTTTGAGTTTTAGCAAGTGTGGTGGGAGGTCGGATGGATTCATGGAATTGAGCAGCTCTGGTGGGTATGTGATCTGATTCTCTGGATCATCCACAGTATCTGCGCTCGGGAATACGTGGATGGTGCCTGGGAAATGGTCGAGTATCAGATCGTTGAACGCTGAAACGTCGACATTCTTTGGAGTTAGAATGGAGCGACTGATGAGGTAATCGCCATCCACGTGTGGTGCGTCAAGGCTGCCGTAAATGGCTTCGATGAGCGATTTAAGCACTGCTGTACGATCTGCGAGCGCGACGCATTTGGTATCACTGGAAGGACCTATTACCATATACTTTACTCAGAGTACTACCGCTTAATAGTAAAAAACATGCAAAGTAGAAGAGAGGATACAATGTTGTGTACCTGGCAGAAGTCAACACCAAGGACCATAATTTTTCCACCAAATGGAACATCGGCAAGCGCGGGATCGTCATGTCTCATGAGATTTGGATACGCTTGTACGTATACGTTGATACTTGTATTGATACTTGTGTCCAGCGTGTTTAAAGCGATGACACTTCTCATATGATGAAGGACGTGAAATGAGCTTCATCTCGTGTTAATGAAGGTTATCCCCTTGAGTCTTTCCTCGATGCGATACCCGTCTACTCACATAGTCATACATTCATGTAGAACAAATTTTCTGATCTGGAGAAGCCACACATTTCGGCGCGTCATAAACGTGAGAGAGCAATCTGATTGGATAGATTGAACTGGCTCAAATGCCGTGTTCATTACTACAATATAACCGTGCGGCCGCAGCAATCATGGGGCTCTTCTGCCTCCTCGTCAACTTTTCTAAGCCAAAGCTATTCAACGCGAGTATCATTGGAACGAATTAAAGGATCGAAGAGTGAATGTTTATAATTGTGAGTGAGAGGAGCGTATGCAACCGCTTGTGAGTATACCAAGTTCTGTTATCTCACTTTCTTTCTTTTTTGACACAAACCTGCTTCTCGTCTTAACCTGGTCCATCTCCCCCTCACGTTGGCTCTCAAAGCACAAATGCAAGTGTAAGTACAATATGGAAAATGTGAAGTGTACTTTGAGGTTTTTGCGCGTGGATGTGATATACGAAAGAAGATCTGAACTTCAACGTCTAAAGAAGTGTGTGTACAGCATACAGCTGCTAATTTTATCCTCCTTTCTTCTCTGCTACTACTGTAGGAGTCTGACTTTTTGAAATGGTTGGTTCGTTTTGTTTTTGCACCCCACCCTTAAGCACACGCAACAACTGTAAGTACGGTAGGGAATGAAATGTGAGCATGGGCTGGAGAGAAGTCGAGTGTCTGTTGGGGGTGCTGATGCCATGACGTGTCAAAAGTAGCTGCATTTTTGGAACAGTCTGCTTATGGTCATTCTTCTTTTCTTTCTACTTCAGGTTCCGCTTTATGCTGGTTGGGTTAATCTTGTCCGGCGGACAAGTAACAGATAGTAAGAAAGGGGACTCGAACATTGGTAGGTGAGTAGGATGGCCTGGGTGCTTGGAATTGACGTGTCAAAGGTGATAGACAACTTAAAAAGAAGCCTGTAGTTTTAAACAGTTTTCGGCAGTAATTAAGTACGTCTTTACAGGTGATATGAAGCATTGTAAGATAAGTATTTTATACATACTTGAGTGCCTCTCGTACTGTTGTTACTTCCATCATTCCCGAACAAGTGCTATTGTTTCAATTATCACGTCTTCCCTTCCTGTTCTCGCGTTACATGGAAAGGTATACAGCATTTGAGTGCGTTTTTTAAAGAGATAGGTAAAATGTAATACTAGGTTTGACTATACGATTACAGTGCCTCTAGTGCTCTTGCTGTTCATCTAATATCTCGACTAACTGTTAGGGCCTTTTTGGGCCTTACAAGGCCTTGGAGAGCCATTTTAGTAGGATTTTGAAAGGCTACAAACGGCATATTGAACCTTTCAAATGTTGCTCCCAGCAGGCACTCCTGCCTAAGCAAATATCTCTGTTCGGCTTCGTCGGAAATTTGAAATTGCAATCTTATGCTTTTTAAGACCTTCGAAGGCTTTTAAAAGCTTTCCACCTCTGATGCTGGAGGAAATAACATCATCGATGCATGAGCTGCAATGATGGCCATGGTACAGTAGTGACACTACCGATTCTTCGAAAGATGAGAGAATTAAAGTAGCTTTGCTCTTTGCTACATTTTGTTTTTTCAACTTTGAATAACCAGACCGGTACATTCAATCATTGCTATTCTGCTTGGTTATTACCGAAGTTTCACCGCTCTCATATAGAGCTGTATCATGATTTTGAATCAAGTTTCTAAATGGACATAGCTTGTGTAGAGCTGTGTGCAAGTAAAGACGAGAATTCTAATCGCATTCATGCATTGAGCGTGTGCCATGGACAAGACAGTATGGCTTTGGTGTGCTATGAAGATCTAGCGCATCAAGAACACGAATATACATAAGCACATTACGCTGATCTTAATATGTGATATAACAGCATGCTGTATTTACTCAGATGGGGCTATGATTTTTTCAATCTCCTTATATATTCTTAGCAAGGCGCTTTCATTGATGCTCTTATTACTGATGTTTATGTAGTAAGTAACGCAATTCTTTGCGCTACAAGAGACCGAAGTGCCTATATAGTCCTTTGGAAAGTTTAAATGCTTACGCGTTATACTAAAATTTTCTTGAGAAAATCACAAATTTCTAGCAGACATGAGCAGAGGCACATATATTTAGTTATCATATCCTGAAGTTATCAAAAAGAGTAAAGAGTATCTGTGTGTGCAGACCTCAAAATTATAAAGTTGCGTTTATGCAACCTGTTCCTGCATATTACACGTCATAATTTAGTATATCTACACTATCGCTTAGATTCATTAAAGCTCAGATAGATGTTTATATATCTAGTATCTGTTTTCAGAGCTCATTTTTAAGTAAGTATTGTAGTCGCATTGCGGTGCTGTATCGGAAAAGCGGCTGTGGATACGAAGAAGCACGTACTGATTTTCCTGTTGAAGGAAGTGCACCCAACGACCGTGATTGTGATTGTCGGAGAATGACATCATCATATTGAATGGGGATTATTATTTTGTCGTCGGGCTAGGCAGCTAAGCCGTTTTTCACTCCCTTATCCACAACACATATAATGAACGCTCACGTCCTTGCCCGTTCCGCCATGCGCTCCCGCGTCGCCGCCCGTCAGGTCATGCGCTCTGATTTGTATCACTTTGAGAACTCCAACGGCCAGGTAATTACTTCTTTCAAAGGCATCACATATAAAAAAGAATTTTAGCAACCGCGACAGTATCGACAGTTCCAGTTAAACACAGATCGATTAACATCGTGCATATTGTATTTCTTATAGAACATTCCTTTCAAGACCACCAACCGTGTCGGTCTTGCTTTCAAGATGGTCTCCTTTTTGGGTAAGAATAAGAAATGAGACAAAGAAATATTGCTCGTACTTTGAGTAAAGCGAGAATTAACATTTAATTATTGTGTAGGTCTTGGTTTCGCCGCTCCTTTCTTGGGTAAGTTCTCTGCGATAATTATAACGGATTGGGTGGGGACGTAGAACAGAATTGGAGATAACTGATTTTAACTTTCTCTCGCTATGGTGGTTTATATATCGATGATTAGGCGCTGCCTGGCAATTGTAAGTGAAATATACGCTGGTATATGAAAGCGATGTGACCGAAACGATATTTTGGAAACTAATCCTTTTTTTAAAAAAATCTATAGCCACAAGGCTGGCTAAACAGTATCTCTCTCTCTCCTTTACATCATTTTCACTCCATTTTATAGAAAAAGGACGATTCTTTTTTGTTAAAATTGCCCAATAAACCATCATAGAGTCTTATAGACTTGCTTTTTCGTCAACTCGAGTCTGTATACACCATGGCTCCAATTTGTTAAGTCTTGACCTTCAGGAAGGCGTTTACTTTCATCGTGTGTACTAGGAAATAATTCTTCATGACGTGTACATAGTATTGTTTTGTCGTCAGCGTGACATTCAGCTTTGGCTCACAAACTCCAAATCATTAGAGCAGGGTTTATGCTTGCCTGGACTATTCCCGATGGGCTTTGCGAACTGGACGTGTACCATACATCCACCCGTAGTCGCGGTATGCTTGAAGCATAGCGCGTTGTGTGCTAAGGGGTTTTGATCTGTAAAAAAGTCGTATAAAAACGATCAGGATGCACATATTCATATAATGTATAATACTATTCGCTAGCCACCACTAAGAGCACTTACATTCTTGACCGTATCGGCGGCGGTTTGGTTTTATGTGATCAATATCGAAAGCGGTTTCCCATAGCTTCTGGCGCCAGAGCGGATTGCTTTCGAGTTGTCTGCATCTTGAAATCGACAACGGTGACCCGACCTACACACACACAAAATATAAGAGTAAGATTATAAAAAAGCTGTAAACAATATTGTATGTGAGAAGCAAAGATACAAAAGCTGACCAATACCTCTGCGAGCAATATGAGCGGTACCGGATCATTTCGATATACCATCCGTGCTCTTCTCACCTACTGATACAGAGTACGAGTATCCAACCGAAAGAACCCCGTTTGATGGGAACCTAATGGCAATAGTGGCCAAGGCGTGCTCGTGGATAAGTTCGTTCGGAAAATTGAAGCAGGTCGTACGACAAATGCAGAAGGGAGATGCATAAATCTTCTCCCATCGCGAGACCGCAAATGAGTATGTCTGTGTCATGGAGCAGCTCTTAAAAGCGACCATGAATGAAGCTATCAACTAGTTCACAATAAAGAATCAGCAAACATATCGCAAACTGTTATCTGTTTAATATAGGCTTACCGATACAGTCTTCCCAATGATTGATTATGAAGTAGATTATTGGGATATTCGGCTTCATGGTTCAAAATGTTACTTGTTAATACTCATGCTGTTCCGACATAATGTTAGGACAATGAGTTTCTATGTGTACCATATTGATTAGTAAACACAATAATATATATATGTAGGATTATATCTACCTGCTCTTTCCACCTGACCTCGGTTGTGTAGGAGTTGTTGTAAAGCACCCTTCCAAACTCGATTCATGTAATACTTGATATTTAGGGCATGCACTCTCATATCTGACATAAAATAGAAATGATGAGCTATCATATCCATTTTCCTTAGTTTCATAGTGCTTATATTCTGTACTTGAGCCATACTTTGCAGCGCCATGACAACAAAATTGTTTGCTAACGTATCTCTCAATGATCCAGGAGTAATATCCTCTGGCTCGAAGTATTCTAATAAATCATACAGTGCACATGCATCAAATATAACAACATTAACCGTTTACCGAAGCCACCAATATCCTGCTCTGTTAGTTATTAATTTGAAATGTTGCAATCACTTACGTTCATTACAGTACCCGCTCGTTAAACCGATCACCTTTAAACCGATATTTCGTTAAACCAATCACTTCCCCAAAATACCAGCTTGATAAGCAGTATGTATGTCATATAGTGGACCCTCAATCTTTAAACCGATCATTTGTTAAACCGATCCCTTTCTCGAAAAACAGAGGTGATCGGTTTAACGAGCGGGTACTGTATTATGTGGGTTAGTTCTTTCTGCGACAAAGATTGCTGCTGTGCGCATTAGGTCTTCTTTCCATGGTAGCTATTGGATTATCGGATGTTAGTACGAGTTTTGGAATAAAAATGTAGATATATATTGAACATATAGGAGGAACTCACGTTAAAAAAGAATCCTGGTAATTCGTCGTGTAATCCGTACGAAAGCACTTTGAAAGCAATGACCCAAAGCCTTGCAAAAACAATGGAGGTGCATTCTGGTAATAACCCTCAAAGTGACGCCTGAGGTGCAAAAATACAAGATTGTAAGCATCTCGTTTTCGGAATGAAACCATTTCTGATGTTTGTCTTAGAATCGTCCACAAAAAAGATGTACAATCATCAGCCTCAGCATTCAGGAAGGATAATAATAAGCTAAGGAAGTTAAAAATGAACGTACTCAAAAAAAGTGGTATTCGCCATGTGAAAAATTGCTCTGACCGAGCAAGGTCGCGTTACGACCCGCGTTCTCTCGTCAAAGCCGTTGAACTCTACAAGCGGCTCTGGGATAACGGGAACAGGCTCTTGGACAGCGGGAGGAGGGGGTTCTTTAGGTATCTGTGGAGGCTTTCAACAACTGATGACATGCGTTTTATAAGAATGGGAGAGATTTGGAATGAGCCGAAATAGAAAGAAAGAAAAAGAAACTGATGCTTTTATACGGTGAGGTAAAGTTAAGCAAATGTCATTGTCATGGGACCATTGTATATGTATATAACGTGATGATTTAGCTCGGAGGCATGCTTTGAATATTCCTGGTCGGGCTTACCACAGGAGCAGGCAGTGCAGCGCGTATAAATGATTTGTTACACAAAGTGTCTTCATTGTCATCCACATGGGGTTCGGCTGTCAAGGCAGGAAACGATCAAATAGTGAAGGAATGTATCCGCACTGTGATGAGCTTCTACGAATGCCTTTTATTATCCGTGATGCAAATAGAATAAGAATAAGTTGTTGTTCTTTCAGTGATAAATAGGTTCACTTCAATCCGAGTTTATAGCAAGTCATGCCGAGTGTTGCTCTTTACTCTCTCCCAATCACCGCACGCCAGCTTCGTTTTGCTCAGAAAAGAATGCATGGTAAGTTACACTAGAAGCAAATGAGGACTTCCCAAAGAGTAGACAGTAACCCTCTGTATTTTTTTCCCAGATGACCAAGTCAACTACCAAAGATCCTTTCGCTGATCAATAAGTGACTGCATGGAAGTCGCAAAAGGCTCGCGCCTGGGAGCAACGGTATAAGGTACGAGTAAGAAAAATGAAACCACAAAAACTTGTGCTCACTCATACATCTCTTTTATTATGCGGAACAGTATTATCTTCACCACGTGGATCCAGGCACGATGATTAACATCGGTGAAATTTAATGTTACAGAGAAGAAACAATTTTAAAAAAAGCTTCGCGAGTGGGAGGAGGGTAATGTCGTCCAGAGTTCTGCGTGGGGGGTATTTACTCTCTCAATACCAGGCAGGACTGGAGTACAGTGTCGCGAACGCTACAAAAACATGGTCAAGGAAGGGTACACGAGCAGTTCAGGCAAATATTTATCAGTGACTACTGCGGCACTGTCTGCCACTGCATTATCCGAATCGTGGGGAACCCAGAACACGAACCACATCGACTGCATTTATCAGCAATCGCATGGAAAGGGGTACTCGTTTTCTACTGTTAATTACCGGGGGTTTCGATAATAATCTAAAACGTTTTTTCCTGAAAATGCGAAGCCAAGCGACATCAACAGCAGCTACACAAGCAGTCGAAATACAAACAAATGGCTTGCCAGTTGATTCCAACATACCACCAGCTCCAGGCCATCGACCCGTACGTCCAAAGAAAGACGTGCCCATTTTGTTAAAGAATCTTTTAAGCTAAAGCTGCTTCTCTTGTTTTTAAAACAGCTACCAACAAATAGAGGAACACCCAACAAGCAAGACCAACAAGTGAAAAGGGTTAGATTAGTCCTGTCACAAAAATCTATGAATTTGGATGAATAAAAGTCTTCTGTTATTATAGTACTGGGAGTGAGATAAAGACAATTAAGCACGTTTCAAAACTTTGTGCCTGTATGTGCTTCATTGTCATTCATTTACTGAACGAGTATCTTCGGTATGTTTTTTCTTTTAAGTTATTGCCTGCACTCAGAAAGCATATGACACAATTTGTCAAAGCGGCGAACTCAAATATTAAGGTTTAATTTCATTGGCTCGCCCAGCCTCATACGTACTATTCCTGCCTCTTTTTGTCCAATAATAAAAACCGCAGAGACCATGCTGTCATTTGTTAAACGTGCATTAACAGCAGTTTTATACCGCAATTTCAATGCTGAATCCCATTCCTCCTCTTCTTCTACTGCTTCTCCTTCTTCTGCTCCTGATTCGGCCACCCCCTTTGCCAATGAGAAAACTGAAGAATTAACAGGCACACGTGTTGCGCATTCTGCCGCTGCTTTAAATAAAGGTATTAAAAACAACGACTAATAGGTTCACTATGAAATCTTGTCTTTATATTACTTCAACTCTATGACTACATAGCATTTGCTTCAAGAAGAAAAAATAGAATGACTCAACTGATTGCAGCTTATAACGATTCTACGCAAATGCAAGAAAATTTGACGAGCCAACGATCTGGATCGCAGACAAGCTTGTCAGAAGCTGGGCCACGCAAGAAACTACCCACAAAATCAGGGACGACGACGACTAACTGGAATAGCAAAGAAAGCATCAGAAATAAAAGTAGTATGTGTTGTTTCTTTAAATCATCGGCTTATATAGGGGGCTATGAGAACTTATCACAAACGCTTTCAAATAGAAGCACGATCCGATGTATCAAAGAAACGTGCTCGCGCAAACGATGATTATAGTGACGGAAATTCAAAATACAATGGCAAGTGTTGTTCATTTGTACGAGTTTCTGCTATTCCAAACGTATTTTAACCCTCAATATGTCGTATGTTCTTCTTTTCTGTTTTATACATTTGCCACACATAGAATTACATCATCATGAAGAAAGAATATCACCAAAGCGCAAAAGAGCCAAATCTAAAAACAAACAAGAAGCTGAAGACGTCGAAAAAGCTTTAGACGCTAATAAGGCAAAAGAAGCTAGAAGGAACAGAGAGATTAAAAAGGCCGTAGAGGGTGAAAAGGCAGAAGAAGCCAGAAAGGCAAGAGAAGCGAAAGAAGCTGTAAACGCTAAAACTGAAGAGGCGCAAGAAGAACCAACAAAAGGTTTGGATGAAGAAAGATTGCGACTCGTTTTGTCTCCCGAATTTCTATGGCTTGTTAATTACTTTGCCTATGGATAATAATCATTTTATTTATGTTTCTGTTGCCATGCTACAGTGTTTCGGTTTTATTGCCCATACAAAAATTGTGCAAAAGGAGAAGATCAACGGCATATCATCTTGACGCACATCCGCAAACGCCACAATGCAAATTTCCCGCTTTGCAAACATATGAATTTCTTCAAAACCAGCTCTGGGAAGATCATCAGCTTTGATGGTAAGTATGTCGTCGATGGTACAGGATAAGAAGAGGGCATTAGTTTCCCTGAAAACTTCAGCATAACATTTATCTGGGAAAGAAAGAGAAGAGGAAAGAAGGACAGCACGGTATTATACCAGGAACCGATCTATGCAAATAAGCGAAAAGCATACATCTAAAATACGTGTATTCATATAATATTGACAGATAGCTCACGTAATGCGTTGGATGAACATGAGAAGGTGGTTTCCGAAAGAGCAGGTGACTCAAAAGTGCTGGAGAAGAAAGATTAGCGTGTGCTATTAGTAGACGTCTTTGACTTATATATACAAAATACCATTATTCACTCCCTTTTGTTATCTACGAATAGATGCATATTGCTGCCCATACGAAAATTGTCTCGTGACAGAAGTCGAGGAAAAAATGATTTACAATCATATTCAACTCGAGCATGATCCATACTTACCCAATATATGCAGCATGTCAACATATTGTTTCTCGACACCCTCAGGAGAGATTATATATTTCAATGGTAAGAACCAACAGCACAACACGAAGGGGCATCTTGATAAAGAAAGTTATACTCACGGTGCAACATTTGTCTCGCTCATTCACCGTGATATTGTATACTAAAATCATTCTGTTTTAAGAAAGATCCAAAAACTCATTGAAGGATATTGATAAGATTGAAGTGAAAAAGATTGACAGAAGAACACGTGGTCAGTATGCAAAGAGCTTATTTTCGACAGTTTATTGGAATGCTTGTATACTCCATACCTGAATAACTCTCACTATATATATGGATCTGACGAATGAAAGTTTGATAAATTTTTGTTGATATTGTTATTGTTGGATAGAGACGCTGTATTTACATTGTCCGTACAAACGATGCCAAAAGACGTACAATGTCCGCCATCAGCTGTATTGTCATATTCGCGAAGCTCATTTCCCAAAGTTAAGAAGTATGGGAAAGGGTCGATGGACGCTTCCTTACGAAACACTTTATGGAAGGGTTGTAAATTTCAGCAGTAAGTGTGTCAATGTTTTTTGTGAAGAGCGATTTGTATATGTAAAATAGCAGATTTATCTACAAATTTCTTTCTCGTAAACAGCAGTAGTACTGATATATTACAACATTCATATAGTGAGCTGCATTGATTTACTTGAAGAAAATGAGCCGCTTTTACTTGTAGGTCGCACAGATGGTAAGTACGAATAAGCATCGCTTGTGCTCAATCTTGAAAAATCTTCTTACCTTAGTGCATTGCTGTAACCCAATAGTATCAGAATCAATTTATCCCCAGCAAAACGTCTCAGCTACAGATAGAATGGAAGGAGGAGAGCAAGAAAAAGGCGTGGAAGTGGCACCAGCAGATGAGCCGATCGAAGAGGCAGAAGGACAAGAAGAGGTTGAAGAAAAAGAAGAAGAGGAAATATACGTTCACCTTAAAAGAGTGGATCCAGCCCAGTACAATGGATTAAAATATGTTTTGACAACTGGGCCAGAAGGAGCTGTGGATGGTAAGAGAAAAATTAAAACACTAATCATAACTGTAGACCCTCACTTAATTTTCTCATAACCACAAAGTGTTTGATTTATTGATACGATTATATATCATCTCCAAATTTAGAAGTGGACAAGAATTTACTGGCTGCCGGTCAAGATCTTTTAGTGGGACTCACAACTATGTACCGCGGAGAGTTGGAAAAGTACATACGTAAAAGGGCACAGGGACAGGCACACGCAAACAACTTGTAAACATGTATATCTTTTATGACCACATAAAGCTGCTGCTACTACTGCATATTCCCTTTAAAATCTCGTTAAAAGGAATGCACTGTTACTCGAGTTATGGGCAGGTAGTTATCTTGCTCGAACTTTGTTTCCAACTTAGTGATACTGGTGTATCCTCATTTGTTTAAAAAGCGCTACTGCTATTACTACTACACGCCGTTGCTGAATGCCGCATTTAGGCATGCACGGTATCCGAGAGTAAATAATATACTAGCAATAACCCCGCCCCCAAATAGAACAAAGTCGTTGTCAACACCGTTAGTGGTGTCTCCACTGTAGTTGCCTAGCAACATATCTCCAGGCAACAATATTTAAGCTTTGTTACTATGATACGCAAGGTACCTTAAGAAACCCATTAACGAGCGACGCTGCTGCTGACAGCCACAATGGATTAGTTTCTCCTAGACTATGAGATGTTATGCATCACAAAGCGCATTCCAGCGCCAGAGTCCCAACACTTTGTACCTTTCTCAAAGTCCATTTGACCTAAGTGGCCTTCAAATTAGCCCCTTTCTGCCCAGAAAGGCGTTCTAATTGGTGTATACCGCGGAAACGAATAAAACCAGCTATGTTCAAATTCAGCATGTGATATGTGTATGCCTGGGTGTGTGGCGAAAATGAGATCCTCTACACTCCACACGCACTCATGTAGCTATCACAGATCATTAATGCAAATAAGAAACAGGTGCAACAACGACCATAGGGAAAAGAGCACCGCTACTAGCTGTCATCGCCAATGACCACCACTATGCTGCCTGCTGCTACAACTGCATCCAACCCTTGCTGGGTATTTTTCTTATTTGTTTCGGTCGAGCGTGAGTGCTGAATGTATGTTTATAGGAAGATGCACGACACTATCGGCACCAATCGGTCGCCAATCCAAAAAAAATCGCACTCGGTGGAGTAGCAGTCTTCATCAAGCACCTCTTATGGGAAGTTTTCTTTAAGAAGCTTCAAGGCCAACTTGACTCGGTGACAGAAGAGGAAAAAAAATATAAAAAAAATTCTTGTTGTGTGGGGACCCACTTTTTTTCTTCTTCACCTTTCCTCTCTCTCATCTACTTTTTTGCATCCCCAAAAAACCACATTTCCCAAATGGCTCTCAGACAGTTCACTTCGCGTGTTGTGCGTCCTTACGTCCCTGTGTTGCGCAAGTCCGCCACCTTTGCTGCTTTCCGCACCTATGCCAGTGAGTGTATATGATATCTCGATATCATCCCTTTTTGGCTTATTCTCTCTGTGCACGTGTGAGCGTTTACGAGTGTCTGACTGAGCGTGTGAGAAAAAGTAAGGAACGTATCTTCTAACCACGCTTTTTTTCGCTCAACTTGCATAGCCAAGAAGTACACTGATGACCACGAGTGGATTTCCATCGAAGGTGACGTTGGTACCATCGGTATCACTGATTATGCTCAAAAGGTATGTCTATTGCATAGGGTGGTTTCAAAAGTTGGAAGGTAAAAGAAAAAAGCTCATCCATGAATATTTGTTCTCACTTCCCCGCAGGCCTTGGGTGATGTTGTCTTCGTCGAAACTCCCGCTGTCGGCGATGCTGTTGAAAAGAAAGGTTTGTTTGTGATAAGGGAAATAAAGAGGGGAGAGAGTGGTGTGGCGACTAAAGAAAAAAAAAACATGTGGGAAACGCGTCAAATCTGATCCCATCAAAATTCCACAATGTAGATCAAATTGGTGCTGTTGAGTCCGTCAAAGCTGCCAGCGATATCTACACGCCTATCACTGGCGAGGTTGTCAATGTCAACGAGGCTTTGGCCGACGAACCCTCCTTGATCAACACCAGCCCTGAAGAAGATGGTAAGCTTGAGAAAGTTTGAAGACTTTTCTTATGGTAGAGATGGAATACTGAACGATACTTTGCGGAATAGGCTGGTTGGCCAAGATCAAGTTGTCGAACCCTGAAGAACTCGAGGGTCTCATGGACGAGAAAGCTTATGCTGATCTCTGTGCTGCTGAAGAAGACCACTAAGCTTGCTTATCATTTTTTATAAGTAAAACGGTATAAAGGAGTCGTCCTCATTATCTTTCAATTTTGTTCTTTTGTATAGTAGTAGTAGAGCGCCTCAACCCACTCTATTGTAATTATCCCCATCCTTCTTTTTTCTTTCTCTTTGTTTTACGTCCTACGCATCCATTATTTTTCGCTCTCCTTTCTTATTAAAGCATTTTATTTCTTCAACGGAAAAAATAAACATTCGACACGCGTCCTCTGTTGCCACAAACAGCAACTATTTACAAAGTGAACTTTTTTTTCTTACAAATCAGTCTAAAGAAGCAGGAGATTGGTTTACTGGAATATTGGCATTGATACATAATGATGCTACCTTACGGGCCATATTCTAAGCGATTATAGAGAACCCCGGTCGCTTCGATCTATATTTCGCATATATTTACTATTGCAAATTATATGCATGAAAGTATGTCTGTGAGAACATTTCTCTTTCTGTCGCTCCCCAATCAATGGATAGCCCGATAAGTTGACCTGACTCACTGCAAGCATCGTTAGCCTTTTCTATTTGCTATTTTTAACAAACGACAACGCTAACTCGTCGAGATATAAGAGCGCTCATGCAATACAGCAGAATTATAGCTTTGCGAACGTTCTAGTGCATAGCTCTCTGTAAACTATCAATTATAGCTGGTAGACAGTAGTATGTAGTGGTAGCCCTAAACATATAAAGAAGGAGACTGTAAAAGTGTTGAAAGCATCCATGCCATCAAATCCGACAGCTACAACTTCGGATCACGGATACCCGCTTAAATCCGGTCGACAGCAGTAAGCGTTGCTGAGTTAACGCAACGATGTAGCAATGAGCGTGTGTCCTCTCCCTTTTTTTTTTGTACCAACTCTTTTTTTTCTACCACCTGTTCGCCTGAAAACCGCGCTTACATGCGTTCATGAGTAATAAACGGCGATCTGCAGGCTCTGCCAGCTTACCTACCGAAACTGCTCGCTTAATTACGTTATCTATTTCTCCACCACCATCCGATGCATCGGAATTCATAACCCATGACAACCACCCATGCCAGCAGCAGCAGCAGCAGCAGCAACAGGGCGACCTGTATACCGAGGCATACAGAGCTGCATGTCTTGCTGTCAAACTCGATCGTCTTGGTAAAAGTAGCGAGGCACTTGATGCCTATAAACGACTTATCGAGGTTTGCACTTTTTTTATCATTCTCACCCACACGCATAAAGCTTATTGGTTTTGTGATTTTCTATAGGCACTAAAAAAATTGCAACAACGTAAGACCAACCTGCAGAAGCAGTAGCAACAAGTGGTTTATATTTTGCTGCACAAACAGCAATAAGGCAAGAAGCTGATATATCTGTATAATTATATAGTAAGAGACCATAGGGCAGAGCGTGGCCAATTGATACAGAAATTGAACGAATACGTGCATCGACGAGGACAACTCGAACGGTACAGTACCGGAGTCATGGCTCCAGCAGCTGCTCATCCCGATGCGAAAAAGCATCGTTTGTACGATGCGCCCGATACTGTGGATAATAGTTCAGACGAAGACGACGAAGACGACGATGAAGAAACAACAGAGATCCGTTGGCATTTGCAAAAAGCTCAAGTAAGTTTGCTGTTGTGTTCTTTTTTCTGCTACTTTACGCGATTTCGATCACGCAAAAAAAAAGAAGGGAGTGTTGCGGGGAACTATTGTCGAAGCCGGTATATCAAATTTGGCTAACATCTATATCTTTGCCGTATGGTTGGTAGTTTTCGCTGACCCAGGGCGAGCTTAATGATACCAAAAAGTATATAGAAGAGGCATTGGAATATTATTTAGATGCAGCAGATTGGTCCAAGAAAGCTTATGAAGGTAAACAAAAGATCATTCTATAAGAATGAAATCAAAGGAACAATTGTTAAGTTAATGCCGACCGGGCAGGGAATGATAGCCCTTGCATACGATCCGCGAAAACGCGCGTTGGCCCGAAATCTCTGTTTGCAAGCAGTGGACAAGGCTGAAGAAATGAAAGCTCAGACCATGCACCAGAAAAATCAGCTATTAGGTAGCCCTTTTTTATCGATAAATGATGATTGGAGGAAGCATCATAGAAGTGAATATATAATGAATGGCATGATCTCTCTTTGTGTAGCTGTCAAAAACGACAAGAACTATGCTACTACTGGCAATGGTCGACCAGTTATTGGTCGACATCGAGCATCATCTACTTCATCAACACGCTCAAATATTTCAATCCGCACGGTTGATGAAACGACGAACGGCAAATCGGACATCTATCCCGGTGACGATCTGATGACACAACGCTTATCAAGTGCTGAGCTTGAGGTGCTCAAATATACATCCAACGTCAACGACAATGTGTTTTTACCGTGGATAGACGATACGGATCTGAAAGAAAAGTTTTCATTTCCAACTCGTTTCATGTAAATGATTACTCTAATTTCAATGTTAATGACAGCATAAAACATAATACTAAAGGATATCTCTTAGTGATCCAGACGGATCTCTTCGTCTGTCAGAAAAGCAGATGGCAAAGTTCGGTGGATGGAAGCGACCCACCGAGTTCATGAAGAATCCGAAATTGATTCATCTCATATCTAGCACAAGTATCGTGCAAGATGTCGTTACGGATTGTTCCTTTGTAGCTTCTTTATGCGTCGCTGCTGCTTATGAACGAAAATTCAAAAAGCAGGTTAGTGAATTTGGTATTTTTTCTTATATGTGATAAAATATATCTACAAACGCTCTTTTCTATTTCTTCCAATTTCTTTACTCTAACAAGGATAAGAATAGCTTATCACAACATGTATATATCCCCAAGATGCACGAGGCCAACCGTGCTATAATCCCAATGGAAAATATGTCATCAAACTTGTACATAATGGCATTCAACGAAAGGTAATGAAACAACAGTCGTTTCAACAAAGAAGTTAGTGCTTACTATTTGTATTAATATTTATATCATTAGATTGGTAAGAGCTTTAACCAAGTTTAATGCAAGGATAAGCACAAACTCACCTGTTTTGCACATCAGTTGTGGACGATTTACTACCTGTTTCACGAGACGGTACATTGATGTGCACTTTCTCTACGCATAAAGAGGAGTTATGGGCAAGCATTATCGAAAAAGCTGTAAGTGTAATAGAATGATTTGAAACATATAATATATAATATGTACGCTCGATTATTATTGCTGCTGACAGTCCTAAAATATCTATTAAGTATATGAAATTGATGGGCGGATATGATTTCCCGGGATCGTAAGTGTACCTGATAGATGCTGTACTGCTTCCTCTTTTATTATCTATATTCTAATCATATTGACTTATGATTATAGGAATTCTGGAATTGATTTATAGCAAGTATTCATGATACGCTCAGCTTGCTTTTCGAGCCTCTAACTGACGGATGGTGTGTTATTATTATGTAATTACATAGTTCACTAACTGGATGGATCCCCGAACACATCTTCATATACGAGTAAGTTTTTCTCCTTTAGGGCTAAAGATTATTATGATTACTCATTTTGTCTCTTGATATATTTCTTTGATGTAGTAAACATTTCGTTGCTGATAAAGTATGGGACAGGATCTTGGAAGGCTCAAAATACGGCGATGTTCTTGTGACCATTGCAACGGGCGAGTTGACAGAAGTTGATGCTGATCGTTTGGGTCTGGTTCCCACTCACGCGTATGCTGTGATTGACATAAAAACGGTGCTGGGCAAGCGATTTATGCAAGTGAAGAACCCATGGAGTCACAAACGATGGCGAGGGCCGTATAGCCATATGGATACAGCAAACTGGACAATAGAGCTAAAGAACGCATTGAATTATGATCCATACGTGGCAGAGCAGAACGACGATGGTATATTCTGGATTGATTTCGAGTCTGTCTGTAGCCACTTTACATCAATTCATCTCAACTGGAACCCGGAGCCGTTTACACATCGTTGGGTCTTGCATACGTAAGTTTGGTCTTATCTTATTACATATGAGATGTTTTTTTCGCTTCTATTTACCCTTTACCCACGCATAAATTATAATTTGATAGCATCTGGCCGGAGCACGTTGGCCCAAAAAAGGATGTGTACAATTTGGGATACAATCCACAGTTCAGTCTTCAAGTTACTGTGCCGGATAAAAAACCTGCAGCTGTATGGCTACTGCTGTCAAAGCATGTGATGATTACTGAAGAGAATACCGACTACATTACCCTCCACGTTTACAGCAACACGAGCGGCCAAAGAATATATTATCCTGGAGATCCTTTTAAAGAGGTATAAGACACAGATAAATCATAAATCACAAAGGGAGGGATGAACGGGAAATACAGACGCACATATATAAGAAGAGTTAACAAGTAATTACACAAACTGCAGGGAACCTATGTCAATAGTCCACACATCTTGGTAAGAACAACTTTTGAAGATAGAAAGAGTTAGGAGAATTTATAAACTCTCCCCTCTTTTGTGTTTTAACAGGTTCGATTCAATGCTCCGCCTGGTACAAGCGACTATACCATCGTAGCGTCTCAGCACGAAAAAGCCCAATCCTTGTACTTCTCGTTGCGTGCATGGTCACTTGCACCCTTTAAACTTACCGAAGTACCGTTACGATACTCTATTGAACAAAAGGTGATAATGAGACACAAAAAGTAAACACAGAGAAATATTAACCGATGTTCAATTTAAGATTATTGGGCAATGGACTGAACAAACAGCAGGGGGTAATGCTTCCAAAGCTTCGTATCTCAACAATCCACAGTGGAAGATCCAAGTACCGCCGCCCAGTCCAGGAGATAATAAGAATGATGCTGGCCTACTGCTTATGCTAGAGGCTCCCAAATCTTATGCTGTGCACTTGATGCTCGTGGAAGGTGGAAAACGAGCTTCTAGGTATTATATCTTTGTTGGTTGTCGCTTTTTCTATATCATGCTCTTAGCGAAGAAAAAATGCTAAACTGCCATACTATTCAGTGTTTCGATGAGGGATATTCTAGCAGAATCTGGACCTTATCGTCATGGCTTTTGTTATTGTGAACTGCCGCATATTACCCGTATGTGATATATATCTATATCGGAACATATGCATATGTGTACATGTTGTCCATGTTGTTATTAACACAAGTATTTTACCCCAATGTAGCTGGCAGTTATACTATAGTTGCTTCTACATTTGAGCCAGATCTACTTGGTCAGTTCATTCTCACTGTTGCAAGTAACGTCAAGGTTCATGCCGATCCTATTCCATCCGAAGGCGCGGTAAAGTCCCCTTTTCTTTTGTCACTTGCTGTATTCAGGCTGTGTCTAGTAAAACAAAAAAACAACTTACAAATCACTTTCAGGGTATGTTCCGTAAAGTACTTCATGGAGAATGGGTGCGGGGCTACAATGCCATGGGTTGCCCTAGTTACGGCCACTATGGCAACAATCCTCGGTATCTTTTAGAGATCCGAGAATTGACCACGGTCAAAGTCAGACTACAAGCAGATAGAATTAATCCTATACCGTCCACCAACGTTACCATCTATGAAAAACATCCGACTGAATTGTTTGGTCGTGAAGTTGCGACATCGGGTCCATATACAAATGTCATCCAAGTAAGTAAAATGTTATATAAACAAACTTTCTCCCTTTTCTTTCTTTCTGGTAAAAACACCCATTTCTAATGTTTTACTCTTCCTACTATGTCATTATTTATTGTTTCCTCAATTTGCTTTAGGGCGTCGCAACAAATGATGTCGTTTTGAGCCAGAACCAAACAGGATATATCATTGTACTTGCAACGCATGAAAAAGACATTGCTGGCGAGTTTACTGTGACGTTATACAGTGATCGACCTGTCAATGTTCGTAATGATCGATAGTTCATGTTTCCTACTTGCATACATAGTGTTCGACCGAGCCTGATCATATGCCAACCTCTCCACATTTACACATGCACACTTCTTCCTTTCCAACTCGCTCCTTCTTGTTCCTCTTCTTCCCTTCGTACATCATGCATAATAAAACTGCGCTGTTTTTATAAAATGAATGATATGTGGTAACTTTATTGTTGTTGCTTCGATGCAGTTTATTTAATGAAAACCTTTCTTCTTCTTGCTTGCACTTGACCGAGGGCCTGTTGACCAAAGACGAACACGACAGGGAGTAAAAGAGCAAGGTAGCTGAGGGTTTCGAAGATATTGAGACGCATCCAGTAGAGGTAGAACAGGTATTCGACAGCGACAAGCGATCCCAGGAACCCAATAATCGAAATAGGTCGCATGCTAGGTCCCGAAGCGAGTTCTCCCAAGACTTTGACAGGCGTGACACCCAGACCGAGCCACTACACACACACCATATGAAAATAAGTTTTTCTTTTCTTTCATTCCGCGGTCAAGACAGTATGCAAGTTTCCTTACCCCAATAACGAGCACGAGCCAAGGTGAAAGCGCGATCAGTGTGAAAAGTTGAGAGAACCATGTGGGCGGCATTGCTTCGGCTTCTCTAAATACGTGGTGAATTTCGGGTCGCCATTCAAACACATCTTCATCGCCTGCAGCGTATGCACCTAGTGCAGTTAATGACAAGGCTATCAATGTGGTGATCATTGTCTCGTGTGTATCTTTTAAAAGAGAAATGGAAGATTAGTGAAATGCCCGCGCTCTCTCTCTCTCTCGCTGCGTTTGCTGGGTTTCATTGGTTGATTATAGCTTGGCGTGCAACACTTGCGTTTATTTGAGAGGGAAAAAGACAGAGATACAATATATACACGTACACAATACATTATGCTTGGATTATGCTTTACTTTACAGGGGAACAATATGACAGCCAAGGGTCCCTCGTCCAGACCATTTCTTTGGTGTGAGTGTAAGGTCAATGGACTGACTGTCTCGTAATACTAGGACACTGATTGCCTTGTTTTCACTCTGGCCGACGAGTCGATTTAGGGCCTGTAATCGGTCGTGGTTTTCTGCATGAACGTGACCAAACTTGACAACTTTATCGTTTCTTTGTAAGCCACTAGCATCTGCTGGCGAGTCTGGCGCAACTGCATTCACACGTGCGAACGGCGTTGTGGGCTGTGCTGATACATGAGAAGAAGAGGAACCTTGCTGTTCCTGTTGTTGTGTTGGTGGCGTTGTCTTTCGTTCTTGATCCACTTTGCGTGAAGCCTCATGGACAGCATGCAGCACTTGCTCAATTTCTTTCATAGCATCCTTATGGTCGTTACGCAATCGATGAACCAAATTGCGCGATGTGCGTGCTGCTGCCACGTCAACGTCCGATCGCGGGAAACCAGATCGGTCAATGAGGGGTTGGTCCATGCCGACGCCTTGAATTCGTAAACCTTCTTCAAGTTCACGTAACTGAGCTTCGATTTCGTCCTTTTTAGCTACAAGTGCCTGAGCTTCTTTGACCAGAGACGAAACACGATCATTGTCTTGCTGTTGGCGAACTGGTAGGCCCATTGTTGCTGTTGTATGATGCGCAGTTATTGGTAATCTATGTTGGAAGGATAAAAAAGAAGAGTCGTCGTCCGTCTTTGTCGTGTTCAATTTCAGCGACCGCAGCAGCAGTGGGTAGTCGGGTAAAAAGTGCATACAGCACACTAAATCATAACATAGTACGGACTACAACGCAACGCGTACAGCAATGATAGCTCTCATAGACACACTCGGGACATTTTGTGGATCAGCAAAAGACGTTCATTGAACGACGACCAATTTGTTTACTAGCATGTATGTGTATTGCACCATATGTGTATAGAGAGAGACGACAATACCGGTTCACTTTTGATCCTGCCCACGACTATCGGGAATATATCATTGGGAGAACATTGCGTCTATCTGCCTGGGGTAAAGGGAATTGCTCTATATATAAAAGCAACACACATTTCGGACCTTGCTCATCCAGCTTCTTCTTCTAATTTTCTAATAAATATTCCCTTGCATTCTTTAAATAACAACACTACACAACACAAAAAGATAACATGAAATTTGCATCTATCCTCGCTGTTTCTGCAGCAATGACCTCCGCTGCTCTTGCCGGTAATTAATTATCATCACCATTATCTGCATAGTTGTCTGATAACAATCTATTCATTCGGTGAGCTGCTTTATTCATCTAGCCGATTGGGAAGGCGGTCACAAAGGTGGCGAGTGGGACGGTGGCAAAGGCGCTGGTGAATGGGAAGGCGGCAAAGGCGGCTGGAAAGGCAAGGATGACAATGACTGGGAAGGCGGCAAAGGCGGCTGGAAAGGCAAGGATGACGATGACTGGGAAGGCAGCAAAGGTGGCTGGAAAGGCAAGGGCGACGATGACTGGGAAGGCGGCAAAGGTGGCTGGAAAGGCAAGGGCGACGATGACTGGGAAGGCAGCAAAGGTGGCTGGAAAGGCAAGGGCGACGATGACTGGGAAGGCAGCAAAGGTGGCTGGAAAGACAAGGGCGGCGACTGGGACGATGACAAGGACTGGAAGAAGAAGGACGACGGTTGGCACGGCAATATTGAAAAGATCCGTCCCGCAATCAATGCTGGTCTTCCCTTTATTTCTGCTGAAAACATTGCGGTCACCAATAAGCCTCCTGTCGTTGTAGTTACCACCGTTACTACTACTCACACAAAGCCTATCTTCCCCACTGAGGTAAAGGAGCCGCTTGCTTTTTATATTTTTCTCACTTTACAAGGCAGCTATGCAGAGCTTACTAAACATGACAATTACATTAGGGCTTGGTTATTCCTCACCGCTACAAACCCGAAGGCGACTGGGGCCATGATGATGGTGACTGGGGCCACGGTGGTAAGGGTGACTGGAAGAGTGGCCGCGGTAAGGGCGGCTGGGGCAAGGACGATGACGACTGGGAAGGCGGTCACGGCGGCAAAGGTGGCTGGAAGGGCGGCCGCAAGGGCGGCAAGGGCGGCAAGGGCAAGTACGGCGGCGGCAAGAAGGGTGGCGATTGGGACGACGAGGACGACGAAGACTGGAAGAGCGGCGGCAAGAAGGGCGGCAAAGGTGGCGACTGGGACGACGAAGACGATGATGACTGGAAGGACAAGAAGGGCTTCCACGCCGCATCCGCTTCCTCTGCTGCCGCTGATGAAGACATGTTGGAAGCTGCCTCTGCTGCCTCTGTACCAACTGCCGCACCCTCTGCTTCTGGCTCTGCTGCTGGAACCGCCGCTGGCACTGGTGCTTCTACTGGATCTGCTGGACCAAGCAGCCGTGTCGCTCAAGCTTCTGCTACAACCAGCTCAAGAGCCTCTGGCAGCAGATCTTCTTCGGGTGCTTCGTCCACTGGCACACACTCGTCGGCTGCTAGCTCCAATTTCCGTATTGCTGGCTCTGCCGTAGCTGGTTTAGCTGGTGTTGCTGCTTGGTTACTCTTCTAAATCAACCTATACAACGTTCCTATACGGCGAGTTGATCTCAGAACGCCCACAATAACTTCAGCAATCACACACACACGCACCACAACAATAACAATCCACACAACACAAACAGTAACAACAACAACGACTTAAAACAGCAAACGCATGCCGTGACATGCACACACACATCCTTTCTCCCCTTCCCGTCTTGCCAAAATTTCAACATACGTCTAAGCACACATTACTACTACGTCCTCACAGCATATATTTCTTTGTTTCGTTTTCTTTTTCTGTTCGATCCCACCCCCCAGTCCACACTCCTTCCGTTATTCTAGAGACAACTGTGTTGTTTCGTTGCCGGGATCTTGTTCGTTCTTTCCATTAGTATTGTTTTGTCCCAAAATTTCCACGTAATAGAAAATATCATAATCTCTATACACTTATAATCTAATAAAATGATACCTTGTCTAGTTCAAACAAGCAACTAAATAACAGCCGCTATCATCATCTCCTTAAAGTTCTTTGTTTTTGGTGATGACATATAGCGTTTATCTGGTATTTTTATTATGGGGAGGAACTGGCTGACGGAGTAAAGTCATGGGTAGCTCCATAATCTTCTTGTGTGCTGTTACTATAATCATGAGGAGTATCATCTCCAAGTTTGAGACTTGCTGTATCGCTTACAGGGGCTGAAAAGAATCGTCGCTGATGATGATCGTTGGCAGGTGCAGCAGTAGTGCTTGCAGGTGTATGGTATGACTTGCGTAAAGCTGAATAGACCCGTAGCTGATTTCGGATCTGGCCTATGGCACCTTCCCAGTTAAGTCTTGAATAACTTGTCAATGGCGTCGCATCCTCGTTGTAGCGACGCTCAATTTCGCAAAAATCGGGTATTAACCGTATGATGACGCCCACAGGAAGTGATAATGCACCAATACCAACGGTGATAAGCCATTGCTCTGCAGTCAGCGAAACTGTACTAAATGCAAGTCCACCAAATGTGACAATTATCACCTGGCACACAACGACAGCGGCCTGCACTGCAACAAATATCCAATCGTGCGTTATATTCTTAAACACGTTTAAGCTACCATCGATCCGCCGACAGTTGATCTCGTTGAAGACTTGGAGAAACACAAAGATATTGAACACCATTGTCCGTAACACCGCTTCATCCGAAATGCCGAATATCTGGGGGCCAGCATAGACAGCTACCAAGTTGACAGCGATTTGGAATACGGCTTGACCAAGGATCATTTTTACCATTCGATAGTTGATCAGGTGTGCAAACTTGGATGCCGGCTTCCTGTCCAATAAATCGGATGTAGGTCGCTCGGTCGCGAGTGCGAGTGCTGCCAAGGTATCCATGATCAAATTGACCCAAAGAAGCTGAACTGCAGAGAGCACACTTTCCGCCTTGTTAGATGTCACTGCGCTAACGAACGAAATCACTACAGCAGCCACGTTGACAGTGAGTTGGAAAGTTAAGAATTTGCGTACACCGTCGTTAACCGTTCGGCCCCATAACAATGCTTTGAGGATCGAATTGAAATTGTCATCCATAAGCACAATATCCGATGCTTCTTTGGCGACTTCGGTTCCGGTGACACCCATACTGAATCCAACATCTGCGAGTCGAAGTGCTGGTCCATCATTGGTGCCGTCTCCAGTCATGCCGACGACTTGATCCAGTTCTTGCAAACGGACAACCACAGTGGTTTTGTCTGTTGGCGAGGATCGCGCCAACACTTGCATCCGCCGTACCCGTTGTCTTTGCTCCTCGGGCGACATCTCACGTAGCTCGGATGCGCTTAAAACAATACCACCCTTAGTAAGGATACCCGCGTTGCGTGCAATGGCAGTGGCCGTCTTGATATTGTCACCAGTAACCATGCGAACAAACACACCTGCACGCCGAAAGGCTGCGACAGATTCTACCACGCCTGGACGGAGTGGATCTTCAATGGCAACAGCACCAATCATCACGAGATTCTCCAGTGGAAAATCGTCCTCGTCCCTTAAGGCACTGTATTCGTCTTGTTCCATGTCGATATAAGCAAGCGCGAGCGTTCGAAGTGCTTCGCTTGCATCCTTGTCAATCACCCGTTCCCACTGCTGCCTTGCTTCCGTATCCATTTCGCACGTTTCGCCTTTGGCATCAATATAATGTGTGCAAGATCTAAGCACTATTTCAGATGCACCTTTTGTGTATGCGCGATACGTGCTGCCTAGCTGGATAATAGTGGTCATGGTCTTCTTTTTGGATGCAAACGGATACAGCTTGGCAATTTGTGCGTGTCGACGGATAGTCACATAGTCGCCACCGAGTTTGTTAGCCAAGACAAGCAAAGCAATTTCCGTTTTGGATCCCAAAAATTGCTTTTTACCGTCGTCGTTAGTCGCTACATCTTCATAAGCTGTCGAGTTGACTGCAGCGCCTTCTACCACGAGCTGTATGATTTTTCCATCCACGCGTTGAGCCCAATCTTGAATAGCCGACGCTTCTGTGAATTGCTCCATCCCCAGCGTTCCTTTAACCACTGTCATTTGGTTCTGCGTCAGCGTCCCCGTTTTATCCGTGCAGATTGTTGTCGAGTTTCCCATGGTTTCGCACGCAGCTAGAACGCGCACCAGGTTATTGTCTTTGAGCATCTGCGTCGTAGCAAAAGCAAGAGCCATAGTAACGGCCATAGGAAGGCCTTCAGGCACAGCAACGACGATAATGGTGATTGTCTGGATCACAATGTTGACGACGGTGGAAGCGATTTCTGTACCGCTCGGATGGTCGGCCGTGACATAATACTTGATCGTCAGTGTCACTAGCATGGTCAAAGAAGCAACAATGCCGAATTTGGCTATTTGTTCTGCAAGCACATCGAGTTTGAGTTGCAAGGGTGTGTTTTCTTGTCGCTGACTTGTATTGGGATCATGCCGGAGCGCCATCATCGTCTTGCCATAGTACGAGTTGGTACCCACCGCAATCACCAATACACGACCGACACCTTCTAAAACTTTGGATCCGGAAAGAATAAAACTGTCGCTATTGTCATCATCGATGTTGTTATTGGCCGTATTATCTTTGGAGCACGTGCAGCCAGCTGGATGTTTCTTGACAGCTTCAGATTCGCCAGTGGCTGACGATTCATCACACACCAAATTGTAGCCAGTGACATACAATCCATCGGCGAGTACCACGTCGCCAGGTTCGATGATAAGGATATCACCCACAACCAAATCATGTGCGTTGATGCGTTGTTCGCGTCCCATCCGTAGTACTGTCACTCTTTTGTCTTCTTTTTTCGCGTTCAGCTTTCGAAATTGTCGTTCTTTTTGATAATCGTTGATAGCGTTGGTCAAAGTGACTGCAAGCACTGCAACTAAAATTGCCGTGCCTTCTACCCTATACCACATTTGTATCAAGCAACATCAAAGGTGTTATTATTAGCGTTTACTTCCTTATTTCTTGTGTATGCCTACAGGTAAGAACAGTGGGGTGTTTTTATACCATCCTATTCGTGGTTGACCTGGTGGATGTTCAGCTGAATAATCCTTTCCGATTCCGATACCAAGGGATACGATCGCCGCCACTGTCAGCATGACTATAAGCGTGCACATTAGTCATACCAAAACAAAGAGTAGATACTGTTTATGGTGGTGTAAAAGACATACTGATGGTTTTATCATTATAAGCTGCAACTATGAGTCTCCAAAAACTCTTGGATTTGGCTTTGGGTAAATCATTGTACCCGAAAACGCTTTGTCGTGCTTGATATAGATCGTCAGAGATACCGTTCGATGTGTCTACATGCAGTGCACTAGCAATAGCATCGATACCACCGAGTTTTCTTAATAATGCCGGGTTTTTTGGATCGACAAGCTCCATTAATTTTCTGGGCGAGATACTGAACAAGCTATTGGAGCCTAGCAACGGCCTTCGCTCCTCCTCGTCATCAAGCATAACTGGCTGGGTGATGGTATGTATAGAAAGACACTAGAAGGTTTGATTTAAACAAAGAAGTTGTGTGCGAGAAGAAGAGGGAAATGAAAGTAAGAAGCGGGCTGCCGTGAATGAATTGCTTGTTGGTGGAAAATTTCGCCAATCATGCAAAAATTACGCGCTTCGGTTTCAAGTTTCAAACAATAAAAAAAGGAATCTGCTCATCCTACTCTGTCCATATCCATCCTTTTTGAAGATGCTGCTTATGACTTAATAATATATAACTAAAGTCATCCAGAGTGATCTATTGAGCTAATACGATATATCAGTACGGTATGTCAAATGTTGTTTAAGCTGTCAACAAGGTAATAATCAATGTGTATCCATGATGCCATAATAACAACTGATTTAGTCAAATTTTTTGTTTACACTATCAGTGCTTTAGCGCTAGCGCTAGTAATCCGATTATTACAGCAGTAATGCACACTTTTGCTTCCGAATCAGTCGATTTCTCTTCTCATATATTATGTTATGCATTGACGGCGTACAGGTTATAAGCAGGCAAGCGGAAAAGTTACACAATAGCCGTGCTTTTCTTTTTCCCCAGTTGTGTCAGCCTTCACGAACTTAAATGAAAAACTACTTGATTGCTGCTGTCGTCATTGCCTTACTAGCGAATCAAGCTCGTAAGTCAGAAGGGACATTGGAATGCCCGCGCCAGAAACATAAAGCTAACGACGAACTGTTACTGTTACTACACGCTTAGGCCACTTGGTGGAACTTGGCGGCATATTTCAAACTATACACCCTTTGAATACCGAACAGTGTCACACTATTGAAGGCAAGTATAGTATGAAGGTCGTTAATGTTGTGATTAAGAAAATACTAAAAGAGTAAATTATTTGGCAGGCCCAGAAGATTTTCGTAATTGTGAAGACATTGTCATGTCGCCTCATGAAGCCGGTATAGCTTATACAGCATGCGATCCTGCGCGTGATCACAAAAACATGGTTATGGACGTTCATCGACCTGTGCCCCATCCAGAGCCTGGCGATATCTGGCGAGTTGATTATGTTCAGGTAGTAGTTCAGAAAAAGGCATATGCGCTGAAATACTGACATAGGATACGCATTTGTTGCAGGGGACAGCCACACGATTCGCGACGTTGGGTGATGACGACTTCCATCCTCTCGGCTTGGCTATTGTGGACGCATCCTTGATGATGGTTATCAATCTGCGCCATCACGCCCATGCCGCTATTGAACTCTTTAGCCTCCAAGATGCCAAACACATCCGTACACTTGAGCATCCTCAGATCTATACGCCAAACAGTATTCACATCCTTGATGGGCGTTCGGCTGCTGATGGCACGCCATCTTTCTTTTTCAGCAACGATCATTACTTTCGTACGGGCATCATGAAAAAGATCGAAAACTATGCCAGCTTACCGCTTGCGAATATCATGTTCTACGATGCACCCACACACACTGTATATCCTGTCGCCCAAGGCCTCTCATTTGCAAACGGATTAGCTGGTGATCACAAAAGTGTGCTATTTGCTGCAGAGACCTATCGTATGACCGTCAAACGATTCGAGATTGTCGTCGATGAAACCCAGGTGCGTTTGCAACAGACTGACCACATCAAAGTCCCTTCCATGGTCGTCGATAACACCCATTATGATGAAAAGACGGGCAATGTTCTTGTTGCTGGTCATCCCGTTGGCCTTGATCTTTTGAAATTTGCTCGTAATGTGGACGCCAGCAAAACAAAACGGCCACCTTCCCGCGTCGTAGCATGGCATCCCCACACAAAGCAAGTAGACGATGTGTTTGTGGATGACGGTACGCTGTATCCCACATCGTCGACTGCATTCATTGACCATGACGCTCAAAAACTGGTGATATCAGGACTCTACGCACGAGGTATACTTGTCTGCGATCATCAACAGCAATAGAACCCTTTTTCCTCTTTTTTGCTTATTTGCTCTCTGTAAGCATAGGAAACCCTCTAGCGAAAAGAAAAAGAAAAATGCTCATATATGCGATGATTGTATATGATTTTGCGAGAGTGTGTGAGTGCATGAGGGGTAGAAGTGTCTTCATGGTTATTCTTGTCTACAAGCTTGAGTGTGTGTTTATGTGTGTGTGATAATGTGTGTATATATGTGGTATCCTTGATTACAATTCACAAATTGATTATTATGAAATACGCTCAGGAACAAACATTTGAAAGCAAGAGAAAAATTTAAAGTTGCAAAGTTTTTTTTTTTTTCTATAGAAACATAAAAGACAAAAATCAGTATATTACATTCATGCTTGCAATGTCACGCTTCTCCCGAAATATTACGCAAAGGAACCAACACACACCTTTAATGTAAATTTCCTTCGATCCTCCATAGGGTACACATGCTAAACTACCATCTTACACTAAAAAGGACAGCAGTTAGTGTCTGTCTACCATTGACCTATTAACGTAGTCAGAGCTTTTATCGTGATATATATACTTACTGGCATATTTTCTGGTCCAATCTCTCGCCATAGATTCGTAGCGTGGACGATCAGTCTTGTAGATGTGAGCCAGCTCGGGAACGAGCGGATCATCAGGGTTAGGGTCGGTGAGCAATGAGCACACGGAGAGCAGAACTGTAAATACACGCCACTGTTGAGTCAACACTGGTACATCCTTGTCAAAAAGTATAAAAAGCCCGCTGGGAACTCACCCTTGGAAATAGTCAATGCAGGTGACCACTGATCTTTGAGAATATCCAAGCAAATGCTTCCGTTGCCGTTAATATTAGGATGATAAATTTTGGTGGTGAAGTTGATCTGACACAGACAAAGATATCACAGTGTGAGTATTTGGTCTTCTTTCCCAATTCTCTCTTTACAATCTTTTTTTACCTTTGGGGGTTTGAAAGGATAGTCCGTTGGGAAGTGAATGGACAAGAAGAAGACGCCACCTTGGTATGGGCTGTCCTCCTGGACATAAGGGATGATCAGTATCATATGTACAAGATACACACACGCACACACAGCAGCAAGAAGCATGAATAGAGAAACTTACTGGACCCATGATAGTAGCTTGCCAGTGGAAAAGATCATCACCAATGGGACCTGCAGAGCAGGATGAGGGAGGATCACGTTCGAGATCTTTCAATTCCTATTGTAAGAAAAACCAAACGGCTTTTGAGTTAATCTTTTTCCAATTCAAGAAGGTTTCTGAAGTCTCATTCTCCCCATCGGAGAACAATCCGAGAACAGGTAAATGTCCCTCCTCCTCACTCTCTCTCTTTCTCTTTCTCTTTCATAATGAACAGAATCTTTTTTTCACCGAATAAAAAGCATCCACTCTTCTGTGTCGTCCCCCTTTTCTGGCAATAAGACACTTTTTACTGTTTTTTTCCTTCCAATGATTGCAAGGGGGAACGAAATAATCGCCAAGCTGGGTAATCCAGATGGTATAGAACAATTGAAAGAAAAGAGGAAGCAGTATAGAAGGAGTGGTACATACCTTGTTGATACGCTTCAAAGCCATAACTTGATGTGTTCTTTTTTTTAAAAGAAAATGTCAAGAAGAAAAAGAGAAAAAACCGGTTGGGTGCTTTCCTCCTCCCCTTTGCTCAAATCACCCCCTTCCGGCAGCGGGCCTGGGGGATATTTCGCCCAGCTTGGCCAATAATATTGCGGATAGTATAAGCCAAACCAATAAATGCTCAGCGTTTCTCGTATATAGAGTATACAGTAGTATGATGTGTATTACATGTTTGTGAAATCTACCAATAATTAAATGCCATTACCACTTCTTCTGAAAGATTCCAAGCAGGTTTCTTTATAAGCTCAAGCATTTCTCTCTAGAAGCAAAATAGAAAATCTACTGAAGACAATCACGGGAAAAAGCATATCCTTGCCGAAACAGCTGTATTATCAATCACCAGGTATCCATCGACAATTGATGCTACTGCCATAACAGCTTTCCATGAGGTTCGTCAGAGCTCGGCATGCGCAGCTTTTAACACCTTTTCTCCTTTCTCGTCTGGTGCCTCGTTGTTGTTGCCACGCACGCGGCGCTCACGTGAGCTCTTTCTGGGTACAACAGCAGCACATGAAACTAGTCATATGATCATAAGAAAAAAGCCCTTGACAGTTACAATGTTGTTCATATAGCAGAAGCATTTTTTAAAGATGAGGATATAGCTGCCCTTTAATTGTGATATGATTGCTTGCAGAATACAGAGGGAGTAATTCAAAATGTACACTTGATTGCCAGACCAATCGCCTTGGCATCACCATCATCTTCTAGTGACAGTAGTGGGTTAAGCGAATATTGCGGCATAAATACACGACGAAAAAGACGACCGGCATTTCCAGTGCTCTTGTGCCGTAACTTATTCGACATGAAGACGATGCTACCAGCAGGCACTCTCACCACGAAAGGATCTGCTGCTGGATTCTTCAGATCAGACACCATGATTGTACCGTTGACCTGACTCTTCGTTAATACAGTTGAATATAACTGGTTGTACAGGTCAATTGAGATTAAAACAGAACTCACTTCATCAACTGGATCAAGTGCGATCCAACATGCCACTGTTGAATGACTTTGCAACCGTGGATCCAGATACTCCGAGTCCTTGTAAGTTGTTTAATACGATATCAGGTGTTCATACGCATTACAACTTATATTCATACTGACAAGAGAAAATACCTGATGCCATGCAAATTCTGAAGCACCAGCTGAATGAGGCGGTTTTACAATAAATTGCTCGTTCATAAGGAAGACTTGCTCGGGATTGCCAAGCAACACTGCTGCCCACCTGGCAACCGTTTCCAGGACGATGGAGGACACCGCACTGTTCTCCAAAACCGAATTACGTCGTGCTATGTATGCGTGTTTGTCCGTTTTGTACTCATCCGACTCGGCGGGATCCAGATACCCGCATGTCAAAGGCTCTATTAACTCAATCCATTTTTCAGTACTCTCTGTTCAACGCATATTTTCCTGCCGATCCCACACCGCCTGACCTATGATACACCCAAGCACAGCTGTCAAATCATAGCCTTCGTTTAGTATAAAGTTTGTCAGCGTATCCGCTTCCTCATGCAAAAGTTCGACCTTCTCTGTTGATAAAGCTAGCATTCTTTTATGAGTACAGAAGGCTTCAAATGGCAGAACCAGAAAGCAGAATGCTTGTTCTCTCCACGTTTACCATGTCGGATAATTGTATAGCCACTATCACGAAACTGTTGGATATTCTGTGGAGAAAGTTGTTTCATTATTTAAGCAGCACTCTTGTCATGGTGCGTTTCGTTTGCAAGAAAGTAGTTGAATGCGAGTCTTTTCTATAAGTCGCGCGCAAATCAGCGGAATGGTTGACAAGTTCGGGCGCGCGAGTTCACCGGGTCAAATAGGCGGACAGAACCGGGTTTAAGTGTGCGATATACTTCTTTTGGTAGTTTAGTGAAAAAAAAGCCTCCCATGCTATGACACCGAGTGTGTCAAAAAACTTTTTTTTTTCAAATAATAAAATCTATCACCGCCGACTTACCGGTTCTTGTTTTTTCCCCCACTTCTTTTTTTTTTATTTTCAACTCATAATTTCAGCAATGGCTGGTGAAAAGGGAAAGGTTTTGCTCGCATACTCTGGTGGTCTCGACACCTCATGTATTTTGGCCTGGCTCATTGAGGAAGGCTATGAAGTTATGGCTTACGTTGCTGATGTCGGTCAGGAAGAAGACTTTGAGGCTATTCGCGCCAAGGCTTTGGAGGTTGGCGCTTCTAAGGTTTTCGTCGAGGCAAGTTTCATAGCATCCCGCTATTTTTAGCTTTTGACGACGATCCACTGCTTCGGATCAGTCTTTGGTTATATGTGAATCTGTGGAGTGAAGTGTTAAAGAGGTAGTGCTCGATGGCCTAACTGTGTGCACATGTTTTTTGATTTTTTTTAAATAAAACAGGACTTGAAGGAAGAATTTGTCAAGGAGTTGATCTTCCCTGCTATCCAAGCTAACGCTATCTACGAATCCATCTACTTGTTGGGTACCTCTTTGGCTCGTCCCGTTATTGCTCGTCGCCAAATTGAAATCGCTGCTAGCGAGGGCTGCCAGTTCGTCTCTCACGGCTGCACTGGCAAGGGTAACGATCAGGTCCGTTTCGAACTCGCTTACTACGCTTTGAACCCCGAGATCGAAGTCATCGCTCCCTGGAGATTGCCTGGTAATGTTTCTTTTGCTTTCGTCGCTGGAAGATGTGAGGGAGGGAAGGATCGACATTTTTCTTTCTTTATAATTTGAGAACTCATCAGATATTGCGCGTGCGGGGATGATGTCTAGTCTTCTTCAACCGCTTCGCTGGCCGTAAGGATCTTTTGGCCTTCGCTGCTGAAAAGGGCATTCCCGTCGTTCAGACTGCCGCCAAGCCCTGGTCGACCGATGAAAACTTGTTCCACATCTCATACGAAGCTGGTATTCTTGAAGACCCCAACGTCACCCCTCCCAAGGACATGTGGAAGCTTACCGTTGACCCCGAGGATGCTCCCAACACTCCCGAGCGTATCACCATCACCTTCGAGAAGGGTATTCCTGTCAAGGTTGTCAACCACAACGATGGCACCGAAGTCACCGAGGCCGTTGAACTGTTCACTTACTTGAACACTGTTGCCCGCCGCAACGGTATTGGCCGTATCGACATTGTTGAGTCGCGTTTCATTGGCGTCAAGTCGCGTGGCTGCTACGAAACTCCCGGTGGTACCATCTTGCGCAATGCCCACAAAGACTTGGAAGGCTTGACCCTGGATGGTGCCTTGCGTGCCCAGCGTGATCAGAACATCACCGGTCCTTACTCGCGTTGCTTGTACAACGGTCTATACTTCTCGCCTGAGTGCGAGTTCGTGAACAACTCGATCGCTTTCACTCAGCGCAACGTTACTGGTGATGTCAAGCTCAAGCTTTACAAGGGCAACACTGTCATCGAGGGCCGTGTTGCTCGTGGTGATGGCGCCAAGCTTTACAACATGCAGGAATCCTCCATGGATGAACAGGGCGGCTACAACCCTGAGGATGCCGACGGCTTCATCAAGATCCACTCCATCCGTCTCAAGAAGTGGACTCGCGCCACCAACTAAATATCGTATTTTTCATAAACACCTCCCATCCCACCATTGTATAAAAAACACAATCCGTACATAAAAAAGGCTAGTTAGAATGTTTTTTTGTAAAAAAAATTGAGTATTTTTGGAACATTCTTATACTTTTTTTATGTCTAATTACGTGCTTTGCACAGTGAGAAATCGAAGGATGACACCGTCGGTATAAGGAGGAGTACGCTATGTGGATTCGAGGCTGTTACCCTTTTTATCGAAAAGCTACATTATTAGTGGTCATTTTAATGATAAGATCAACGCGAATCCATCCAACTCCTTTATAAGAAGTTACCAATATCGGTTCTTGCATTGTATACATGTTGACATATATTGTCAACATCTAGGTTGTGGCCTGATGAAGCTTCATGGAAATCAGTAATAATCTTTGCAAAAAGAAAATGTATCGAGATTACTTCATGGAGCGTTATATGTTTCAGCACATATATGCCAGATCAAAAAAATGAGTGGCAAAATGAGTACGAAATCCGAAACTTTGTTGTATAGGCAAGCATCCACCCCCTTGAAACTCATATATCATCCAGGTATATAGGCTATAAAGAATACGTTAAATACATCGATGGGATATCTGGGGATGGGCAACTCACCAATAGCAGGAAGAAGTAAATGGAACAAAACTAAACTGGGATTATGTTTGAGACGTATGTGCAAATCAACACTTTTTGCCTTTGCATAATTCACCAAAGGTCACTGAGGCTCAAGGTAATAGCAAGTTTTCGTGTTCAATAGGATTGACCGAGTGCGTATTCTGAGCAATTTGCGTGAACTGAAGCGAGAGAAATCCGGCTGAGGTTGGGAAAGTTACCAGAAATCTCTAGTAGCTTATCAGATACAGCGTCGTCACCACAAAGGATCGCTAGCTATTAGTAGCGCAGAACACAGTGATAATTATGAGGCAAAACCAGGACCCCTCATCAGTAAAAGTTGCTCTTTTAAAAGCAGACAGAGCTTTTGCAATGTCGAGATGCCGGCTATATCGGCTAAAGCATCATCACTTTACGCCTTCTGAAAACTGGCTGTCTTTGCATGAGCAATCGCGAGTGCTCCTAGTTTATCGAGCAACCGATTATTAATAATATCGATCTTTGGCGGAAGAGTTTGTGTAGATCTGTTTAGTAGCTCCAACATTGTTTTATGTCTAATGTCCAAGTGATCGAAAGAAGAGAAGGAGAAAAGAGCGAAATAATAATCAATTGACAGAGGAATGAATGGTCTTTGATGCGCTGTGGGCTGGCTTGGTAATGCATACAATAGCTAGACCCCTGCTACACATGCTATAGAGCGAGAAGTAGCTGTCTTAGTGTAGGATGCCATGTGATCTCCTGTTCTGGGATACAACATACTAGTAGCCCAGTAGGAAAAGAATAATCAAGAATACAATTCTAAGCACTCGTATTTGGATTACTTACCCCACAATTATGGACGAAATACACACTGGTATAGCATCGATTATGTTTAATATGCTATGCAAGTTAGTTTAATATTTGCTATTAAACAATAAACTTCAAGTAAGGTCAGTTCCTTAGTACATGAAGGTTTATAGCAAGAGAAGAGTTGTTCTGGATTTCTTATAATGCACGTAGTATCAATCGCTTGCAACAAATTCCATCGATTCCAAGACAAATAATCTAAAGCCATATCATACTTGTAATTATAGGCTTTAAACGGTATCCCGGAAAATGTAATGACATATTCGAAGGAGTCATGCGCAGACTCCGTTAGATGAAACGAAACTTTCTAACCAAAAGAAAAGGGTACTGATATAGCAAGCATATTTTTTTGATAGATACAAATAGCGCCAGCAGTCCCATAGTACAATTGCGCAACCATGGAGAAGTTCTTGATATATGTAGTCGATAGTTATGTCAACGACTATGTTTTGCTGCTCGTGATGATCAACAGGTACGTTAGCTGCAATACATAGCTTTCAAAGGTAAGGTTTTTCATCTTCAGCACGTTTAGAGGACTGATCAAGGTAATCATTACCATGACCTGGTTTATTGATACCAGCTCGAAGGTAGATAGCCAACTGCTTTATACCACTTGGAGCTCCACTACATATGTTATGTACCAGAGTGCTTTTTTTTTGACAATATTACAACGTCTAATAGGTTTAATGACCAGCACAGTAGTATATGGAATAGTCACGAACAGATGATTATACTGAAAAGCTACTTACTCCTCTAGCTACAAAATAGCGGATGTACCAAGTTATACTTTAGCTATAGGGTATTACTCACTGTAATAAAATTCTTGTGGTTCTTGTGAATTTGGACCCCCGCTGGCCTCATTCTTGAGGTTCTTGTGGATTTCTTATGAATTTCTTGTAAATTTGTGACGTCTGTCACTGCCTGCTCTGGGTCGCCAAATTTTTTTGTGGTTTTTATGAATTTGGACCCCGCCGGCCTCATTCTCGTGAATTCTTGTAAATTTGTGACGTCTGTCACTGCCTCCTCTGGTCGCCAATTTTTTTTGGTGGTTCTTATGGATTCTTGTGGATTCTTGTGATTAAACAGTACTCTCTTGTTATAACCACCTGGTAAACCAGGGTGACAAATACTTTTATATTACTGCAAAAGTTTTTTTTTCTTTTCTTCCCAAACACTAACCAAACACCTCCCAACGCTAACCTTGATCTCCTAAGTCTTCACTCGTATGGAGCATCGTCTTATTAATGTAGAGACAAATCAAGCAGTCATTCTAGAGAAGCTCGACCAACTGCTAACGGTGTAGTCCCTAGTCGAGGTACCAGTTGTCGATGAAGCAGAACTTGCTGAGACGGTTTCCCTCATTCCCTACCCAATGACTCTAAATGCCAAGGGGAAGATGGTAAAGAAAGCGAGCTAGGATGATGTTGAGCGCCTTCTCCTTCAAGGTTATCACCATTTTGAAGGAGGTGCCTTGATCAAAGCCCAGACCGACATCAAGCACATTAGCGAACGTGTTGTGGTCGATCTGGTGAAAAGATTGCAGAATCGTGCTGACAACAGCGTGACCCACTACTTTGCTAAGCTACAAAGCAAAGATAGGCAACTGGGCTATTAGCCTTTTCATGAACCTGGCAAAAAATCAGGGCATTGATTTTGCTGTCTGCCAGGGCCAGTGGGCAGCTCGCCATATCCTCCAGGAATGCTGGCATAACTACGGCAGATCCAGCAAGTCGAGAGCGGTTTCTAGGTATGATAACTATTACACTAGAGCAACCACAATCAGATATATATTAACTATCAGGTAGACAACAAGAACCGGCTTCTGCTCTTCCTGTCTCTGCTTCTCTTCCTGCTTCTGCTTTTCTTCCTGTTTCCGCTTCTGCTTTTCTTCCTGCTTCTGCTTCTGCTTTTCTTCCTGTCCCTGCTCCTGCCCAGTCCACGCAGTCTACTAAACGACGCCGTACGACAAAGCGGCTTGGAGCTGCTCCCCCCCACAAAAATATACATAATTAAAAGGTAAGTTAAAGTATCAGAAAGTTGATTATTGTATAAACACACACATATACACGTATGTATATAGCGAGAGTGTATGTGATATATATAGAGAGAGAAAGGGGTGGTTTTCATCTGTTACGCTCGACCAGTGTTCCATCAATCAGTAAACCTTAACTAGTATCATGTAATTGAATAAAGCTATTTTTTAAAATCTATATAAAGAATATTGCACAAAAAATGTTTTATGATTTTCTTGTGAACGTGTGACCGCTTTGGTATTCTACAAAACGTTTTGTGATTTTCTTGTGAACGCGTGACCGCTTTATCGCTACTTTAAATTCACAAGAATCCACAAGAATTCTTGTTACTTTACTTAGTGTTTTCCCTCAAATAAACCAAACAGTTGCACAAATATAAACAGTTGGTACACTCTCCAAACACTCCAGACACTCCAGACACTCCAAACGCCTACAATGCCATCATGGCAATTGCAACACTCCAGATGCTCCTCTTCCTTTAATAGTCCTTTGTTAGTATATTTATAGAGCAACTGTTCATCTTTGTGTAACTATTTGGCTTATTTGAGGAGAAATGGAGTGTCCCTATAGTAATACCCTTGAAAAAATAAAAAATAAAACAAGGAACGTTATTCAGGAAACGCGTCGTGCATGATCCTTATGCACTATTACACCAACACTGCTGGTTACTATTTCCTGTTCTCATTGGCTACAGCTTCAGAAGCTCGGCCTTATTTTAACTATTCAGTGTTCTATCCTATTGGCTGCCATAGGGGACCAGTCGAGATTATAATGATTATGCTCTGGTTTATTGGTACTATTTGGACGAATAGCCACAATAAGTTGGTGTAACCAAAATAATTCTCATAAAATTAAATTATACATGTATGTCTTGGCATACATAAAAAATTTGAAAAAATAAAAATTGAATTTTTTTTATTATATAAAAATAACACCTCATAATAATAAACATGAACAATACAATCACATTCAACAATGACAAAATCGTCCTTGATACCAATAAATTAAGTATAATTTTAAATAATAATAATATAAACATTAAAGAATTTACTGAAGAAATGATTTATGAAAAATATGATATAAGTTATAATATTAAAAAGAGTAAATTATTAATAAAACGTAAAGCATTAAAAAAAACAAAAAGAGTCATCTAAAAATAATTTAAGTAAAGCGAATAATGAAAGAGATATTATTTCTGTTAAAAAAAGTAAAGAGAAAACATTAAAGAAAAATATAAAACTAAAGGAAAAATCACATAAATATGAGAATTACTATGAAAATCCCGATACATTACCTCCAAAAGAAATAGTTGCTGAAAATTTGTATTCTCAGTAATCCTCAATTCCTCATATTTCTGATGCTATGTTAGAAAACACCTCTGGTGCAGATTCCTTACAGGCTGATTCAGATAACGATGAATGTGAATCAGGTGGGGGTGAATATATGTGTATGATTGCATGTAAGCCCTATATGGATAAATTAAATGATACTTATAATTGTAGTTTTATTGATGAACTTATTTTAAAACTTGAAAAGGAAAAATATAAGTATAAAAGGTTCTTTGATTCATACTTTAGATATTATATTGATTTAATAAAAGCAAAAGAAACAAATAGGGATGATATTATGCAAATATGTCAAGAGCAAATGCAGAAGTTAATCATTGAATATAGTCAGATATATATATATGAAAATAGAAGTGAAGATGAAGATAGTAATGATTCTGATTAAAATTATATCGGCCATTAATAGCTATACCGGTTAGGACAGGCTTATTAACTATAACAAAATCAATAAACAACTAACAGCTAGACAACCAATAGCAGGACGCCATAGCCCTACCCACGCTATCTGTGCCCATTATTACACCTCAACTCACT